AACGTGGGACAACCCCGGATGTAGGAGAGGAATAAAAACTGAGAGTCATAAATATTCTTCGACGTTCCCACCATGTTTTCTACCTCTTTCCTCTCCAAAGGTTTTCAACTAGAAATTCATTGCCAAACATTAAATATTTTCTCCTAATCCAAAATTTCTATCAATTCCTCCTCAACCCCGAGGCAATCCTTCAAATTATCATTGCCTCTTATCTTTATGGTCTACCATTACCTCGCGAATTATTGTGCTATTCTCATAATATTTATTCAACTCCCGACGTGAGAATATTTTTTCGAATATTTAGGCAGTCCCACGATTTTTTATACAAGTTATGCAGATTACCTGCGTGAATATAATTTAGAGTCCGAGAACTACTCGAATGGGATATCCCCGGGAAATTGAGTCGTTAAGACAAACCGAGTCCGAAGGGTAATTTCCAACCAGTGGAACTAGAATTGTAATCGTCTCATCACCGAAAATTCCCCGAAAAAAAAAAAGCCCAGGATATAAACACAAATACCAATTCTTCGAGCGTATTCTTATTGCACTTCCCCGTAAAAAAATAAATCGAAAATGTACAATTTCCTTCTTCACATTTCGCATCTCATTTCTACAACCTATTTTGTTGAAACGAATCTCAAGAACTCCGTTCTCCGGTTTTTATCTCTTCCCTTCAAACTTGGTTCATTCTAACTTTTCCTATTCTTGAAATCACGATAGACTTTTCTCCCACCCCGATGAATAAGTCTGATTTATTTTTATATTTAATAACTATTCATGATGTAGAGTATTAATCGTTGATTTTATCCACGAGGAAGTGCTTTCATTGCGTCATTGTCTCCCCTGAATTGTCCACCGAGTTTAAAAGAATGATTATAAATATTAATTCATATCGTTTTCAATTGATAATTCAGAATCCCTCGAGCGTTCAGCCCCAGATATTTTTCATCCATTAAATAACGCTAAAAATAGTATTTCCTTTTCATAATTTTTCATTGAAACTTCCGGTATAATTCTCGAAAATTTTAATGGACACCCAAATTAGTGATTACACAGATTTATGCACCCTCTTTTTCACCCCCTCCTCTAAAAACATTTAAATTCCTTGGAAAACAAATTCACTCGAATATAATGATTACGTCGACATCAAAGCGTAAATCTCTGGAAAGCTTGGCAAAGCTCTCAAGCTTGAACAATTACGAAACTGGAAAATGTTGAAAGCAGATTGGATTAACTTATATTCAAGATGGGATGCACACGTCTGAGTTACCGTGGAAACAATCCTCGAGACGATCCAATATCCCGAGGAAACAAGTTTCGTACTTGCTAGGGTATTATCCAGCTACAATTCAAGTTGGAGAGACCAATTACATCAATCACCAGAATACGAGAGTATCATTATACAATCACCATTTCATTCCCGCTATTTACTAACGTTTTCAATAGTTACTTTTTGTTTACATTTCCCCGAGGTAATAAACAACCACGAGATCCATCCAGATGTGAATGGCATGTTTTGAATTCTAGAGCTGTTGCAGATGAATTTTTTCTACCAATTTGAATTCAGTTCGAGATAAAAATACGTGAAGAGAAAAAATGTTTCATGATTTGAAATTTTTTTTTCGGGTTGTGGTTTTCACGGAGGTTTAAAATTGTAGGAATATCGGGGTAAGTGAAAATTTTTCGACAATTATAGTCGGAAAAGAAATGGAAAAAAGAAAATAAATGAGAGAAGTGAGGAAAATTCACGTGGACTCATTTAATTTCTGTGTAAATAAGAGTTTTGAGGATATAAAAAAATGTCGATTGTTACACCTAGAAATTCTTGGCTCGAGAATTGAGAGGATGTGCAGCTGCGCTCAATCCTGAGGCATTTCCGACGCATTGCAGGGTTTCCCTGTGAATCTCCCGTACAGTTTCCACCCTACGTGGTAGCAATACCCAGTGCTTCATTAGTGAGTAAAAATTCCACCAACTCCGTGATTTTCTTCCCACGGAATTCCGCGGATTAAAAGTAAAACCCCCCATCCCCCCACACCAACTAAAACAATAAGAAAAAAAAAAACGATCGTATGGACTCGCAAAATATTTCTCTCCCCACAGCGAATAAAAACGTCTCGAGAAATGCATGGATATTCAATGAACAAAATACCGGAGATGAGTTGCCGCATTTTCTCAGAGTCGGTGCGACACAAGTGCAGGAGGAAAAAAGAGAAAAATTGTAACTCTGAAGAGGCGGAAAAAAAAAAGGAGAATGTCGAGGATTCCGACTGCTCCGGAGAAGATCGATAGCCATCGTCATGACGACCATCGTATCAACTGTACTGCCTCCTCTTCCATTTAAATGGCCCATTCATTTACCCTCATTTCACCAATTTTCGCCAAGAAACTCATTGGTCATCGTCATTCATCATCGAATTAAAAATTGGACAAAAAAAAATAATGACTAGATTAGCAGCGGCATAATCGCATAATCATTATTTCAAGGCTGATGTTCTTCATGCGAAAAACTTTTATGTCTATAGTTTTGCATAAAGCAGAATGCCCGTCCTTCGACACATCCTGGGGCCCAATTCACTCTACCCCGTTCTACACTCAACGACGAAAATTGTTCCAAAAGCCATTTGGACGCTTGCCAGTCGCTATTCCAACGAGAATAAATGAAAAATTCAATTTTATGGAAAAACCAGGAACAGTATTGTTTCTAGTGAAAATCCACTTACCATTTCCCATCGGTTTTCATCTAATCGCCCACACGAGGAGAATAACTCACCACGAATTTTAAACTTCTCTAATTACCCGGGTGAAAAAAAAATGTAATCGGAATATTTTTTCCAAATTTTCAAAACATTTCTGGAAAACTTCCGAAAATTTTTCTTTTGAAACAAAAAAAATGGGGAAACAAAACAATTTTATTTTTGGAAAATGTTTTGAAAAATTTTTCAATAATTTGTTTCGGAAAACTTTTTTTATAATTTTCTTGAAATTTTTCAAAACTTTTCGCAAAAATGAAATTTTTTAAAAATAATTTAATTAAATAAAATAATTCTGAAAAGTTTTCCCGAAAATTTTTGAAAATTTGGTAAAGATATTCCGATTACAATTTTTTACCCGGGTAGACAATTCTATAAAAAACTATTGACTCCACGAGAAAATATCAAGAGACCCTTTCTACAGGAAATTATATGAACCCCAAAAAATTCTTCTAGCGTCAGAGTCCTGGACTGATTGTCTTTCAGATAAACCAATGATAACGAAAAATCTTTCACCGCGGAGTTAGTATAGCGCCCTGTTGGCAGAACTTGAGGTTTTTTTATTTATTTATCCACTCTGAACGATTGAAAAGTCAAGTACCTCAAGTACCTCCAAAGCACTTCAATCACCACCAGTTTCTCCATCGACAGGCCCTGTGATCACCGAGACCCATTGCTTCCACCAAAACCAAGAGAACCGATAAATCCTTTTAAAGTGAGAAAATCGTTACGAGAAGACCCAAGTTTTCATCTGTATCAAAGTAACCAGGGAAAAGGGATTGTCCTCCGGGTCGTCGAGGAGTCTGCATACCTCTCGAGAGGAGTATTGAAACGTCGCTAAATTCCTACGGCAAGTTTATCTCCCTCGAGATAGGTTGCAAGTTTAAAGGAGCAAATTAATTTACGAGAATGGCCAAGTTACTGCTTTTCTTTTTAGCTTCCGTCACTCCTACTATTCTACACGAAACAAGATGTATTCTAACCGAAATATCTTTAAATAATGCAATAACTAAAAAAGGTCAAAGCAATTTAATAAATTACGATTAAACTATTTTTGGAGGAAAGAAACTCTTCGAAGTCGCTATTTGTGATCGAGTTTGAAGAGATAACTTGATTTTCCTGGGTGCATGGAAATATTTTCTCATGAGAAAATCCGACCGAGGAAATTCACCCATCGCGTTGTCATTGTCACAATGGAATAAATTCGCGCCGATTTAATTTCTCGGTCATTCTGGACTGGTTTATATTTGGGGTCAACAGGAGCCACTTATCGATTTTACCTCACGACCCAGAAAGGTATTCCCGTGAATGTATCCACCTCAAAATATATGTTACTTATGCTGTCTAATTTTGTCGAGTTATCCGCGCCTCATCAGTCATTGTTAGTAATTCATGAGAATTTGACAGTGGCCCCAGACTCGGGTTTACCCAAGTGTAATGAGAATAATTTCATCAACATCACTGTTGGAAAATTACGCACGAAATTCAAAGTAAAAAAACTTTAAAGTTTAAACAATGACTGAGTCACAGGAAAAAAAAATTCCCATCGAATTCTTCATTCGATCAATTCAATCAATTAATTATCCCGGATAAAAAAAAATTGTTATCGGAATATTTTTTTCAAGTATTCAAAAAATTCCGGGAAACATTTTCAAGAAATTTTTTTTATGAAAAAAAAATCGGAAAACAAAAGAATTTTATTTTTGCGTAAGGTTTTGAAAAATTTTTCAAAACATTTCCCAAAAATAAAATTGTTTCGTTTCCCGATTTTTTTTGTTTCAAAAGAAAAATTTTCCAGAAATGTTTTGAAAATTTGGAAAAAATATTCCGATTATTTTTTGACTATTTAGATAATTCTACATTTTAAAGTCCTTATGGCAGTGAAAACCCATGAAAATTCAATTTCCATAATGAGCCTGAACATTCATACTTTCAATAAAAAAACAATTAACTTAATGTGAAATTCTGAAGCTAAACGAGAAGTTCAGGAAATATTTTGAAATGAAACCGACGCCAACTTGACATAATTAAGCATTCAAATGATTTCGTAAAAAAAATTCTAATAAATCCCAAACAGTCTCCTATCACGTTTTCGAAATATCTTATCATTCCCTATCCTGCATTGTGTATTATTCATTTAATACATCTGTGTACATATAGTTTTATCGAGTCGCCCAATCGAGGGCGAATAGAAGGTCTCGAGAATCGAAGGCTCATTGGTATTTAAATCGTGACATTTTGTTCTAGATGATAATGTGGTGCACCTTCTGGCAAGGATAGGACAAAGTCTGTTCTACCGGTGGGAGGAAGTTATGGTGTCTTGTCGAATGCGATGCCTGTTGCCGCAGCCCTGGCACTGTGGCACCGAGCCCACATCTACAAGGCGCTCGTCTGTGTCGTACTTGCATTGATAGCATTGCAGTATCTACTGAGTGGTGTACTTGACCGTCGCTCCCTCGAGACCATATTCACAATAAACGCCACCAGGTAAATATTATCATACAATTTTCATTACACTGTTGGACCATTTCACTCGACTCCACAAATTAAAACACTTGAAATTCTCAAAGTGACATGAAGACATGAAATTTACGAGCAATTCTTAACTTATTTAATTAATTTATTTAATTAAATAATTTCGTGAATGTTCCCGGGTAAAAAAAAAAGTAATCGGAATATTTTTTCCAAATTTTCAAAAAATTTCTAGAAAACTTTTCAGTTTTTTTTTTTTTAAACAAAAAAAAATCGGGAAACAATCGTATTTTTGGGGAACGTTTTGAAAAGTTTTTTAAAAATTTGTTTCGGAAATTTTTCTTTATGATTTTCTAGAAATTTTTGCGAGTATAATTTTTTTTAATTATACGGTTGTTTTCTTACTTTTTAAATTTTTCAAAACCTTTCCCAAAAATGAAATTGTTTTTTTCCATTTTTTTTCTGTTTCATAAAAGAAATTTTCTGGAAAGTTTTTCGAAAATTTGGAAAAAATATTCCCATTAAATTTTTTTTTTACCCGGGTTCTCGTGATTCAGATTGAATTTCTAACGTCAGTCTGGGAATTCGAGATTTTATTGCGAAATAAATAATAATTTAACATGAAAACTCAAATTTTATTAAATTTTCCCGACAAAATAAAAATTAACTGACCATTTTTAATTGAAATTTAATCGAAACTTCCATAATTGAAAATAGAGACAACACAATTTCAGGAAATTTCCAACAGTGCAGTTATTTCCCCCCGATAAAATCCTCATCGACGATAAAGTCCATTACCCAAAGCCCCCAAAAAGGATCCTCCATAAATTACTCCAGTCACGAGGCATCTGGATTCTCGAAATTACTCATAATAATTGACTCACGGTGCATATCGCGTAACGCCGGTAGCAAATTTGGGGGATATCATTTACAGAGGTTTCCGCAGGGCTAACAGAGAAGCAGGAAATTACTTTCGACTGCAGTTGAGAATCATTTTCAAATAACAAAGGTGGAAAAAAAAAGCTGTAACCGATAGAATCTTGCGCGCGTGACGGATAAAAAGCCAACTTGGAACAACGAAAACAAATATTGACGGTAATTTCAACAATCAATAAAAAAAAAATGCCTGAAAATCTCGTAAAAATTTTCAACATAGCAATTCATTTAATTCAACCTGTCATCTTTATCCACTCTCCTCACCACTTTATCACGAGTTTACTGAAACAAAATTTAACCTCAACTTTCAGCCACGACATAGTTTACACCGTTGAGTAAAAAGTTTATCGTTCAAACTTTCCACACATCGGTACCGACATAACAGTCAAGTAAACTCTGTATACGAGTTTGCGCGATGCTGTGAGCATCGTATACAGGAAACATCGATCCACTTGATCCAATTATATGAAATTCTATTATCAGGTTCGTTGCACAACAGTTGTGGCAATGAAACCGGCCATTCGTGTCTTTTGTAAAGTCTCGGAAGAATAGAATCGAAGACACGAGACAAAGGCCAGTGGATAAATGACAGAGCAACTTCTAACGAGGAAAATTAATAATATAAAAGACAGCTCAGAATTCTCGCAAACCGTGAGGAAATATCACTTTAAATTCCACAGACACTGATATCCACGAAATTACCGCAAATAAATGAATTGCAACATCAATTGCTCCGAAAACCATTGACTTTATCACACAATACCAAAAAACATTTTCTCTTGAAAATTTCATCATCTTTAAAAAAGTCCTCCGCGGTTTTCCCCTCAAATCAATACTTTACGAGACAAATCGATAATTAAGACAAGTAATGCAGCGAAGAGGTAAAAGATGAAAAATCTGCATAATCCCTAGGCAACTTCTCCAGGGATATCTCTTAATCTAAGAGAGATAACAATATTTTATTCAAGACCTTTTTTCTTGAGTGGAATGAGAGCTAAAAAAAATGGGTCTATAGAAAATTCGCTATCTCTCCCCGATCCAGAGATATTCCGTGAAAACTTGTTTATCAGTGGAATCGACTTTTTACCCATTACCTCTTGACTGCTGTCTGACTTATTGTGGCTGACATTTTGAGAAATGTTCTCCCCGATAGAAATATTAATTGCTCTACCCTTCCTACCCACCCAGTGCGGAAAAACCCGATGTCTATGATATTTTACCGCAGGCAAAGGTTGAATATCAAACTGGCGTCACTTCAACCACCGCAGACTGGTGTCTAGCCGTTGGGTTTATGACGCCATCCGTTTGTCATTCATCCACCCAATCTCGACTTACTGATACCCGAAGATAAACCCCCCGATATTGATATCAAAGCTCCTCATCGCATTCCGAAAAAGAAAAAAAAAAACAAGCAAAAAAATCGGATAAAATAACCATGGAAAAGAGAAAGAGCGAATAACAGACCCGGAGTTTTCACTGACAATAGCGTGACCCCAGGGATAAAGAAAGGAGTATAACTGTGTCGTTATTCCTCCGAGTGGCATTTTTACATTATGAAACGTCCCGAATGGTAAACGACTCGTCGATTTGCCAAACAGTACGAAAATACTCCACAAATAAACTTCGGATAACAATAACTGAAGTAAAAAGGACACGATCTCTCGTACTCCATCCCTAATCGATTGTTCCGAATAACTAATTAAACTCCATCCCACAGCGAAGTGTTTTACTCCATTATAGAGGAATAGATCGTGAGAATACTCAATTCCCCCCGGGGGATGCACCTCTATTTTACCCTGAACTTAACTCATAACTTTGTCCCCGTCAGGGTAAAATCATGGCATGTTGTCAGTGATGAAAGGCCAGAGCCTGGGGCGGTCAAGACAAGGGATAAGTGAGTTATGTCGGTTGAAATTTGTGTCAGCCCCAGTGGAAGGACATAATAATCGAGAAATTCCAGCGATAACTTCCGTTAAAAAAAAAGGAAGACAAAAAGAACACCCCCCGAAAAGAAAAAAAATTCACCGCAAAAATTTTCCCTCCCATTACATTTCCCCTGTCTCTCAAAATCCAATTATCGGACTTGAGATCGATTGATGAGAGTACAGAAACCGATTCTAATCACCGGTAAATGGCCATCTGACACTGGAGTCACGTCACACGAGAAATCACTCGAGTATATCGATTCTCACTGTGACAATAATTTCAGTGAGAGTGCCAATACTCCCAATCGATTTACCCCACACAACGGAACTAACAATTGATCATTATTGAATTATAGATACGGTGATCACTCCTACAGGAATCATCCCCACGGTTTAATAATCTACGGACTTGGTACATCACCAGCGTATCAAGCATCTACCCTAAATATCACTTCAACAGCACAACTCACGGTCCAGGCATCCCGGGACATCAATAATGCCACAAGACAGGATATGAATGCAACGAGAGCTATCTCGTCACCATCAAATACCACAGACTTGTCTACACCTCAACGATGTCCTCTCATTCCCCCGAATCTTGGTGAGTATCGAATTTGATTGAGTTAAATTGAATTGAGTTGAATTGAATTGAATTGAATTGAATTGAATTGAATCGAGTAATCGACAACTTTTCGCCCGAAAATGTCCACCAGCGCTAGGTGCACTCCCAGAAAATTAATAATTCTCTGGTCAAATTGTACGGATTATCTCGCTTTTGCAGTTGGTCCACTGACAGTGACGAAGAATCCCCCAGAATTATCAGTAATAGAATCAACACTCACCGAGGTGAAGCAAGGTGGTAGAGGCTGGCCATCGGACTGCAACTCCAGACACCGTGTTGCAATAATAATTCCATACCGCGATCGTCCCCAACACCTCCAGACACTCCTCTACAATCTGCATCCAATGCTGTTGAGACAACAAGTCGATTACCAGATATTCATCGTCGAGCAAGAAGGTAATGACTTACTAATAATCAAGGGATTGCAAATTCATTCTACAAGGGAAGTCATCTCAAAGAACCCCTAATTACAAGTCAGATCCTCTAAGTACCCTCACCACCGTTGTTAATATCAAAAGCAAAAGCGAACGTCAACCCTCCAACTTCCCCAAGACATGCCCTCGTTACCTCACCCTAACTCCCGTAATTACCCCAATCCCACTCTTCGACTCCTCACGAGAACGAGAGACTATTACGTCGAAATAACTAAGATCACTTCCTATTTTTATGATAAACCCCCATTATTATTTCTTCCTCATAATAAAAATCGCGAAAACAACCATTAAATTATTCCACACATGCAATTCACCCGAAATTCCCGTGTGATAAGATTAATTCCCAAGCTGTTGCAACAATAAATTAGAGAGAGTAATCATTTTTTGATGATGAAGAGGCCATATCAGTCGAAAAAATTCATAAATGTCGGGTTAGTATCACGAGGGTTATCAATTTCAGTTATTTACGGCGGGCAATAAATCAAATTTTTTCGAAAATTGATATTCCAGAGTGGAGATATTCCAGAGTACGATATCTCCCACGAACAATTCGCAATAATTCTCCGGGACTCATTAATGTTGTCCGAATAGCCACTAAAAATAAAACCACTCTCTCCCCCACCCCCTCTCCAACCCCCGCGTTATTTAAAACTCGAAATAGTGCCTGTGTCGATTAAATCGATACCAAAACCGCACGTCCAACGCAACTAGCCCCCCCGAATATCAAATATCTAATTCCCCAGGTATAAAGCACATTATCACGATAACGGTTAACGCCTACCGCTTGGCAACCACGCCATCGCCAGACACTCATTAATGCACTAGATAAAAAAAAAATCCACCAGATATTGTCATTGATTTTTCTATCTGGACTTTGCCCGAGTCATTAGCACCGAGTTCCGATAAGAAATTGCCCATGCGGCTGATATTTCAGTATTCTCCCTGGTTTTTGACTACCAGAAGATGGTGAAGACAATGAAAAATTGGAGCAACGGGTAGTACTCCATGGAGTGCTTTGGCTTTTTCTCCTTTAAAACGCGGAAGAAAGTGGGATGCACAGAGAAGTTGGCAAGAGCTTCTCTATCTCGCGTGACCCACATGCACAACCGGAGTGACACTCGCCGCGTTGCGATGAGGTCAAGATGAATAACTTGAGCAAAACCCATCGGCTTTTGTATCACAGAGGCAGAGAATATCCGAGAATATCCGAGAGTATCCGAGAGTAAAGACCATAATTTAACAGAAGGATAAATAGAGAATTAAATTAATTCCAGGTACTGGACAATTTAATCGTGCCATGTTGATGAACGTCGGCTACGTGGAGGCCCTCAAAGAGAGGGAATTCGACTGTTTCATATTTCACGACGTGGATCTCCTCCCAGAGAACGACAGGAATCTCTACACCTGCCCTGAACAGCCCAGACACATGTCTGTCGCCATTGACAAATTCAAGTACAGGTGAGAGAATATATCTCATCATTTATGAATGATTTTTACTATTTATTTGTTCTAGAAATAGTCTTTACGATGCGGATATTTATATTTGCAGACTGCCATACGCAGACCTCTTCGGTGGGGTTTCAGCCATGTCAAGAGACCAATTTCGCCAGGTGAATGGCTTCAGCAATGTATTCTGGGGTTGGGGTGGCGAAGACGACGACATGGCAAATCGTATAAAAGCCCGTGGCCTCCACATCTCGCGTTATCCAGCGAATGTTGCCCGATACAAAATGCTATCCCACAGGAGGGAAAAGGCAAATCCCCGAAGGTATGAATTTCTAAAGACTGGAAAGAAGAGATTTGGAACGGATGGCCTGATAAATTTGGAATACCAATTGGTAGACAAAAAGAAACCAAAATTGTACACTTGGCTTCTGGTGAGGCTTACACCACCTCAGCCAAGCTGATGGTTACCCTGGATCGGTTGAACTCTCTGAAGATCAGAGTACAGCCTAGAGGCACTCGATACGATCCACTCAAGGACCTCCAAAGCTATTTCATTATAGAATCGAGGGGCTAAATAGGCTGGTCAATTAAAGAAAAACCGAAGCTAAATGCGTCTGAAAGTTGTTGTCACGTTGAGATCTCGAATCCCTATTTTTTTAACGTCCCGTACAGTCAGTGAATTAGTAATAGAGGAGTTAGAGCCGATAGAGCTGAATTAAGATTTTAAAAAACGTGCCAAAAGAAAAAGAGTAACGAGTGAAAGAAAAGGAAATGATCAGTGTCTTAAGTCTTCGTTCAATAGTGCTGTGGTAAATCATTGCATTCAATTAATTTAATTAATTGAGTGAATTACTTTGTCGTATATTTTTAGACGATAATTTCGTCAAGCTAATTGCCTCGAGTAATCGAACGAATCGATTGTTTTTTTTTTCACGAGAATGTTATTTTTTTGGATGAATATGTTTATTGTTGTTGTTGTTGTATACGAGTGAGATAAAGCTGAATTCCAGTTTTATAATAAAAAAGCATTTTGCGGAGACGTGTGGCGAAATAACGATGGGTGCAATAACTGCTAGTTCGCAGGATTAATAGGGTAGATTCAGACGAATAATGTTGTTGAGTGGGACAGTGTAAATTTTGTAGAAGGTCGAGTGTATTTTTTTAACATTGTAAATTGATTTCCGCCGAGATATCGCTGTTTCCATTATTTGAATTATTGTGAAGGTGAAGAGATACTTAGAGTCAAGTGTTTGAGGAGCTTAATGTTGAAAACTATCGATTGTACAGTTTCATATGAGAAATAATGCTCCATTTATCGCTATGTAGAAAGCCAGAGATGTTTAAATGGCACTCTACATATCACGTATGATAATTCTGCGATTAACTGGATATTGACTGTACTCACATTCAAAAATTAATCGTTCGAATAGTTATTCTGAAACTTGCATATCATTGGAGAATAATGTTCACAGTGTCGACAGCCCATTAATCTCAGAATTATCTGTTGTACAGAATGCACCCGAATTTATTGATACTTAAAGGAAAAAATGACGAATTATTGTCTCGAGCCCACTCGATTGTGGTTGATTACGGATAATTACTCTTCAGATAGACGATGTGAAAAGGGAGAACAATTTGAAGGGAGAATGGACTGCCTTTATCCTAGAATATCTCGGGATTGGCTGACTGAAATTTTATTTTTCTTTTTTTATTTTGAAGGCGTCTTTTTACGCCGTAAAATGAATCTCGCTCAATCGAAATCGTATGGTTGGGCCATTAAATATTGAGGATTTAGTACAGTCCATTTTACCTCGACCTCTCCTGTCGTCTTCTTCGAGTCATAATTGATTGATAAAGACAAATAGTGATTGTGGGAGTAATTAAAAAATTAGATTACTCCACTACGTATTCATAATAGCCTAAAAATTACCCAAAATTGTAGAAATCAAGCATTGATGCTGCAGATTACGATGCAGAAACTTGAGGAATTCCTAAGATTTCGATATGTACGAGAATTAATAAATCAGCATAATTATGAAAATTACTCACTAGTTTTTCCTCTCGACGATGGTCTGGACCATTTTCCCCATGTTTTTCCACGTGAACCTGGGGGTTATCTCCAGCAGACGTAAAATGAACTCGTGGTTGATTACACGGTGAACTAAAACCATTTCAGGGTTGTCGTTCAGCTCTTCACACTTGATTTCCTCCAGAATCCCCTTCAAATGTTCACATAAAGTCTTCCCCGGGGAGATAATACGAACTAATTCCTCCAGGTTGGGTATCAAGTCTATGAGGAACTTCTGGAAGCGCAAGGGAACATTTCTACGTCTAAAATTTAATTTCACTCGCGACACGATCTCAAATTTTTTTTCCACCAGACATTGCCCATAGAAAATCACTTTCACACACCATTTTCGAGTCTACGAACGGTTTTTTTACGTTTATTATGGATTTTTATCGGTTTATTTATTGATTATGAACTTTTAAAGGCACTAGAACAGAATTTAAACTCAATTTCACACGCGACAACAGAGACTGACCACAAAAAATGACTCCCCGCCTTTTTAAGATGGCGTCGTGGCGGGCACGGGAAGTACTTCGGCGTTTATAATCATTTCCTCATTTCCCTTTCTAAACTTCCACAAAAAAACAGTCACAAATAATTTTTAAAAATAGATTCACTGATATTATCCACAAATAGTCACTGTCCCGCGTATATTAACGACTTAATCAATTTTCTAGACAAGAAATTCCTCTCACAACCGGAAGTCATGTACTGATCCGAAATAGTCCGAATTTATCCGGAAAAATCACAATCACCGGGGTCCCGCGCAATGACACACGTTGTTATGACGCAATTCTAGGAATTCTCGAATTTTTGCTTACTCGGCGTCTGTTATGATTCCCCCATTCCCCTTCTCAATTCCTCTAAACAACAGTCCCAAATAATTTGTTAAAATATATTTACCGAAATTATCCATAAATCACTGCCCCACGCAATTCCATAATTGTTTAACCGTTACCTCGCGTTTTATCGATTACAATCGATCCTTTGCACTAGTAACTCGTCACACGACCGCACATCACGTACTGAATCGAAATATCGGAATTTATCCTGACAAATCACAACAACTCGAGTCCCACTCATCACTCGTGGCTCAATTCTGAGAATTTTGAAACAAAAACACCGGAATAAAATCCGGCACGAAACCTCTCGCATTTTCCCATATATTTACGTAATAAATAAACTTATGACGATACCTCGAACACCGGGATGGGTATCCAGTACTGGAGTTCCCGAGTGATCTCATCTCCGAGGGATAATTCACTCGTGAATGTCGAAGAGGATGTGTCGCCGGACTCGGGAGGGGAAGGGGAGACTGGACTTACTGCCGCCATTGGCGACCCCTCCGCCATCCTGTGGCGGCTGGGGGACAATAAAATGGCGTCGAGGACCTCAACAAAGAGCGGGCCGGACGCCCGCAGTTCGATTTCGTCCTTCGTGAGTGATTTAGTGTCTGTATCCTTGTGCAAGTGTTTGGAAGTGTCAAATATCCGGTCTATCACGTCCTCCAGGAGCTGCTGGACATCCTGAAACATCCGGACGGCGGGGGGTAAGTACAATTATTTTATTTTCTCGATTTGTTTTAATTGCGTTTTTTTCGTCGGGTTAATTGAAAAATGGCGGGCACCTGAAAAATTTGTCGCCTCAGGAAATAATAATTTTCCCGCGTTTTTAACGATTCCTCAACGAATTTCTCGCCGTCCTCGGAACTCCCACAGATTTTGGAGTTCAGGACGACAGTCAGGGCACCTGTCAATCCTTTACTGGGATTCTGATCCCTGCAGAAGGCTAGTAAAATTTTGAGGTAGTTGACGTTATTGTTCTCGAGGAAGATTTCGCTGAGGAGTTCTTTCGCGAGATTTAGTCGCAATTCCTGGGGGGTGATTTCCTCGATCGGGAGTTTTTTGACGATCTCGTCGATTCTGAAAGAAATCGATTTTTTGTTGGATTTTGGACGGAGAGAAATAACTCGGGAATGAGGGGAACTGCTGGTTCTGGTTGAGAGCTCATACTCGTCCTCCTCGAAATCCTCGTGGAGCCAGGAGTTGATGGAAGGGGTGACGAGATTTTTATGGAACCAGACGGGAATATTGATGAAGACAGCCCTTGGGAGGCATCCAGAGAGACTCTCATCTCTTTTCCTGAAGTGCTCCAGAGTCTCCAGGAGTTGCTCTTGACTCGGTAAATCGATGTTCATCGCGTACACCAGAAAATCTCGCCAGTCGACGAGGGGATCATTCCCAAAAACCTCGAAGACGAGCTCAAATACCTCTTTGGGCTCTAATTTCAGCCAGGACGGGGGCACCAGGGGCTCGTTGTCCTCATCCCCACAGGCGATGAGATCCTGGAGGATGTAGATGAACGATCGTCGAGGGAGACTTCCAGAAGGGGCGACTCTCTCGAAGATGTCCTTTAGACGTCCCAACTGTACCATTTTAAATTGTAAATCCTCTGCTTCCTCGGTGGGAAAAGCTCTCAATGATCTGAGAACCTCTCCATCCTTGGAGTCATGGGAATTGACCAGGAAACGATCTCCATCGAGGATCATATCCCCTGGGAGCGATCGGTGATATTCAATGGCCAGACAGAAAACCCTGGACATTTCCTCGATGCCTTTTAATTCCTTTCTATAAATCTCGTTGATTTTTTCCTCGACGAGATGCAGTCCGTCCTGAATCGTCGTCAGGAGGAACTCGACATCGGATTTCCAAGCCGACTCTAGAACACTCAGAAGAGTCTTTATCCTGGTGGCCTCGTACTCCAGGACGCAGCTCCATTCCTTCAGGGCATTTTCCAATTTTTTGTCGATTTCTGAATTTTCTCCAGGATCTTCCGTCGTCTGGAGCTTCGAGGACTTCTTCGATGGCCTCTTGCCCTTCTTGATGTTCGGTGGAGTCTCCTTTGATCGTTTGTCATTTTTCTTCAGAAATTCCAAGGCCGAGGAGAGGACGTCATCAATGAAGGACTGACAGAAATGTATATTAGCCCTGATTGTCTTAAAACCGTTTGTTTCATCAATTTTGAATGATTCTTGGTCTCCACCCAGTAGAATCCTCTCGACTTCCTTCCGCAATTCTAGTTTATCGAGACCTGGAGCCTTTGGCTTCCCATCATCTCTTTCCCCACGTTCTTCATCGAGAAAAGAGACTCTCTGAAGTCTAAGGTTTTCAATTCTCTCTCTCCTCGGGTCTTTCTTGATAATCGCTGCATAATACTCCTCGACAACGGCTACAGTGTCGACGAACCTCTTCACTTCGATCTCCATGAGGGCGAGATAAATATTGATTAGAATCACCAGTTGTCCAGTCGTCCAGTGGTCCCCTACGATTTCCTCTCTCTTCCTGAAGCAGTTCCTACGTTTTCGGTCGCAAATTTCCCAGAGTTCTTCCTGGAAGTCCCTCATCCTGCAGTGGAGCTCGTGCTTCACCTCCTCGTCATTCCTCATGTCCTCAGGGACTTCGTTGAAGGCCTTCTGAAATCCTCGCAGGAGCTGCTGCCTGAAATCTTGACCAGCGAATTCTAATAAATATTTCACGATGAAATCTTTGTACGGGAGAACCGTCAGGAAGGTGAAGCGTTTCAAGGAGAGGATTTCAGTTAATCCACTGATGCAGCTGGACTCCAGGTTTATCCAGCAGAGGGCTAGCTCCTCCAGGTTGTTTTCATCCTGTGGAAGATCTGCGTAGTTCCAACTTGGATCTCCAGGTCGTAGCTCTCCCTCTTCAGGGGTTTTTGATTGTCTAGAATCCTCGAAAGACTCCAGACTACCTAAGGACCTCTCCAGCTGTCCAGTCGTTCTCAGGTCTTTAGTTATGACTTCGGACAATTCCTCCAGGGCTTCAAAGTCCCCCGAGGCGTAAGGGAACACCAGGGCGAGCCCCTGGCTGATGTAAAATTTCTCCACTTCATTTTCGTCTTCGGAAATCCTCGATTTCTCTCTCATCCTGACGAATATCGTCAGGTGTGAGTTGCTTTCACGATTTTTCGGAGCTAGAGGGTTGGGCACAAGCCTGGAACTCTTGAGAACTCCCTCCAGCTCTTCATTCTCATCCTCATGGCCTTTTGAATCGAAAAACTCCTCGTTGCCTCCAGATAACTCAGACTCTAGGTGTATCATCTGCTGGTACGTCTCAGGATAATCGATAATCACCCATCCCTGGGTATTCAGGCTCTTCAGGTACAGAATTATCGTTTTTGCGATTAATTTCTCGGGAATCTTATTACCGTGAGTCAATAACTCGTGGATAGTTTTTCCCAGGAAGGCGGCGTCGCTCAGGAGAGGGTGCAGGTCCTCGTAGGGGATTATTCTAGGGGTCTGGGTATTCTTATTCGACTTCTGATCTGTTTCATTGATTTGGGAAGACTGGGAAGATCCATTTCTTCTATTTAACTCTAGATCCACGAACTTGAAGTCCTTGATTTCTTCTTTGTATCTCCTCAAGCAATAGTCGACGGTCTCCTTCACCTGGACAATTTCAATCCCCTGGGAACTGAGGAAATCACGAAGAATATCAAGAGAAGATTCTGGAAGACCGAGGAGAACTCCTTGAACTGGATACTCCTGGAGAGGTGGGGATTTGTAGTCCTGGGGGTGGAGAAGACCCAGAAGTCTGTGTACGATGTACCCTAGGACATTTCGCCCCAAGTTCTCTTCGTTTTCTGGGAGGAACTCCTCCCAGGGACCGGAGAGCTTGAGGTACTCCTCCAGGTCTCTTCTGTCCAGCAATTCCTCTCGATTAATCCATTCAGAACTCCTGGCGATTATTTCTTCACCTTCTCCTCGAAGAATTTCGGTTGGCAGTTCCTCGTCAGGTGGAAGAAGCGATAATCCTTGAATGAAGAGAGCCTTCCAGTCCCTCCAGACTCTCCTCGGTACGTCCTGGGAATAAAAAATCCTGTAATCACCACTGGACATCGCGATATCCGTCAAATCCTCCATCAGTTTTCTCCCCAGTTCTTGCAGGTATTCCTCACTCTCCTGGACCCTTTTGTTATTGACCCTGAGATCCAGTTCCATCAGTCGCTTCCTCTCGTCATCAATCCTGCGGGTGTCAACCCTCAAGTCCTCTCGCCTTTTCTCCTCCTCAAAACGAAAGGATTCTTCCTTCGATTTCTGCATGAGACTCTCCACTAATTTCCTGGTGTCTGATATCCTGTCTTTATCTTTCCGGATCTCACATAATTTCTTCAACATCTGTTTCTCGTACTGAGATTCTCTCAGAACACTTCTGCAAATCGTCTCGTCAATCTTTCGGTTCTGGCTCTCCTCTATTCTCCCCCAGATCGAGGATAGTACTTTCTTTTGGGAATAAAGTTTTGAGTCTTCAGCAGCTGCTGCACGAGACCTTCGGTGCGAAAGACTCTTCACGTATTTTCTCGCTTCCAGAGGATTTTTGACTCGTTTTTTATCGAAAGACCGAGAGGACTTCATAGAATCAATTCCACTGAATTCATTACGACCAATTTCCTCTTGAATCTCAAGTGTTGTCGTTGCTCTCGGGGTTTTCTCAGGTATTTCTTCAGATATCTGCGAGGGGAGAGAGGAATTGGTGAAATGTTTGGATCGCTGGATGGCCTCCAGGAACTTCTTCCTGTGCCACTCAATGACCTCCACATTTCTCACGAGCTCAGCAGACAGGGGATGATCCAAGGGTTCAGCTGGTGGTGGCAATTCGGGGACCACCGATACCTCAAATTTTGTTGAATTCGGGATGTACCTTTCTCGCTCTTTCTGCAGGGTGATGAAGTGCAGTCGATCCTTCATTTCGAGACAAAGGAAGAGCTTGTAAAACACTCGAAGAGACGCTGTACCTCGGCCATTGGAGATGTCCTCCAAGCACTTGTCATCAAAATTCACTCCTATGAACTTAGACCAGGCCCTCAGGTGTTTCAGATTAATTCGGGCCAGGGCTGGGTCCTTCGTACGGGTTATGGTCTCCAGTTGAGTCTCATTTATTATATCGTAGTTGTACAGGAGTTTTGCTAAAAGGGTACCATCTCTCGAGTAGTGACCAAACACCTCTGGAGTCAGATCTATTATCACTCCTAAACGAGACTGCAACCAGGATCTTATTATTTCCCCCATTATTCTTGGAATTATAAATTTTGATAGAGACAACTCTGAAATGAGCTCCAGAACAATTGGAATGACGATAATTAATTTTATTGAATTAATCAATTGAATTGGGAATATTCAAAAATTCACATACAGGACTGGAAAAATAAATAAATTCTTTATTAAGAGGTTTCATAATCTCAGGAGGAAATACTTTGAAAAATAGCGGACAGATATATTCTAGCTCTTCCTTAACTTCAGATTGGAATATTTTAATTTCTTCACAGGTCTCGAGACCTTGCCCTCACCCACAACAGGATTATCATGTTTTTCTGATATCCTCCGCTTTATTAAACTCATAAAATCTGACTCCCCATCAGATAATTTCGCTTTGAGCTCCTCATCATTACCTTTCTCCTTGTTTTCTCTGACTTCATCATCTCCACTGTTGTCTCGAAGAGGAGAATCCTGAGGCTCAGGGCTTGCCCCTGGATCAGGTGAGCCATTTATTTCTGCCTCATGCTGTCTTGGCGAGCCTCCCAGGATCTCCTTAACGACGAAAACACTCTTAAAAGCCCTCGGTCGGCTCTCGCAATTGAAAATAAATTCCTTGAGATCAACACCATCGATCTCCCCCTTCAGGAACATGAGGTGTCTCTTGATGGCCCGATAAAAATGGAGTTTATCCTCCATCCTGGGGAAATTGGAGCACCTGGCGCTGCTGGAGGGGACAACCCAGACAGCGGCGTCTCCTATTTTTTCACTCTGCAATCCAAAATGAAATTCTCTCTTCCTGAATTTTTCCCCGAAAACCTGATAGATGCATTTTCCATTGAACACTGCGATTCTCGGTTTGAATTCTCTCATCTTCTCGACGACGACGTCACAGCCCTTCCTGATTTCCTCTGTCGTCAGGTCGGCTGAGGATCGTGTTGCCCTGGATACGATATTCGTCAGGCCAATTTTGTACTGCAGGAGATTGCAATCCTCCTCGAAGCCGACGAATCTCGGCACTAGCTCAGACGCGTGCAGCAGTTTGTAGAAATGATTACCTGGACCTGCGTAGTATCTCCCCTTGTGTGCTGCCATCAGGCTCGGGTTTATCCCCAGGAAAACTAGGTCCAGCTCAGGCTCCAGGTAATCCTGGAGGGTATTCTTCTTCACCTCCTCCTCGGTCAAACCGTTGAATCGATTTTTCTTTCGTTTCTCCATTTTTTCCCCAAAAATTATTCAATCTCAAAATTTTTTCAATCACGTCACGTGAAAGTTGAACTAAAATATTAATATCATTTATTATTTTAAAATGTTTACTACAAAGTCTGCGAATACTTCACCTACTCTTTTACATCCTCTGATGTAAATGGAAATAATTCCAGAGGATTTGATTGGCATTCGCAAAGATTATTTCGTTTGAAATTTTTTTATATGAAATCGTGGACGTGATGTAAACACTCTACGGATGATCAGCTGATCGCAACCGCGCAATCTGCAGATTGTCGAGCATCGAATTCTATTTTATCGACGGGAAAAAATAACAGAGTCCAGTGGGTACTGCCCCCTGGAACTGCATACTCCGGTGGTCGACGTCATCGCGCCGAATTCCATGTTTAGATGCGAAATTCTCGGGTTGCATTGGTCACCAATGCGTGGGAAATAATTCCATCCGCCGTGGAATTTTCAAAAGCTCTTGATCAATTCGAAACCAAAACCATCTTTTGATTAATCAATTAATATTCAATGGATGAGGTTGCAAATTCATTTTTTTATTTGCAATTTTTTTACTTCTTTTGGAATTTCAATTTTATCCGCGAGGCGAATAAACATTTATTTTTTTTTTTAATACACGAAATTCCGGGAATTTCAAACGTGATATATATTTTTCATAATAATCTATAATACATGGAGAGAAATACCCAATAAAAATTGGGGTGCACTTTAAAAAAAATTTGGAATAACTCCGAAAAATTTTCCACTCATTGCTCCGAAATACACGGAGAGAAATACCCAATAAAAATTGCGATGCACTTTGAAAAAAATCTAGAATAACTCCAAAAAATTTTCCACTCATCGCCCCTAAATTACAATAATAAACCTAAAAAATACGTAATTTTTATTAAATATTTCTCTTCAATTTCCGAAAGTAACATTTCACGAGCTGGTGATCCACCAAATTATGAAGTTGTTGGACTGTTGTACGGGGGAAGTGTAAACAGTTGAAACTTTGGACTCCCGGGGAGGATATAGACTCCCCAGGACTTTGAAGTGGAAGTGGGGATCTGGTGAGGAGAAATACACCTGTGGGCATTCTTCGGATTGAATTCCTCCCGTCGCAGATTCTCCTGAATTTTTACGAATCAAAATTTCGGATGATTCTCCAACAGGTGGAGAAATTTTTTTGACTCGGTCACCATAAATTTGAGATAGGGACCCCGAGAGATAGCAGATACCCGATGGTTTTTCAGGCTTTAGAGTTTACGAGGAGCCCATTACCGATGCAACCCCCAGATTTTACGATCGGTATTAGAAGCTTCAAAGGGTCTAGGCTGAATCAAACGGTCGGGACGTGCCTCGGAGGGGACTCTGTTATCACTGGGCTATAGAATTGATTGGCTGTTCCAAGTGCTCGTAAAAAAGAGACTGAGAGAATAATTTTGGCCCGGGAACACCCGCCCAAAAATATCAATTCCCCTAAATAATTCTATGAATTTTTCATCAACTAATTATCAATTCATCGCCACCAATCCTCTCGTAGAATTAAAAATCCCTGGAAATTTCAATGAAACTCGTTCCACTCATTAACAATCCGTAATTAAAATAAAATTGAATTCAGACGAGGTGTTCGGGTGAAACAGGAAAAAAAATTTAATTCAAATACTTTGAGCTGGGCAAACAGAGATAAGGCGATTGCAAATAGAATTTCCTATTCGGTTTATTCCTGATGAGAGTGAGAGAGAGAGGAAGGGAATTTGGTTTTATCTCTGAAAACGCAACCCCCAAAACCGATGGCATAATTTCAATTTATAGAACAACGCAGAATAAGAAAACTAGGGAATTAATTTTTTTCTAAAAACCGTCAATTTTTTTCGAAAAAATTGATTGTTTAAATCTAAATTATTTCCATTATCATTGGATTGTTTTTTATTATTTCTGTATGGGGATTCGTTAGGGATTTTTCTCGCTGTTTTGGAAGGATTTTATAATTTTTATGAAACAACTCAAGTCGAGGCCGGAAAATATGAAAGGGTTGAAGATTGGAGTGAATTAATCAAAGTGGCGGTGCGTAGATTGGAGCCAATCAATTTGCCGTCGTACCACGTGGAGGTGAGGAGAAACTGGGGTTCAGGGGAAGGACTATCATTCACCAAGATGTACGGCTTCTAGATCCCGATATCACGTTTGCAATGTGTCACCGGCTCGTCTGCACGCCAATTAAATCCCTTCTGTCGTGCGAAATTTCCAGGGTTTTGGTTCAATTGAAACTGTTCCAGAATTTTCCACTCCCAAAAATCCATCAAAACGCTAAATTCCGGTTTAATCAGTTGAATCAATTCAACAATAGGTCATCTCGATTCATGAAATTTTTTATTTCTCGGGAAACTAGATAGAAAATTGAGATGATGAAAAAAAATGGGAAATCGCAAATTTTTTTTCATTTTTCTCAGACGAGGGAACTCTTTCAAATAAAAGAGCTGTGTGTGGATAAAACTTTTCAAGAAAGACTGAAGGATGAAGAGGGAAGGAGAAAGAGTTGGGTAATTGCGAGAGGTACGGCCGTTCCAATCAGACTTCCGTGCAAATAGAATTTTTCCGGCGGTCCAGGGGATGAACAGGCGAAAAGAGCAAGTCTACTTTTCGAGTCTTTATTGGGAGGGGTCAAAGTGTGTTATTGCGACTTTCGGCTCCATCCCAGCCTCATGTCTGTTTAATAGTTTCCCTCTTCAAACAGTGGAGACCACGAAAAACCAATTTCCACGAAATATTGGGATTTAAGATCGATTGACGAACCGCGAATCAACACGCGTCCCAAAAAAAAAATTCTATCCGGTGAACAGCTGATTCAATTAACTAGAGACTTGAGGTTTTGTATCTGCACCGAGAGAAAATTATTCTTTGCTCATGAAAATATATTTGGTATTAGCATATTTCATGCCACGAGTAGAAAATATCTTTTGTCAAGAATATTTACGAACCCGGGTAAAAAAAAATTGTAATCGGAATATTTTTTCTAAATTTTCAAAACACTTCTCGAAAACTTCTCCGAAAATTTTTCTTTTGAAACAAAAAAAAATGGGGAAACAAAACAATTTTATTTTTCGGAAATGTTTTGAAAAATTTTTCAAAAATTTCTTTCGGAAAATTTTGTAAATAATTTTCTAGAAATTTTTGCGAAATTTAATTATGAAAAAAAAATCCTAAAAATTTTTCAAAACCTTTCCGAAAAAAATGAATTTTCCTCAGTTTGAATTTAACGGTATTCCCGGGAATTTTGGTGAGTGATTGAGCAGAAATTGGCACGTCTCATTGATTTTTAGCGAAAATAGTGAATTTCCGACGGCTCAGGCGGCATGGGGTGGTGCGTACCGCGAATAGTAAAAGAACAAGCGAGAGAAATACCTGAAGCTTGAAGGATAAAAAGAGGAAGTGAATTAGCGTCAAAGGGAAGAGGACGATGGGGAGAACGAATAGCTAGTATGTCGGGCACGTTCCTGAATCGCATTATTTAATTAAAAGTCCAGGTGGAGGGAGAAAAAAAGGTCACCGGAGGGAGTACGAGACAGGGAAGATTACGAGACAGTGATGCGAGCGAATTGGACAATCCTCGAAGCTCAAAATGTCCATTCCCTCCTCAATCTCCCCTGAAACAATTTAAAAAATGCCAATAAACAAATAAACAACAAAAGATCAATTGGCCTGATCTGGCCCATTTTTTTTTTTACACCCGACAAGCGATGAAAATCGCGAATTTGGGATTGAACATCGGTAACCGAATCTGTTCATTAGCATTTCGCAGTTAACGCCGCTTCAAAATGCGAGCGTTGGCAATTAATTATGAAGGCAGTGATATAGCGTAATCTAATATCATAAATAATAGGAGCTCGCTGGGTTTCTGGCGTACAGTTGAGTCATTATTTATTCGAAGCGAATTCCCCACCGGCTCTCCACCACTGCACTCTCTATTCCCCTTTCACTGCTCATCTATGTCTCTGTCCCATGGAATTAAAACAAAATGCAATAACGAGCAACAAGGTAGCAAGTAATTGTTCAGTACCTGAGATCCATCATCTTTCGTGTCACTCGAATTTATCGCGCACTAGATTCCTCAATTTTATACCGAATAGCCTTCAAAATACACTCGTTAATTCATTATAAATAAATGTATCAATCAATTGATTAAGAAAAATTGAATACAATATTCATCGAATGGAATTTAATATCGATATTTAATATCGATATTTAAATTATTGAAAATATTATCGCAAAAATAATTTGCATTATTACCTCAAGATAAATTCAATACACGATCGAGTAAAATATCAGTTCCTCTCGGGCAATCTTTTCTACTCGTTTTGCATCGAAGAATGGAAAAATTTTTGGTATTTTCATCGAAGGGGGGAGGGGAGGGAGTGGAGGGGTGTATTGTACGATACGGGATGTGCATAAGGTATGTGGAGTATGTGACGTGGAAGACGACTGCCTCGGAAATTTGGAGGACGTGCCTATCCAACATTACCAGTACCTATGCCCCCCACGTGTACATATGCATGTACCAATGGGCTGACATTAAGAGGCACCATTCAATCCTTTCTCGTGCTGTCTCTATTTTCACCCGCGGTTCAATGTACTCCCCGATGATGCCACAGGCAGATATTCAACCGCGTAAATAGGGTAAATGCATGTTGGCGAAGGTGTGGCTAATGTAAATAATCTTCAACCTGTCAAATGCACTTGGCAGTTTTCGCCGGAGCTGCCTTGTCGTACAGTCTCATCGCGATATTTATGTTTTTTCTTGTGCGAACATCCGGAGTGATAAATTCATTGGGAATTTCATTTTTCAAAATTCTTTTCAATTTTTTTTAATTATTCTTCTACACGGGCTGAAATATTTATTGGATTATGGAGATCGAGATAAATAAAGAGAGAATTTTGAGAATGAAAATTATTATTGAAAATTATAAGACAAAGAGATAAATATTTTCTCGCTGCCAGATTACGTGAAATGTTCCGTAATTTATCCTAAATATCTCCCCCCGTGTACCCAAGAAAATCGACAAATTAAATACAAATATTCAAAAATAATAAACTTATTCCGATACTCCGTAATGAGCAATTGCACTGCAGTGCATTAATGATATTATTTTTCGCATTAATTTCCCGCGCTATCATTTATCGTTCTCCTGCGTGAATAAATAAACGGTATCTGTCCACAAATTACGACCAATTGACGGTATCGATATTCCATTCATCGACGCTGTGCATTTTCTCTTGAGATAGTTCTCGCCGAAATTTTCCGTTTATTTTCCCGAGGAAAAATGCTCGCGAGCGATTAACAATTTGATTCTGCAAATGTTCGAGATAGTGGATAACTAGTTTTCCCTCGAGTTTCTCCCCTCATCTGGAGAAGAAACTTGATTGTGATCATCAATCGTTGTCAATGGCTCGAGGTGATGTCGCCAAGGTGCGCCAGCAGTTTGATCTTATTAACATTTCCATTCCTCGTTGCAGTGGTATTGGGGAAAATAGGATTTTGCTGTAGACACGCGACCATACCGATGCATCATCGATGGCCTGTTTCCAATAAACTGTTCGCCTTATGTCTCTGTCATTAATCACACCTTTGTGAACGACAAGCAACACGAAACGGGTGGCTGAACCGCGTTCTAGGGGTGACACTCCTTACGACACGACAAACTAGTGCCAATCGGGTTTAACAGAGCGCCTCGAGGGATTCCCGTGGTTAAAATCAGTGTAACAGCGACTAAAATCAAATTCAAAAATTTCAATTGACAAAAAAATTCAAAATCCTAAAAATTTTATATTAAAAAAAAATTTTACTCCATTTTTTTTTTCAATAAAAAAAGTTTTATACATCCAATTTCTTAAATATATATTATATTATATATTGTATTATCTATTTATGGATATATAACTTTTTATTAATTGAAAAAATTATGATTAACATTAAAGAATAATATAATAAAATATTTAAAAAATTATTTCGTAACCTGAGCTTTTGAAACCGCCGAAAAAAAATGCCGCGACACTTTGCGTTGCATTCGGATTTTTTTAAAAGAAAAGGGGAAAATCTTCGGGTAATAAACAGTTGTCATGGTCCGTGGTCAGGACAACCCTGAGACCCCATCATCTCCGGACCCAAGATGAAGAAATGTGTTTTACGAAATATTGGGTTTCATGTGTTTCACGTTTATTTGAAAAGAGAGAAATAAAAAATGGGAGCACACAGTGAAATGGAAGCAAATGGGAAGAGGAGTATGTATGAGGAAACCTATTTTTTCCCCCACTGTGAAGGTGGGTGGGTGGGTGGTTGGAGGCGCGTCGGCGCGACACGATAAAACCTAGTGCATTGAGCTACAACTCGACCAGTGAAGGTTGCGTCCTCGATGTGAGAATGCCGACTGTCAATCGAACCTCTGAACGGCCATCCACGTGGTCGTTTAGTCTACGTGTCACCAGTAAATAATAACCCGAAGATAATAAATTATTAACAATCCAGTGAAGAACAGGTAAATATTGTATAATGATTTGTTCAATTCTCTTTTCCACTCGAAAAATCAGGTTTTATTATTAAATTATTTATATATTATTAAAATCCATTGATTACTCATTCTCATTTTAGATCATCAAAATTATCACCTGCAAGTCTCTCCACCAGTCTTGATCTCCTGAATTACTGATAAGACTCTGGCTGTGATTGCGCTCGTTTCTCGCTGTCACGTTCGTCAATTTTCGACGGTATCAGATAAGAAGAGGAAAACCCAGTGAAAATTCATGGAAATCAATTTGAAAAGTGAGGGAGGAAGTTTCTTCGATTCAAGTACAGAGTCAAGAGGTGATGTCTAAATCTAGAGTGGATTGGTGACAAAAGTTTAGGCTTTTTTTTCATTCTGGGAGCGATGATAGATGCTGGGGGAATAGGTGAAAACTATCGATAGGGATTTTAGAGTGAATAAAAGGAGAGATGTCCTGTGATAAAGCATCAAAACGCCTGCGGTGCATCATCACAAAGGCGAGAAGGTTGGGTTTAACCGAGTGGGAGTTGGCTGATTTATCTGGCGTCAAGAGAATCACGTCGTCAAGCACAAGTCCAAGTACTTGGTCGTTAGTTGCAGTGATGATTGGATTAATTATTGGAGGAACTTTGGTACTGGCTACTGTGTGCTATCCTTGTGGCAGGAGTATTCATCATCCTCGTGGGGCCACTTAATCTCCATGGACTACTAATTGGTAAATATCATTTATTGTTTATTTAAATTCATCCAAATTCATCCAAACTCATCCAAACTATATTATTTTTATAATCATCGCAATCGTTTTTCAGATATCATTTTTTTTTTTTGGCGAAATCAGCCTAAATTGTTGACTGGACTATGAATACATGAATACATTTTAATTCACCACTTGCCAAACTTTCGTAATATAGAAATCAAAGGCCAATGTGGAGTCACGACCGATGTTACAGTTCGTTAGACATTGCAGTGGGTAATGACGCGTTATCGTCGTCCCTCTTTCGCAAAAGCTCCTTGCCGTTTCCTTTATACACAACTCCTTGTTCTCCGTGAGAAACTCGGTGAACTCATCCCCTCAGCCAAATTAAATCCCCACCCCAGTTGACCCGGCATTCCTTTTTCACATCCAACTTTTATATCGCGCCTTTCCAATTAATTTCTGTGTTTATGCTTTCAGATGCTCGTGGATGCAGCAGCATTCTCCGTCAATAACTCGAGAATGATTTTTAATAATAATGTGTAATGATAATGCATTTGTTGAGAATAATTGAGAATAAAAATGAGAATGAGAAGTTTGGAGGATTTATTTTATTATCGCACATCGTCGCATAATTATTTTTTTTAATAAGTAATCAATTATTATTTTGTTTTAGTTTTGTCCAAAAAAGTTGTACAACTTTTACAATAAGTTTTACAACTTATCGAATCTAAGAATTGAGAAAAAAAATGGAGTAATTAATTTCATCTATTTCCAAAACAATAATTCTTCAGATTCTCCTTTTATCATTATGATTGATAAAAAAATCGATAAACAAATAGAAAATCCGTGACGATCGTTAATCATCGGCACTTCGTCTCAATATTTTCCCTCCGATTTTCCAATTTTTAAATTCCAACTGCAACAAGCAACAGCATTAGAAAATTGGAAGAAAAAATCGTACGATTGCACGTGATGACGGGGATGATGGGGGTGATGAAAAATAGAGTGGGGTCATCGACTGGGGGGATAGGGGGTGGTCAGTATTCCCCAGTGCAATAAGGTGGAGCGGAAGGCATGAGGCCAGCAATTTCAACGGGCGTTTGGCCTCGCCGATATACAAACGGCTATTATTCCGTCGCGTGACGCGCAACGCTCGGTGCACTCTGGTATAATGACAATTCGCTTCACGTGGCCGCGCCAAAGCAATGCACAACTTCCTATATGCGGCTAGGATACACCTTCGCAATGAGCCTTGAGGATCGATCTCGACCGTAAATTCCAACGGTGGACCAAACCAGAGCAAATTCAATAGTCCTGAATCAAGTTGGGCTATTGTTCACTTTTGTTCAACGTTACTGGGGGAATAAACACTTGCACTACCTCCAGGGCTTTCTGTTCTCCACCGTTGGAAAATAGCATTTTGAATTTAAAGTGAAAAAAAAAAGCTGAAGATTTCTCAGGAATTCTTCATTAAGGAATTTTTTTATTTTTTGGTCATTGAAAAACTGAAAATATTTAAAAATCCCAGCTTTTTACTTAAAAAATAAATGATTAATGATTTAGGAATAACTCAGAAATTAATTATTTCTTTAAACAATAAAAAATCTAAAACTTTTATTCAATAAAACAAAAAAATCTAAATATAATAAAATAATAAAGATTATTTTCCAATAAAAAAAAATGATAAAAAAATGAATACGCGAATAAAGTCGGTATTTGTTGGAGTGACCCCCTCGCATAATAAAAATAATTCTCGGTAACGGTGCGATATCTCTCTGAGACACGATAAAATGTAATCCACGTGAAATCGTCGGCATTACCCCCACCCACCCAGTTTTATACCTGACACTCGTAAATTGCTTGCGCTTTCTCGCTACTTAAGTAATGAGCCAAAGTTTCCAGCCCTGTCGGAGGCTGGGCCGATACTGTAACACCCACATCCCGTACTAACTCCACTCACGCAAATTAAAGGGATCGAGAAACAATGCGAGGTAAAGAGTCTGAAAAAGAGAAGAAAGTACTCCGGAGAACTTGAGTGATGAGGGCGAATGGAGTAGGTGTAGTCAATCGGCGTTGGCAACCACCCAGATCCCCCATTCCCTTTTTCCCTCTCAAGTGCGAGAAAATTTTGCGCTAATGCGGGTATGTTTCATATTTTTTTTTACGATTCCCACCGGCAATATATCAGTAATAAAGAAAATGAAGATTTTTCTTCAATTGTCCACAGCTATTCTTTTATCACATCCACATGTTTCCAGTGCAACGAACTCAACCAATTAGCCATGGCCAATTGGAGCATGAGTAACGAATCGTGCGTGCTAATTCGCGATACGACTACGTAAAAAATAATTGAGAGTGAAATACCATTAATTTTCAAAATTCGCGGGTATAAATTACATTTTACTTCAAGACTCTCACGATTAAAATTTATATTTTTTTAATCGGGGAGAAAAATTCTAGACAATAATTTAATTTCTCTGAATCGTCAATCTTTCATTTAATTTTTCATTCACCATGAAAAACCAATCTTCTTGCATTTTCAGGATGAATAAAAATTTTAATGATCCTTTTTAATTGAAATGAAAGTCAAGCTCGTATAATGGGAATTTCTGATGGATTTGTGACTGAAATGGTTGAAATTTCCGGGAATTTCCAAGAGCTTAGAGTTAAGAACTTTGAAGACTCGTTTTTTTACGACGAATTGACGACAAATTCCCCGACTTGTTTGTCAGAATTGTCAAGCGATAAAATCGGTGAGGAGTGCCGTTTAACGGCCAATTACACGGATTATAATTCCCGTAAAATGCCTCCATCGTATTTTCATTATCGTTCCCTCGAGTGCTACGAAATTGTCCGAACCACGTAGAACACTCTCGCCCCTATCTGCACTAGTCGTCACTAATGAGAAAACTTTTCCAGGAAATTTTCGGGTGAAAATACGAATGGTATTCAGCCCTTGTCCGCAAACGGGACGATTTTTTATTTATCCCGTTGAATTATTCAACAACTCAGAAACGCAAACGAATAATTCTTAAAAAAAGAAAAGATAAAAATGAATGAAAACGAAGAAAATGAATGAATTTGCGTGAAAAAATGGCAATCCATGGATAAAATTTTCCGAAGAGGGAAAAATCATTTACATTCGCTTGATTTTCATACAAGACCCACCTCTCATTGTTTTTTTTTTTTCGACCATTGGAACAGCACCAGATGGTCAAGATATATATCACGGTGTCCGAGAATACCTAGGGTGAGGATGGAATAACGACTGATAACAGTTTCTGGTCCAGCAAGTGGAGGGCATAAAAACTTTCGTAATATAAACTTGCTCTATCACAGGAGTGTGGCTACCGAGGAGCATTTCCAATGGATTTTATTCCTGATGTGACACGACAGCCCCGGTATTTCCTGATTTATTATTTCCATTCACCAAAACGCAAAAGCCGTGTTCACAATTTTTATCTCGTGACGCCTGTACCCCGTTTTATTTTCCAATTAGTGCCACCTATTTTTCTTTTTATCAATATGAAAACGCCGAGACTGTCCCTCGCAGATAATTACCCAGTTACTAATGGACAATTAAAACTTGGTAACACGATAAATTGAATGGAAAAAGAGTCAGTGGACGTACACATCTCTCCTAGGGGAGAAAACTAGACCCTTTTGGTAACTTGGTGGGTGATGCTGAGAGAAAAGTTGAGCCAGTGAAAACCTAAACTATGTTCCAGGAAAAATCAACCAAACACGCTTTTCCCACTCAACTTCAACCTTCAATAATCCATATAAAAATGTAACGCCAGAGGAAAAATAAGCCCGTGTAATGCGACCAACAAAAACGCCGAGAGCTCTTTTATTCCGTTTTTTTTTTCGCTGAGAAATATAAACTGAAGTATTTTTTTAATCTCTTACCTGATAAAACGTACATGCAGTAAGCTTTTTCCATTTTAAAAAAATAACCAACCATCGACGAAATAGGATAAGCGATTTCGTACAATCTCTATGCTTTTATAGGATTTATTTCCCATTAGATCATTAATCCTGGCAACCAGAGAAAAGAAATAGAATTTAAATTGATTAAAAACATGAAAAATTCCATTAAATCTATAAACTGCGACAATAAAATTCTCCGTAAAATGGACCGATAGCTTCAGCCAAAAATTTTAACCAATCGCGGTAAAGAGGATGACTCCATAAATAAAAAAATAATAATTCTCGCGTATAACAATTGACATGAATATTTACCCATCGTTGAATTTTATTCATACCCGTGCATAAGTTGTGAGCACCAGCAGCACGTGCTGATTACGACGAAAACGAACTCATAAGACGGGAAATGTTAGGTAAAACCTCGAGACAAATAGATTGCGATGAAAATGAGAATCAGCGTAATAGGAGCTCATCAGATATTCATCTCGCACACGTTGGAATCATCGGGGAATGTCATAAGCCGTTGGAGCCCCTGGGTAACTGCCGTCTCGTGGATAATACCAATGATGGATGTCTGAAGAAGAGCTCTCCCAACTATTGGGTAATAAGAAAGGTTTAAATTTCAGGGAATTAGTGGGCCGTAATTGGAGATTATTCAACCTGACTCTTAGTTCGTCGTTGTGGATGCTAAATGAACGGTGGATTATTTATAAAAAAATCTAAAAAATTGCATTCGATTTTAAATTTATACGGAGATATCTTATTCAAGACACCCCGGGTGATTGCTAATTGGATTTTCCACCTGGTGGTGCTACCCTAGCACTGTCCAAAGTGTACCTCGACTAATTGACAATTTCACACTCGGTCGTGGACGGTAATTAAGCTGCCACACGAGGCTTTTTGTTTTAGACAAGGCGAATATGACCTTTCCTATTCTTGTATTTTTCATTGTCTTTATTATTAGAAAAACCGTGGAATAGCTTCATTAATTAGTTAACAGCATTCCCACTGATGTCACTAATTTATTCTTTTTTTACGAATTTTTAATTAATAATTAGGATATAATTGTCGGAGAGAAATACTGGGGGACAGTTTCTTTGAAAAGGATTCATTAATGAATCTATTTTTCCCTCTCGTTCAGCTTTAACTGCTGAATCTTTTGACACTTTCCTGACACGTAATTTCCTCAGGGGGATGACTTCTACCTTGTGGAGGGTGAAAACGTTACGGATTTTCGTGCGAGAATGATCGACGTTCTGGTGGATCGAATTGAGCGTCAGCACATCCAGTGAAACCTTAAAAATCGAACTTTGAGACTCGGTGGTGGAAAAATGACGATACATATTAGCGAATCCTGAATAAGATGAGACACCAGCAGACCTCGAGATATTGCGCTGTCATCTTTCGTTGACTTACCCAGTCGAGGTACAGTGAACTCGTTTGCACACTTATCGTGGTATTCCCTGTCATCTGAATGTGGTGCATTTGTTGGGCATCGACCGAGCGTGACAATAACAGCTCCAGCCGCTTGGAAATTATCCACGAATTTAGATATTGTCCCTTCCGGTCCAACTGTCAGGCAGACTCACCAGTTTCTATGAAAATCCGGGGTTCATCTATGCATGAGGAAACTTCAAAGGCTTCCGCATGAATTTCGGCACCTTCTTTTTTCTCTCATGCAACCACCGCTCTATTTTTTTCCGATGAATATCATTCAACAATAACATATTCATGCCGTCACCATTTTGCTGACACCTCTGGGCCCTAAGATGGCGGCGCCAGAGCGGTCCATCTCGCATTTTCAAACACCTCTTAAAATTACGTATCGATTTTTAATTCAATTTCGTAAGTTTCGTCGCATTCTCGGGATGTGAACAATTGCGATTTAATGATTATTTCCATATTTTATTATAGCACATATTTTTAAATGAAATTCGTCGCTAATTAATTCGCGAAGAAAGGGATATCTCGAAATCAAAGGCAGTTGTCAAGATATTTTATCCGTCTCCGCGTATTTAAAATGGATTTCACTTTGCCACCAGACAAAAGTTGCCGGAAGAGTTGAAGGCTTGAACTCTGTGAAATAGTAGCGCTTTAGTGTAGCTCCCCGTGGCATTACACCCCTTTAAAAGAGGAAGAGGGGAATAGGGATCGAGATAGGGCAGATTGATGAGGCACTTCATTAATGGATAAAGTGTTGCGTCGCCGCGTTGGCCGCGAGTCCTGTTCCTGCCTCGTAATCCCACCCCCTCCCACTTCCGGTGACTATATCCGGAATGCAAACGGCATGGAATTTCGTTCTGCCCCATTGTGGCGCGTTAAGCCATCTCTCTTCCCTTTCGTCAGATTAAAAAAAAAAATTATCCCCAACGAGCTTGCAAATTCACAAAAGCCCAATGTCACCGCTGGTATAAACGACGAATATCATAACGAATTATGAATTCGGAGGGGATACTGACGATTTCTCAGGGAAATTTTGAGAGTAAGAAGCTTCCTAGATGGTGGGATCACGTGCCCCCTTGAGCCTACGAGTAAATCACGGGTAATAACCGTTTGGGAGGTAAGGAAGAGGGAAGTAGGTGTAAGCCTTATATACGAGAGGTACTCGAGCTCTGTGCGGTTCTTCATATTGTCTCCAATCCTGGGCCTTTCTATGAACTCAGGGACTTATTCTCTTTGATCACATCCAGTGGCATGTGAATCGGCAAAAATCTATATGCATACCTTATTTATTACCTATCTCGGAATATTTTCGGTATGAATTCAATCGATTTTGGGGAAAAATGTCAGAAGAGAGTTTTCGAATGGTCTTCCGGAAAAAGTAAAAATTTTTCGCTTCACAACTGCGATATTAACATACAACACCTCCACACAGACTCGTTATAACGCGTAACGGCTCAACGTCCTGGCAAATGGTCCCGAGTTTCACGGTTGCACATCCCGGTGCTAAATACATATATACATGTATGTAAGCGTTATGTTCCCCGGAGGGTACATACGTACGCGATTCACATAACACGAACGCGAGCGCATACATGGATGGACTAGTGTACAGAGAGAAAGGGGTGAAGTATAACCAGTAACAGCTTGCCTAAATTCTATCTAAATTCAAAACAGGAGTGAAATTGCCATCAGCTACCGTCGGACACTCGTCAGTCTGTCCAGAAATACCGTTAAAATTGCAAAATATGGGAATAAAAATATTGCAAAATTATATTTCAGTAAGAAACTAGTTAAAGCAGATGAAACCAGTTTTTCAGTTTTATTGAATATCAACTGATCTCCAATACTATTGATTTCAGTGAAAAATATCAGGAGACCTTTTTCGGAGGAAATTTTGTCGGCTACAAAAAAGGTCTCATGATGTTTTCTTGTGAAATCGATGGTTTGCTAAATAAACCCGTAATTACAAATTCATAATTCAAAAATTATGGAATAACGATTAATTATTTTGAACGTAATTTTGCTCGGAGATCTTTAGTTTCTCGTTGAGACCCAGGGGATGCGATTTTTCCCGTCTCGTAGGTATCACACCCGTGCAAACACCAAGTTGATTAAAATCTAAAGCGTATGTACCCGAAGACTCAGTTAAATCCGTTTCTATTCTTCTCACGTTGAGGAGTTTCGTGTAAATAATAGCGTCATCAGCGTCGAATTTCCCACGAGCGTATTCAACAATTGGAGAATTTTCTTGAAATTTCTCATTGTCACTTTGACAATAACTACAGTATCTCCTCGAAGATACTTCCAACTCCATTGGATTTGTCGAAGAAACCAGAATCCCTTGAACGCGTTCAACCAATTCTATTTTGTTTATCACCAAGGGATAAAAATTATTACGACAGCATGCGCTATCTTAGTTTCTCGGTGATGACTCTTTCAGCTCGGTTAATTCTTTCGCAAGAGCTCGCACCGCTCGGAAAATTCACAATTCATGAGGGGAATATATTTCCACACTCTCGCAGATCAGATAATCACCGGGTAGAGCCAAATTTTTCAACTAAACACCCAGAATTTTAATCGCCAGTCACCGCGATAAAAAAAAAACGGAAATGTCATAATCAAATATTCAACGGGCTTTCGAATATCGGGGGATTAATTCAGGATTGCGATTGGAGAGTTACTGACAATTGTTTGTGAAACTGTGATAAATGCGAGCGCTCGTTAGTGCTCCATGAAGCTTGACGATCAGATAGTTGCGTCAATCGTTAGTCCATCCAATTGAAGCAAGAAATTGTCGAATTCCCTGGTGAGAAAATTACCCAAATACTGCATATCTACCGGTTGAAATTCAAATAAAAAAAAATAACCAAGGAATTTCCAGGAAAATCATCGAATAAATTCACCCCAAACTCATCATCATTAATATATTTCCATAATTACTCATGTTTTATTTTCCAAATTAAATTCCTTACGCGTAGAATATAATAGTATAAACTACAATACACTGACTACCTTACATTATCTGAAACACCTTTCATAATAAATCGATACCGTCAGAACTCAAAATTATTCACCAATTGAATTGATCAAATTTCAAAACTGCTCCCCAAATGGAAAAAAACCTGAAATCAATCGCTTCAATCATCAAAAATTCATTCACTCTCCTCCCCCGAAATTCCACTGATCCCCAGAACTCCCTGAAGAAGCCAAAAAAAATCTAGACAACTTGAATTCAGTCATCGACACTGTACAATAGAAAAGCTGTCATTCGAGAGCTATCCCCTGCGATTTCGTACGAATAATTAAAATAATAATAAAAACCCGAAAGAATAATAATTAAGAGAAAATTAATTAGTTGTCATCAGCATCGTCTGACTCAGAGATGTATTTTTTAGTGACTCGTTTCCTCCTGCCAGCACCTCTCCCTTCGCTTTTTCTCCCCTTAAGCTTGATTTTCATTCTAACACTGTCGCCATCGGATCCCGCATCATCACCATCATCATCGGACATATTGCCATCCTTCTCGAGCCTCTGCCTTGCCTCGACGAAAACATTCTGCAATACCATAGAATCCTCATAAATGAGTGATGTTTCCTCATTATAAATCTGTGCGTTCTTGCACAACTGGAGGAAATCCTTCTCGAGTTCATCCATCTCCGAGTACTTGCCCTCCTCGACCTTCTGCATGAGTTTATTAATAGTCAAAGGTTTCTTAATGACATCGTAATAATCAGGAAGTTCCCTCCTGGATGGCAACTTCATGAAGGGCTGACTAAGAGTCCTGCCATCCGTTCCTTCTGTGTAATTAACAACAATCCTCAGTAGCTTCTTCATAGCCTTTCTCATCTTGACATCAGCAGTACCACCCCTTCTCTTTTTCGGTGTAGGCTCATCGTCCTCCTCGCCCTTCTTCTTACGTTTTCTCGTCTTCTTCTTTCTCTTGTCGTCCTCCTCCTCCTCCTCGTATTCAATTCCATCATCATCGATGGCCTTGAGCCACTCTTTTTCAGTGAGACTGTCAGTATAATCGACCTCTTTCCTCTGTCTCGAGCCCCTCCCAAGGAATGCATCCTCGTCCTCCTCGTAGGTCCACCTCTCGACCTCATCGTCATCCTTGACGAGCCAGTCAGGGAGTTCAGTCTCTTCGAGAAGTCTAGGCTTCCTGTCAGGCCCCAGTTTTGCCTCTTCTCTCCTCCTCTCGAGATCAAGCTTCTGGAATTTCTCAAACTCTCCTTCACTCCTGGCAATCATCCTGTTAACGACATCATCATCAGGCACTTCGCTCTCCTCTTCATCATCTGCATCGTCCTGATGGAGAATACTCTGGAGGAACTGCTGTCTCTCAGAACCTGTCGATTTCTGATCGAACATTCCAGCCTGAATGACCTTCTCATCCATATTTAACTTGTACCTGGCAGCAGCGAGAATTCTTTCCTCTACAGAATTAACTGTCATAAGCCTGAGAACTCTGACCTCGTTCTTCTGGCCAATTCTGTGGGCTCTGTCCTGGGCCTGAAGATCCTGATGAGGATTCCAGTCAGAGTCGAAGATGACGACAGTGTCAGCAGCCTGGAGATTCAGTCCCAATCCTCCAGCCCTCGTGGACAGAAGAAAGAGGAAGTAATCAGACCCTGGATCATTGAACTTCTTCAGGAGATCCCCTCGATCCTCAGCTTTGGTTGTTCCATCGAGCCTGAGATATTTGAAGCCTCGCCAGCTGAGATAATCCTCCATAATCGTCATCAATTGAGTCATCTGACAGAAGAGGAGAACCCTGTGATTAGTGGCCTTGAGCTTCGGTAAAATTCTGTCCAAGAGCTCGAATTTTCCTGATGCCCTGTAGAGGTCAGGCCCAGTGACTACCCCCGAGCCCTGGACCCCAATGTGTTCGCAATATTTCTCCTCGATGGCTTGGAACATAAAGGGATGATTGCAGAGTTTTCTCAACTGCACAATAGTATTCATAAGAGCCTTGGCACCTCCTTTTCCTTGTTTACCCTTTTCTGAGCCATCAGTCAGGAGAACTCCCTTGCTCTGCATGTGTTTATAAAGTACCTTCTGCAGTCCAGACATATCACACTTGATGATATACTCGACCTTGTCAGGAAGCTGTGACTCTACCTCCTTCTTCAAACGTCTCAACAAGAACGGCCGAAGAACCTTATGCAAACGACGAATAATAAGAATCGTCTCCTCCTCATTCAGCTCGACCTTCTCTCCAGTAGTGGCAAAAGGTGCATTGAACCATTGCTCAAAAGTGCTGCACGACTTGAATATCGATGGCAGGAGGAAATTGAGAAGAGCCCAGAGCTCTGGCAATTTATTCTGCAGAGGTGTTCCAGTGAGCAGAAGCCTATGAGGTGCGAGATAATGAGTATTCAACACCTGCGTGAGCTTGCAGTGATGATTCTTCATTCTGTGACCCTCATCGATGATCATGTACTTCCACTGGAGTTTTGCGAGGACCCCCTTATCCTTGATTACGTACTCGTACGTAGTTAACAGGACATTGAACTTAGTTGCCCTCATCTGGGACTGAATGGCTCGCCTACCAGCTGGTGATCCCTTGTACGAGACAACGACAACACTCGGCGCCCACTTCTCAAACTCAAGGACCCAATTTGATAATGTCGACAGAGGAACAATAATCAAAAAGGGCCCATTGACCTTTTTCTTCTCCATGAGATAAGTGACAAGGGCAATTGTCTGGATGGTCTTGCCAAGTCCCATCTCATCAGCGAGAATTCCATTCAAGTTGTTATTGAAGAGAGATACAAGCCACTCGAGACCCTTGATCTGGTACTCCTTGAGGTTTCCATTAACCATAATTGACGCCTGCTCTGTAACGACTTCATGAACAGTGTGAGCAATGCTGTAATAAGTCTGCTCCTCAGTCTTGTACTCGTCGTCCTCGACTTTGGCCTTGGCGATGGTGTGGTGGGCATCATCAGCACCCTCCTTAGACTTATCCTTGCTCTCTGATCGTTCGTCGTTGTCCTCGTCGTCATCATCATCCTCCTCGCTGTCAGACTCGACAGCCTCCCACCCAGGATGAGCCTCCAGCCAGGCATTCAACTGACTCATGAGAGGTGCTTCCTCCCCAGTTAAAGTCCTACCAGTGTTCACTTCAATGACACTCACCCTGTGATCCACCTGGTTGCCATCCTCACCGGTCTCTCCATCCTGCAGCTTCTTCTTCTTCTGTTTCTTTCTCTTCTGCTCCTCCACCTGCTTTTTCTTCTGCTCCATTTTATGTTGTTTCACCATCTCCGTGAGATTGCATATGTACTCGTCAGTCTGGGACAACAGGAAAGCCAGACGTTTATCCTTCTTCTGATCGATGAGTTTTCTGTATCCCTCTTCATCCTCAGCCATCAGGCGCCTCATACGTTCCTTCTCAATTCTCTCCTGCTCCTTCTTCTGCTCTCTCTCGGCGTTGGCATGATAATTGAGGACTGCTTTATTGAGACGAGCCAATTTTGCCACGTTGTTCCTGTGGAACTCCTTGAAATCCTTGCCATGCTGAAGAACAGAGCTGAGGAACTCCTGGTGTTTGAGCCGACGTTTACGCTCAGCCTCAAGCTTCTGCTGCTTCTCGAGCTTCTCCGTGGCACGTGCCTCTCTCAATCCCTGCCTCTTTGTTCTTTTGTAAGCTTTTACGTTAACAGCTGTCTCCAGTGTGGTGTCCTTCCTGGTGCACGCCAAAATTTCCGTTCTGAGTTGACGCTGGAAATTCAGGACCTTCAACATTCGTAGTTCTATTTGCGCCTGGATTCTCAAGTCTTCAGGCATATTCGTAGGAAGATTACTGAGCTGCTCCATCCTCAGGGCAATTCTCGCTGCAACACGATTCTCACGCTCCTGAAGGATCAGCAGAGGATCGAGACCTGCTGGCTTTGATACACTTGTCACTCGATTTGTCTTTGCCCCTGGCTGCTGCTGATTCTGCTGTTGCTGTTGCTGATTCTGTTGTTGTTGCTGCTGTTGCTGCTGCTGCTGATTTTGATTCTGATTAGGCTGCTGCGGCTGCTGCTGCTGCTGTTGCTGTGGCTGCGGCTGACTCTGAACTGGTTGACTACCTGGACGTACCTGACTCGGTCCAATACCCGGCATTTGTGGACCTGAAGAAGGAACTGGACCTTGAGAAGAGTCGATTGGGCGTTGACCCATACCGGGAGGAGGGGCTCCACCTGTTGTGGTGTCAATCGGTTTAGGGGGGCAGGATCACTCTACTCTACTTTTGATATTTCAGCCATTGATATTTGATACATGCAGATGTAAAAGTTCAGAAAGCATCGAATTTCTACTTCAATAATATAATGCAGAACAGAAACAAAAGAAGAGTAGTCACCCAAAGGAGGCGAAAAGAATTTTGAAAAAATAAAACAAGCATTTACCTTGAACAGCCAGAGCAAGCTGTTGTGAAAGTGGTTGATTCCTGGCAAGTAATCTGTACGCCATGATCTGTACCCGAAGTTGCTGTAGTTGCTGAGAGCTGAAGGTCTGCCTCTCGCCCATTCCACTGCCCTGTTTCGCCCTAAGAGCGAGCAGTTGAGAGTAACGAGGATCCTCCTGAAGGCCCTTCTCTTCCATGGAGTCAATGGCCTTCTGCAGTGCATTGAGATTCTCCTGTCCAGAATTGGGAGGCATGGGTGGCCCAGTGGCAGGAGCCCCCTGTGTCGTAGAATTATTGGGGCTCATTGGTGAGGGCCCACTAGGTCCAATCTGTGCATTGGGAGTGCCTGGAGGCATGTGAGAGGCAGCAGCGCCTGGAGGGCCCCCAGGAATGTGAGGCTGACTGGTTTGAGCCATAGGAGGAGGCCCCCCAGGAGGCATGTGACTGGGCATCGTTGTGTTCATGTGCCCTGAGGCTGGAGGGCCACTCATGTGTCCCATTCCTCCCTGCATGGGTGGATTTTGAGTAGCCGGAGGCATCTGACTCGCCATCTGACCCATCCCTGGTCCCATCTGACTGCCATTACCAGGCATCGGAGGTCCTGACATCTGATTAGACTCTGAGACAGGCATCATCTGACTCGGAGGCATGTGAGGGCCCGCCTGATTCATTGGTGGGCCCTGGGGTCCTCCAGGAGGCATCTGGCTTCCTCCAGACGGCATCATCTGACCCCCTGACATCTGGCTGGGAGGGATGTGCCCTCCGGAGCCTGGAGGTCCCCCCTGAATATTGGGATTAGCCTGAGGCATCTGTCCTCCAGGCATCATCTCGTTCTGCGGCATGTGAGGTCCTGGACCCCTCGGCATCTGTCCCATACTCGAGTTCGGTGGCATCTGACTCCCTCCAGAACTCGACATCATCTGTCCTGGTGGCATGTGACCACCACCTGGTCCTCCCTGAGACATTGGAGGAGGTGGTGGTCCTCCTGGTGGCATGTGACCCCCAGGATTCATGTGCCCCGCTGATGAGTTAGTAATGTGACCCCCTGGGGGGATGTGACTGTTCTGAGGCCCTGGGGGCATGTGACTCGGCATCGAGGAGTTCATGTGACCTCCTGAGAGTGGACCTGACATGTGAGGAACACCTGACATTGGAGGAACACTCTGGGGCTGCTGCTGGCTCTGCTGCATCTGATTGGGACCCATTTGATTACCACCCGGGCCCATCTGAGCTGGACCACCACCCATTGGAAGAGATCCACCTGGACCCATCTGCCCTGGACCCATTGGACCCGTTCCTGGACCAACTCCACAGGAGATCGACTGAAAACAAGAATTTTCATAGATTTAGCCTTGAAATCTCTCAGCCAAAATCTAAACTCCCGTGTCAAGGACAATGAACATTAAAGTCAAGTGGTCAATTGTAGAATCTATGGTCACCCCACTTTGATTTAAACTATCGTTGAAATCACTCAGTGAGACTATTACTCCATTGTCTACATTTGGAAATAGCGCGCAGTTATGGTTTGGTCGAGAACTCGTGTCTCTTTTATTATTTTTCCTGGTGATTTTATCGAAATGAATAACGAGGAATATTCCGGCCATTGGACAACATATATATGACCTGGTTGGACCATGCCTCGTGTACGTGACGACCCAGCACCGGTGGCGTGAACGTCGATGGAATTGAAAACAAAGGGCAATGATATCATGACACACAAGCACGTGCTGCGAATTGCACCTGTAGGCAATCCATTACTCATTTTCTTTATCTCCCGATGATTACCGGACACTATCCCAGGATCAGGCAATCGTTTTAACAGTTCTTCAAATTTTCTCCCCGCATTATTTTCATTCAAAAAATTTTTATTTCCCATAATTTGTCGATTATTTCTGTTTTTCACCTGGAGTAATCGCGAAAAATGTGAAAGATGGAAATATATTAGCTTATATATTATCAATTATATTGAGACCAGGAATTTTTTTTATTTTCCAATGGAAATAGCCATTGCGATGGTGTAATGTCTATCAAGTGTATTGCAACGTGCGCATCATCTAGGGGATGGTGGGGAGGCCAGAGGGTGGACGGATAAATACCGTACCTCCTGGCAATGTCACGTCACTTTGACATTAAACGTTAGACAAACTAGACCCGCGAGAGTGCGATAAATGAATAAAAATCATCGACAGATAATGGCAACAGATCAGGACCTGGACCATTGCTTCGATTTCGCGATGAAATTAACAGTGGAATCGGCAAAGGTAAGAGACAACCTGAAGACCCCAACCAGTCAATCCCCTGACAAATTGAATCCTTCGATTCTAGATAATCAGGGAAGCCATCGAGGGTGGCAAGAACATTGAAACCAAAGCTGGTGATTGGGATCTGGTGACTCAATACGATAAGAGAGTCGAGGAGGTCCTGATAACGGGTCTCGCAGAGGAGTTTCCAAATCACAAGTGAGTTGTCCCCATGATATCCATCAAGAGCTCATCAAGTTGAGAGATAAATCTGTGCAGATTCATCGGAGAGGAGACTGTATCGAGTGCTAACTATCTCCCAGCCCTGACCGATGCTCCAACCTGGATAATCGATCCAATCGACGGTACAACGAACTTTGTCCACGCTTTTCCACACACTTGCATATCAATAGCACTGACAGTAAAAAGTCAGCTAGAGATTGGAATCGTTTACAATCCAGTGCTGGAGCAGATGTTCACGGCTAGACGAGGTCGTGGGGCTTATCTCAATGGGAAATCAATCAAAAGCTCCAGCATATCAGGTAAAATCATTTTTACTGGCCTGGAAGACAATACGATTCATTGAATATGTTGATACGCAATGTCAAATCGTTATTCTTCGGTTGTTAATTGTTGCCGATTTTAGAATTGAAGAGTTCTCTGATCTGCATCGAGGCGTCATACGCAACGATCGAGGAAATCAGAGATATAGTTCTGGGTAGGCTGGAGGCATTTGTCTCCGTAGCCCATGGAATAAGGACAATGGGTTCAGCCGCCCTGACCCTCTGCTACGTAGCGATGGGAGCGGCTGAAGTCTACCACAGCGACAACCTCATGCCCTGGGACGTTGCAGCTGGTGCTCTAATAATTCGCGAAGCCGGTGGAGACATTATCGACACATCTGGGGGTGATTTTGACCTGATGAAGCCAAGGGTTTTGGCAATTGGCAACAGGAAAATTGCACCAGAGCTCGTTAAACTCGTTCACCTCGCTGATAAAAAAACACATCGCAAAAGAACAGCATAAAAATTTGATTTTGTACATCGTTAATCGATTAATAAACGTGTCATTATAAATCTTTGGAAATAACCGGCGTCTAGCTGACTAGATCCTTGCAGATGCTTCGTTAAACAATTGGCGGGGATTTTTGAATGGCACGGAAGGTCGGGGATTAATTGATAGTGTTAATTATTGCGATACGAGGCTGCGACGAATTGCAGTCGTCGTAGAGCAGCTGTACGTGCAGGAGAATATTTATATCTCACAAAGAGGTATATATTTTTCTCTTTATCGTTTGATTATCTCAGCTTGTGATAAGAATCTTTATTTGAGGAGCCGTGACAGCAGTTGAGGGCCTTCAATTATGGATATATCAAGAGAAATCGAGAGATATTTTCAGGCCGCTAGGAAATTAACCCTCGAGGCTGGAAAGGTACGTGGAAATTACAATTGGTCGTCCTCGTCAAGAATCACTAAAGAGGATAAATATCTAGTTTCAGTCTTAATTATTCATCGGTTCTATTTAACGAATAATTAAGTTGATTTGCAGCTGATAAAGGCGGCGATTGAAGCTGAGAAAAATGTTATGGCGAAAGGAAATCAAGGTGATATCGTCACGGCTAATGACCAGGAAGTTGAGAAAATTTTGATCTCAGGGTTATCGTCTGAATTTCCGGAGCACAAGTACATTGTTACTGTATTTTTAATCCAGGCTACATCAATATCGAAATTCCAAACCTCAGGATTATTATTTTTGATAGATTCATGGCCGAAGAGTCGGCTGAGAATTCCCCTTTGATACTGACAGATGTACCCACGTGGATCATCGACCCAATAGATGGGACAATGAACTTTGTACACTCGTTTCCCCAGTGCTGCATCTCTGTTGCTTTAGCAATAAATAAAATACTGGAGGTGGGGATTGTTTACAACCCCTGCAACGAGGAGTTGTACACTGCCAGGAGAGGACAGGGGGCTTTTTTAAATGGAAAGCCGTTGAAGGCCTCTGGAGTGACAGGTAGAGCTTCTCTCCAGGAGTTTATAAATTAATTGAAAGGAATTGTTTGCAAGGAAAGAGTTAACAGGGGAAAAATTTTTGTAGAATTATCCGAGGCGTTGATGATTATCGAACCCGGAATGCTCAGAAGATCGAGAGCAAAGAGAGACATAACGAAAGGGAGGATGGAAGTACTCTGTACTCTAGCTGGAGGGTAATTTATTTTGAGACAATCCAAAAAGCAAAATGGCTCTACAAAAATTGTAGGGATATTCCTAGAACAATTGATTTGTTTATATTTACTAGGAAATTTAATGAATTAGGATAAGAAATGTGGGGTCTGCAGCCCTAGGACTTGCCTACGTGGCGAGAGGAATAATAGACATCTTCCACATAGACTACATGCAGCCCTGGGACGTTGCAGCAGGATTTCTGCTAGTTTCGGAGTCTGGGGGAATTGTAATCGACACCAAAGGTGAAAGCAGCCCCTTAAAACCCCAATTACTCAATCCCCAAAGAAAAATCTATATAAACATCTTCTAGGAGGGCCCCCCAATCTCCTGGAGCCCTTGATAATAGCATCAGGCACTCGTCAACTCGCCCAGGAAGTTTCCCAACTGCTCGTTGAAACGGACTTGAAGATACAAAGAAAACGACTACAGAGAACATAAATTATCCAACAATTTTTATAACGTAGTAATAACATAGAATGACAATTAGAAAAACAGGAGCTGATTAAGTCCCAGTGAATGTAATAAAATTTAAAATGCAGATCGACGATAAGACTCGATCTCGATTTTAAAAAAATGTTCAAGATATTCTCCTAGTGTATAATTACACGCAAATAAAGGATTAAAATCTGACGAAAGAATGATTAATAATTACCCTGAGGTTTGTTTGAACATCCGGACCAGTTCCCTTGTCTTCAAAACGTTCATTTCAAATATTATCTGAGGATTCTGGGGGTGATAAGGAGCCCAAATCGTGACGATACGGACATTGAAGGTGTTTACAGGCTCGTGGCCTTGTAAAAAATGGAAAGAGAAGCGGAACCTTCGCGAGAGAATGGGCGAGTAGTTAAAAGATTGACGTTTCCGTTGTCGAGCGTCAGTTCTAGCTCTCAAGCTTTTGCACAAAGTGAGATAAGTTTTGAGAGATCGATGGCTTGTGACGAGGATCTGTTTTTCGAGAGTGCGATGGAGCTGGCCCTGGAGGCAGCGCAAGTAAGCAAATTGTTTTCATGAGATAAATATAAATATCTGTATCTCGTTGCATCATTGAATATTTCGGAAAAATTTTAAGGTGATGAGGAGCTCCATCGTAGCTGTTAAAACAGTGAAGGAGAAGCAGGGGGATTGGGACCTGGTGACAGAGTATGACAGGGCAATTGAGGACATAATCGTCGGGAAGTTGAAACTGCAGTTTCCCACCCATAAGTAATTAATCGCGGGGGTGAGTAATTATAGGCGAATGGCTGATTGAGTGTCCGTTCAATAGGTTCATCGGGGAGGAATCAACTGGAGACCATCTCCCAGAGTTGACAAATGATCCTACCTGGATAATTGATCCTATTGACGGTACCATGAATTTTATTCATGGCTTTCCTCACACCTGCATCGTTATAGGACTCAGTATTGACAAGGAAATGAGAATTGGAATTGTTTACAATCCTATTTTGGAGCAATTGTTCACCGCGAGGAAGGGAAAAGGGGCTTTTCTCAATGGAAGACCCATCAGGACGTCCAGTGTCGACAGTAAGATGATCAACGATATTCCAAGATTAATTTACTCAAAGGATTGAGAATATAGACTTATATGAATATCTATTATATGAATATCTATTATATCAATATATAGTATATGAATATATAGTATATGAATATAATTCCAGGTCTATCAAAATCTCTGATTTGCCTGGAGTCTGGTTTCCTCAAGGTCAAGAGTTTGAGAGAGAAAATGCTGGAGAGGATCAAAATAATCTCAGCACAAACCCAGGGGTAAATAAATTCAATAATAATCGACAGAAATCGACGATTTAAAAAATGATATTGCAGTTTGAGAACTCTCGGTTCTGCTGCCCTTACCCTCTGCTACGTGGCCCTGGGGGTGGTGGAGGGGTACCAGATTGAGGGACCTGGGATTTCCACATGGGACATCGCAGCGCCGTCCTTGATTATTTCTGAAGCCGGTGGTGTTGTTGTCGATCGTGTAACCGGTAATTACGATCGTTTAATGAGTGAAAAAAATTGAAGATTATCCCTGAATGATATAAACAATGTTACGACACCTCGTAAAAAAACAAAACAATTAACAGGAAACCGCGTGGACTTGATGAATCCACGAGCCATCGCTGCGTGCAACGAGAAAATTGCCAAGGAGCTGACGAGGATTGTCTGGGAAGCTGACAGGAGGGCAGAGGCAACAGGAAATTCACTGGTGGACTAAATATTTTATTGTAATCAAAAACCCATAAATGTAACTCTGAAAAAATGTATGACATCGGTCTTCTATATTGAAAAATACAAATGTACTTAATTAAAGTCAATCTCTAATGATTATTAATTGGAACAATTAATTTTTCCTGGGAATGGAGAAAACCTTGAGATCACTCTGAGATTTAAGTTGTGAACGATGAGAAGATGTTTGTTGTGGAAAAATGGAAAGATGAAAGAAACGAGAGAAATAATAGAAAATTACCTGTGACATATTAGCAGGCATTCCCTGGGAATGTGGTGGATAATTTGCCTGCTGGGGCGGTGGTTGCTGTGGAGGTGGCTGTGGCATTGGGGGTCCAGTTGGTGCACCACCAGGATATCCCTGCGTTGGACTGTGAGGATGATGCTGAGGAGGTCCCATAGGACTTCCCTGTGGATTTGATGGTGATGGTGCTTGCTGAGGTGGTCCCATTGGACTCGGTGCTTGGGGTGGAGGCATGGGAGACGACTGGGGCGATGGACTCGCCATATTGCTCCGATCTGACTCCAGTTTACCCACACAATATCCCTCTAACCAAATTCACCAATTAATCACTGCGAATTCATCAATAAAATTCACCAACACCAGAATAAATTTAACGAACGATTATCATCGGTTACTTGGGCACCCTTGGAGCGTCCATCATCGCCTCGAACTTTGAATTCACTTACCGTTGGATTTGTCGCACTTCAGGTGATGAAACGCTGATTATTGGGGTCTATTTTCCATAGGACAAATTCACAAATTTTTTTAATTACTCGGTTAATCCTTGATATTGTTTAATTCAGGGTAACTGAGGAATAATGAACACACGCCACCGTCCATTTTCCATCATTTTTCTCGTGGCGGCTTTCTGTGGAAGAAGACGATGCGTCGCTGCCACATTTCCCGGTACGCGCGAAATTCAAACAGTAAAATTACCGTTCCCCTCTATAACGTACATGTTTCTATATTAAATTCAATTTTATTTGTATAACACTATTTTCTCTGTAATTGATAATTCTTTAAAGGATTATTTCATGAAAATTAGTCGTTGGATGATCAGACCGAAAACGCCGAGCGGGAAATTTAAATTCGGGAAATTCGTGCTGGTCTAAAAAAATTGAATTTTTCTTTTTATTATTCGATTTCCGACATAACTCATTATTTTTCTGTGATAATTCAGTGATAATGATTTATTTGTGATGAAAAACAGTGAAAAATAGTGTGAAGTGTGTGCTTGGAGTTTTTCCTGCAGTCGTCGGGGAAAATATGGCGTCTCTAATAAAGCTGAAGAACCTGATTACCCCGATAACATCGAAGAAGCCTGGGATTTTGTACAATGTCGTGAGGACAAGTAAGTAGAATTAATTATAAAATGTACCTTAACTTTTTATAATGAAGCGTTCAATAAATCCCTCCATTTATTTCGAGCTAAACTTTTTTAACAACAATTGCAAGGTTAAGCGTTGAATTACGTAAGGGACATACAACGTTTATTGATCAATACCTGAATTTTTTTAGAGGTTCTGACGAATGAGGACTGGAAACCTGGACCCTACCCCAAAACCGAGGCAGAGAGAAGAGCAGCTGCTGAGAAATATGGCTTGTCCTACGAGGAATACGAGCCCTATCCAGATGATGGCTGGGGTCATGGAGATTATCCCAAACTTCCCATGATCGGAATGGCCCTGAAGGACCCATGGTATCCCTATGATTGGCCCGAGGAAAGACGAAATCACGGGGAAGTGGTAATTAATATCAATTAATAATTTATCTGAGTTATTCCACTTCACTAGCTGAATGAAATTATTGACTCGTTCTTCTGATGAAAATATTTTCTTTTTAAATGACAGCTCCACGTCGACAGGAACATCCTTGGAGAAGAGAGTGCTGACTTTGGAGAGAGACCGTACGTCCCGTATCGTACAGCTACTGCTGTAACGTTAACTGTCATTGGCTCTCTCTTCGCAGTTCATTACCTCCTCGAACCCTATCCTTGCTTCCGACCTGTTGTGAGTAACAACTATTTTAGAGTTCTTTTCATTCATTAAAATGTACAACTCTCATTTTTTATCATTTTTATATTGGAATTTTCAGCTGGAGAAGCAAATACCACAGCCTGGAGTCGTGCACTACACGTTCGAGCCAGCTCGTTGAAGATGATTCCATAAATTATTTGTAGAGTCGATATTGTCAGTGAGGATATCAGTTTAATGAATATTATAATTGGTTTAACTGTGGAGAATAATAAGAGAATGAAGAAATAAGAAAATGTGGATGAAATTTGAAGTAATGAGAAGCTTTTGTGTTTCAGAATTTATTTTTTGTTCGTTCTGGCGATTTTTTATTCATTGAGGATTTATTATTCGTTTGTAATAAAAAAATGGTGTCTGGTGACATCACTTACTATAGCGCGTGGCGAATGGGCGTTTGCACGTCAGTTCGAACCGCTCGAACGTTAACCAAAAAAAAAACCGGTGATAAATATTTAAAAATCGTTGCGAGTTAATGAATTTGTTATGAGTCGTTCCAATCAGCTTCCGAATCTCGATAAATTGTTTCGAGATGATGATGACCAGGAATTCACACCCCAGGGTGGGTATGTAACTTTAATATTGTATTATCAATTATTTATTTACAAAAATCTCAGGTATCAAAAATATTTGAAGAGTCAGTTGAAATCATATAAAAAATTAGACAAATTTCGTGTCAAATATTCGAAAATTTCCTGTGAAGAGTTTATTTAATTTATCACTTGTTAACCTAAAATTATTTCAAGTGCCTTCGATATAGTAATGCCTATATATTTTTGTACCTTCCTTATAATTAAATTTTGTCATTAAATTTTTTTTTCATTCATTGTAATTAAATATTAAAATGATTAATTGGAAAATTAATACGAATTAAACGGTCTCGGGGCTGATTAATGTTTTTTATGTTGAAATAAATGTTCGCGCTTCCAGTGCCAACCTGGCAGCGATATTCGGCACCCCCCAGAGGCTGGATATCACCCCCCCTGTGAAAAAAGCTCCAGGAAAGCCCTCCCCAGCCCCTCCGAAGACCGAGGTAATCCTGGTAAAAATCGTACACGCATACAAATTAGAATCTGGCCAGTACTCTCTAATTGGAAAGCTGGGGATTGCCCTGACACGTGATCCGACCCACTCCTTCCTCCTGATCCTCTACAAAACCAAGCAGGAGCACATATCAGTGGTCCCCCTGACCCCAGACTTCCAGTACTCCCCAGGGGACAACAATTACGCCTCATATTACGATTCAACGAATTCCAACTGGTCCATACTCTTCGAAAGTTCGGATTCGGCGATTGAATTTGCTCGTGAAATCGGAGTAACTCGGTACCTCCTCCGAGGAAGACCCGAGACATCCGTATTTAGCCAAGACCTAACCCCGAAAAAAGACACCGGGGAAAAAGTGGAGGAGGGTGACGAGGTGGAGCTGAACTACTGCGTAATCCCGACGATAACTCAGCCCTTGAAGCTGGGGAATTCCCCAAGCCAGGGGATGAGAGTACGAATAACGAGCGATGACACCTGGGAGAAGTCCCTCGTGGGGGTCCACAAGGGCCTGAAGAGGCTGCTCATTCTTCCCCCGAGCAAACAGATAAGCCTGGGCCCCGGGTTTCCCCGGGAGCAGGCAGTGGCTCTCGAGGTAGAAATCCTCGACATCGTAAAACCTGAAACAAAAAAAGAGACATCACCCAAGACAACCGTGAAAGCCTCTTTGATATCACGAATGGCGAAGATGGGGCATTCAATGCTTCCTAAGGTCCCCACGACGGACTCCGAGGACACGGAGGAAGAAGTCCAGGTGAGGAGAAAAGCGAGAGGAAAAAGCGAGCCTGAGAGAAACACGAAGACGATCACCAGTCCTCAGACACCTGGAAGTCTCGTGCCTGTGTTCCATCCCTGGGCAAAAGTTCCACAAGCCCCTCAACTTCCTCAGGTACCTCTCCAGCAGTTTGTGCCTGATAGTCACGTGTATCAGTACCAGGCACCGATTCTCCAGGTACCTGATCCGAACCTCAATGTATTTTTATCGGAAACGAGGACCCACAACGCGGAGATCAGGATGGGAATTTCAAAAGTCGCGGATAACGTGCAAAAACTCCTGGATAAGTTTCACGTTCTGGAGCTAGAGAGGTGCACGAGTCCGAGGAATGAGCGGTCCCTGGAGGGGCTGAAAGCCCTCCTGGAGATGAGAAATGAGGGAAGGGGGCAGGAGAGGGGATTAAAAACGGAGAAGTCGGATGAGAGTGAGAAGGAGAGGCTGGAGATCCAGGGGAGGGTGCGGAGGCTGGAGGAGGATCTGCGGGAGGCCCAGGGTGCTCTCCAGAAGGCCTTGGCTGATCTGAGGGAGGCCAATGGCCTCGTCATCCAGTACCAGAGGGAGAATGCTACCCTCGAGGGAAGAATTCTGAGACTTGAGGAAGAGAAGAAGAAAATTGAGAGTAGAAATCCGAGGGAAGGGACACAGGTCAAGCAGGTAATGAATAAAACCTATCAGGCCCTCGTCGGAAGGTTCTCTGAAGCCTCTTACGAGAAGGAGTATATTAAGGACATTCTGGGAAATACCATCAGGGAGATCACCCTCCAGGTTCTCCAGAACAGGGGATTCGACGACAGGAAGGGAGACGATAGAGAAAGTGAGGCGAATAATGGTCAGGGAGCTGATCGGGATTTCGATGTGAGTCTTGTATTTTCCTCACTTTTTCTTTGTTATTAATTGATCATTAATCATTGATTTATGGATAAAACAAGAATCCACAGATTTTGAAAAATAAAATTGCTAATTTTATTGCAGATGACTTCTGCTCCTGATGAGGAGCCACCCCCCATTCCACCCATGGACCTAGACGTCGACGACTGGCTCTCGTAATTAATCGAGTACATAATTATAATCGTAATTTTATTAATTTATCAGAGGATCAACGAATCAGCTGACATGTGAAGGCTTTTGCAATAAAATATTTTTCATAGAAAAGTCGAGTTTTTTTAGCTCGAACGATCGATATCGGGATTAATACTGAGGAAATAGTGTCCGGAATAACTCGAGCGTGAAAATATCACGCGAAATATCTAACAAAGAATTGAATCCCAGGCATTAACATCAAAACCCACACACACATGCGTCTGCAGTGGCGGTGGGTTCTTCCATTATTTCTCAATGGCGACGCTGTTAGAAGTCTAAACTAATCATCCACTCGATGTAAGTAATACTGGAAGAGACTCTTTACTTTATTCCTGGTACTTGTCTCGGTGTTATCAAGAGTTATTCAATTGTTGAGTGACGGATGGTCACTGTTTGTTGGGTGTGCGTATCCGTTTCACGAGATAAATTGAAAGTCTGAACTCACGGTCGACCATCTTGGCTTCTGCCACGCCAATCACATTCCACAAATAACCTCAACATTTTCACAATATCCATTATTTTCGTCTGTATTTTCTATCAAAAATGCGAGACCCTCTCGCCCTATTCCTCCAATTTTTCCAGAATTTTATATTTAATCAACGATTTTCTAGATTAATTGAAATGATAATTCATAGAACTGCAATTTCAGATGAATAAATATCAATTTTTGATTTTTCTTTTTTTACGATTTTCTATTAGTTCAGCCATTTTTTAATTGAAATTCTGGTGTTCAATTGGAATTTAATATTTTGGAAGAATTATTTTTATCGATTTGCACTCTGAGAAATGTTTACAATTGAAAAATTATAATTATTGTTATTTTATTCACGTGACTTTCATTATTTGATGTTTATGATTGAGGAGTGGAGTGAAAAATCATGGAAATTAGAAAAATGGAATTTCCGATTCTGGAGATGAATGATTTTTTTACTTTTATATCTTTAAGGTATCCAATTATTCTAGTATTTATTCAAGAACTGTAATTCAGTATTGAAACGCCCCCACAGAAGATTAAAAGCCTAATTAAACAACTTTAACAATTTAATTTTGTGTCCTCGAGCAGATAGTAAGAGGGAGTATAAAAGGAAAAATGGAAGCGCCTCCCCAAGAAGATTACGCCTTCCACCTGGGTGAGATGTTCAACAGCTACGAGGAGCTAGAGGATAAGCTGGAGAAATTTTCGAAGAGAAGTCTTGTCCACTACTGGAGGAGAGACAGTAGAACAGTGAGTGGAGCCCACATGAAAACAGCAAGACCCATCAGCGAGAGATTGAAATATTACTCAGTAAAATACGCGTGCATCTACGGAGGTCAGAAGTTTCTCCCGAGAGGTGCAGGACGCAGACAGTCCCAGTCGATCAGAACAAATTGTCCAGCGCACATAATGCTGAGGGCATCAAAGGATGGGACAAAACTCGAAGTAACGAGTGTCAACAACGAGCACAATCACGAGATATCGGAGGAGCTCTTCAAGAGTCTTCCTCAGGAGCGAAAACTGTGTGGAGAAATAAAGCAGGAGGTCCAGGATCTCATGCAGCTGCACATCGACAGGAAGAGGCTGAAGGAGTACGTCAGACTGAGGACGAACAAGATTCTGAGGTCTAAGGATTTGTTTAATATTGCTGCTGCCAATAAACAGAAACGAGATATCACTCCAGAGAGGGCTTATCAGCTGTTCAAGAGGATTCACGACCTTGAGAAGATGCAGGGAGGCAAAAGAATGTACCCTGAGGCTGAGGATGAAATCGCTCAGAGGCTTAAAAAATTGAAGAAAGATAGTAATTCTCCATGGGGTCAAGACGTAAGTTTCCGCGAGTTAATAAAATAATTAAGTTGCGATTTCTTGAAGAGAGGAATTACTCATTTTTTAATTTTTCTTTTCTCTTATGAAGGACCTGCCTCCAGGCCTTGAAATGCACGAGGCGAATGATGCAGACGAGTCCTACAACGCTCAGCTGACCCAAGAGGAAGTTCCTGACGAGATGGACACGACTGAGGGAGAATTACTGAGGGCTAATGCCGAAACTCGTGGAGAACTGGTTGGAGAGATCGTTGGAGAACTTGTGATGGACGACGGGGATCCTTCCGTTATCGTCGAATCCATCGTCAATGCTGACGGGTCAGTGTTCGTCGACGAAAGAGATTTCAACAGCTACTGCGATAATCACCTGGGGCACGACAGTCGGTCCTCGGCGTCCCAGGGATCTCAGGGTAATTATTCTATTTACAGGATTTTTTTAACGACAGATTATTTAATTAAAATGTTAAATTTTATCCAGTTTTGGATATTGAAACAATATCGACGCCGGTGGAAATGGAAAAACTCCCGAAGACTCAACGATCGAATCCCCACCTCCTCTCAGACCCTTTATCCCCGACGATGTCGAGGTCTCCGCCAATGGACGAGTGTCATGACACAAAAATCTGGATAATGAAAACCGGGACCATGGAGTCAGAGATGGACAGCTGTCCGGAAAACGAGACTGTCAAGAATCCTAAAAATGTAACTGAAATAAACCCAGAGGTGTCGAATGTCGAGGTTTTCGCTGGAGAGGCGAATCATCAGCTACTCCTGGAACAGCTGTCAGTGCTCAAGGCTGAGAAGGGAAAGCTCATCCACGAGACGGAGATGTTGAAGCTGAAGAAGGATAAACTCAAGCTGCAAATCAACTGTTATACGAACGAGATGAAGAAGCAGGAGATGGAGAAGGAGAAGCTGAGGCTAGAGATTAAACTCCTGCAGTCAAAAGTCGTCGACGATGCCAATGACGTCTCTCACTACATCTTCGTACCTTGAGAGCACTCGAGTTAGATTTGAGTTTTGCATTCAATTTTTTCGTTGGATTTCAAGAATATTCCGGACTACTTTTTTATTTTGATTTTCATCAGATGTCAACGTATAAAAATATGTCTGATATTTTTTTTGTCCATTATCGACGGTTTTAATGGCAGATAAAAAAATTATGCAATAACTCGAGAGACTTGACGACTCAAAGGACAAGAACTGTAAATAATAGCAGAGGAACGGGGAATATCATGATATTTCCTCTTTTTCTATTAAATAATTAAACTACGACCTAACAGAGATGATTCCCACCTCGATGTGCGATCGTTCTTGCTTTTTGTTTAAGAGTGATTCATAAATAAATTATTTTCATCAAACGCATTGTTTTTAAAATTTTTTGGAGTCACTTAAATTTTTTGCCCCCATGTGACTTTTAACCAAGTCCAATTAACCTTTAACCAAATCCAATTAACCCTTAAACAAATCCAATTAACCCTTAACCAAATCCACTTAAGCCTAACCATGTACAATTAACCCTTAACGAAAAGTTTTAAAAAAAAATTAACCCTTAACGAAAAGTTTTAAAAAAAAATTAACCCTTAACGAAAAGTTTTAAAAAAAATTAACCCTTAACCAAAAGTTTTAAATAAAAATTATGGTTAAGGGTTAATTTTTTTTTAAAACTTTTCGTTAAGGGTTAATTTTTTTTAAAACTTTTCGTTAAGGGTTAATTTTTTTTAAAACTTTTCGTTAAGGGTTAATTTTTTTTTAAAACTTTTCGTTAAGGGTTAATTGTACAGGGTTAGGCTTAAGTGGATTTGGTTAAGGGTTAATTGGATTTGTTTAAGGGTTAATTGGATTTGATTAAGGGTTAACTAGATTTGGATTTACATTTTAGATTTTTTCTTTCAATTTCACTGAAAAATTTTGAATTTCCACGTTTCAGCAAAATACCAATGGTCGGTAATACATGCCCCTATAACACCAACAGTCGGTAATATAGGGCCCTCTGTATATCGACAAATAGTAAAAAAGATCGAGTAGTAAAGTATCCGGTAAAAAAGTATAAGTATAGAAATTGAGAAATTCGAATTTTTCGAAAAAGTATCAGGAGAAGAGGAGATCCGAGGAGGTATTCAGTTTTTAAACGATATTTCGAACGATTAATCATTTACAAAAAAAAAATTGGAATTATTTTGAGAAAAAAAAAATTGATGATGGCTAGTATCGAACCCTAGCCGTTCGCGTGCCAGCCAAGCACGCTGCCGATTAGACAACGCGCTCATTCTAACAATAAATTTTTATTAGCAGTATATTTTCAACATATTGAATAATTTTTTTCATTTGAAATTCCACAAGATGTGGCTTCCCCCTTCCGCTCATTCTACAGTCGACTAAATTTCTGTTAAACAAATAAAAAACAAAAAGCATTCATACCGCAGTAAATAAAATTCACCCCGTCGACTTGACAGACACCCCAGGATTGCGTGTGGCGCCCTCCCTCTCTTGGGGTGCAGTACTACGATGCCGCTGGGGTCACTCTAACCCCCAGAACTGAGCCTCTACTTTAGTCAATCCTCTTTGACTAGAACTGAACCTTTATTTTTCAACCAATAATTGCTCCACGAGCCGGGCCTGAAAGCATTTATAACTATGTTATTTAAACAATCTTGGAAACTCTACACAATAAATTATTCTACAAACCTTATTCCTCGTAAGTATCTCAATTTATCGACAATCAAACAATTTCGAATTATTTAGAAATTAAATGACAGAAGATCTTCTACATGTTTTACTTTGCAAAAAAAAACATTTCTGCAGTCAATAATGCGATTTCTAAATCTTCTGTTACACATAAAATATTAATTTTATGTTGTTTTTTTAGATAAATTTTGCGAGTTTAAGATTCAATGGGGGATATTTCTCGAAATATTTTTTTTTTCACGATTTTCTGAATCAAATTATTGTTCCAATGTTTTTTAAATAAATATTGTGTACTAGACATTTTGAGGTGTCACAATCGTGCCAGATGTTCGGGACCCAGTGAAAAATGGGACTTGATGGCTGCTGTGTGCGTGGAAAGACACCCGGTGATAACAAAACCGAAGACAGAGCTAGAGGAAAAGGTCCTGGACGTTCTGCTTCAAATTGAGTCAGAGAACAGCTTGAAGAACGATCACGAGTTGAGAGCAGAGCTTGAGACAAAGCAAAATGAACTATTCAAAAAGGGAATGGAAATTGATCCTGACAAAGTGCTGACAATCACCGCTCAGGATATCGAAGACGCTGGAGAGGCCGAGCTCGCAAAATTCCCTTTTGCTTCAAGGATTACTGATGCTGATAAAGAAAATATCAAGAACTCCCTCGAGAGGCGACTAGACAAATGTCTTGTACTGCTGGTGAATCAGAAAGTGGGTACTGACACATTCTGGCTGCCTCCTCAGGGTCTTCGAGAGGATGGCGAAAGCCTTCGACAGGTGATCAATAATTTTCACCGTTGAGAAATCTTCAATTATAAATGACGGAGAAATGAATGAATTTTTTTTCCAGACCGCAGAAAGAATACTCCAGACGACCTGTGGGCCAGCCTTCTCTGCAAAAATCTACGGGAATGCTCCGATGGGTTTCTATAAATACGTGTATCCAAAGGCCGTACGAGAAAAGGGCTCTCGTGGGGTGAAAATCTTCTACTACCTGGCAAAGTATATTTCAGGAAATCTTGAGGACCCGGTGAAGTACCAGTGGCTGGACAGAAAAGAATTAGGAAGTATTTTACCAAAGCCAGTCCACAGGAGCGTCTCCATGTTCCTCGTACCAGAGTAAACCCCATCGTCTCGAATAAATACTGTATATAGAATAATTTATCGTTCCTCTTTAATTAAAAAATGACAATCGCTTTCCTATTTTAATATTCAAAACCTTCCACTTCTTTTTCTCCCAGTGTACTTCGTGTTCTCCCTGGTGTCCTTTCCCTGTCGCCTCCTCCTTTCTTTCTTCTCGAGAATCCAGTCCCTGGATTTTTTCAGGCCCTTGCCCCGGGCCTTCAGGTGTTCCCTCCTGGAGGTGTGCTTGATAGTTCCCTCGTGCTCGTCACCGAGGGCCTTGGGAAGGGGCATGGCTCCACCAGTCATCAAAACGAGGAAAAACTTTTTGGCTTTTGTACTGTTGGGGTAGTCCACGACGACACCACCAAAAAATCCAGCTCGTGTCGCCTGAGTCGTCACCAGCTCTATCTGCTCGCCATTCTCTGGGTAAAACTGGAAAACAGCTCTTGCTGTCCTTGAGAGACAGGCGAAGAGGGAGACGAAGAACTTCTGGAGACGTTTCACTGGGTTGTGGGAAGTCTTGTCAGCGTTGCAGAGCCACTGAAGGGCTGATATACTCACTGCTCCATCAAAACTACCAGCTCTGAAGGGCATACCCTGCCCCATGTCCCCAAGCACCAGGTCACCCTCGACTTCTCTCTCCAAGGCAACATCTGCAGGATCATAATTACATATTCTCCAGATTAAATTTACATTTATTATTAAAACAAATGAATCAACTCTTTGTTATTAACAGTGATAGAATGTGGGGTAAAGTGGGTAAAGTAAATTAATCATTTCTATTACTCAACATCGCCGGGGAAATGTCCACTCCAATCCATACGTGTCCCTGATCCTCCAGGACACCTCCACTGAGTCCAGATCCACAACCAATATCCAGGAGGAAGCAGGGCTCATCCTCAGGGAGTAAAAGAAGCTCTATAGCCCTTTCACACATCTGGACCTGGATGTCCATCATCCTGGAGCTGTGAAACGAAATTTTAAAAAATCAGAGGCTGAACTCGGGATTTCCCCGCATCACCAATGAATTCTAAATTAATCCCTCACCTCTGGGTGTATTTTCGTGCCTCCTCTTCATTATAAAACTGAAAATCAGTGACGAGTGGTTATAAACAAACGAAACAATTGTCCAAGGACCAAATTTTCATGGGAATAATTGTTATTTTATGTAATTCGTAATTACCACTTCTGGAGGTGCTAGATGCTCGGGTCTTCGTGACATTCCAGATGTAATTTAAAATGTGTTATTTGCTGATTGTTCACTGGAGCTCGTCCACGTGTTTTTCTTCACCTGTCAAGGTTAAATATGTGTTTGTGTATAAATGCAAGAGGAGCGCTGGCATCGACAGGGCTGTTTGGCGGGTAAGGGCTTGGCGTTATCCCCTGGATTTTACCCCGTCTCAGTGAAAAAAAATTTCTCGTAAATGGCATAACCAGAGGCAAGATGTTCGTGAAAAAATTCAAGGAGGATTTTTACGATGTAATCCAAGGAAACGTGAGTAGTCACTCCATTTTAATATCCAAACACTTGAAGAATCATTGAAAAGTTTATTAAGGTTAAGGGTGACCTATTTTTATCGACAACAAAACGCTCGTTTTATTCCCTCGATAAATTAATTTTATTTATTTTCTCCTTGAATTTTATTCTGCTCCAATTATTATTCGTTTTCTTCTATTGACATATGCAAAGCTATAAAAAAATCACATGAGAAAACGTAGAAATATCTTCAAAAATTGATGACAATTCCTCTAAGAGTTGACTCGAATGAGGATATTTGATTATTTAAACCTCAGAGACTCCTGCTCCTCGAAATCGTGTGTCATTTTATTTTATATTTGAAATATAAAGCTCACCATGAATTCTTCATGAGAATTATTAAAAATGATACAATTGATCTACTTCAGAGATGCCTCCTCCTCGTGAACTTCGACATAGATGCGATCTGCGCGTGCAAAATTTTGCAGCACCTCTTCAAGAACGACAATATGCTGTACACAGTGGTGCCAGTGCAGGGTATCTCCAACGTTGTGCAGTCATACCAGGACAACTGCAACGACGTAAAATACGTGGTGATGATAAATTGCGGAGGTATAATAGACATAGTGGGTCACCTGGAGCCTCCAGAGGACATGACATTCTTCGTGATTGACAGCCACCGACCCCTGGACCTCTGCAACATCTACTCAGAGAGCCAGATCAGGATCCTCCACAGTCAGGGATCAGGGGAAGATATTCCAGAGTACGATGAAGTGTTCAGGGACTCGTCTGAGGACGAGAGTGATGAGGACTCGGATGGTGAGTCTCGCCAAGCGAAGAGACGACGTCTGAACGAGGAGGATATGCTCAGGAAACGAGAGAGGAGAGAGTGGGAGGAGAAGAGGGATACTATTCTCTTTAATTACTCACAATACAGTCATTATGGTAAATCCTCAGCAGTCTTGATGTTCGAGATGGCGTGGAGAATGTCAAAGGACTCTCTGGACATGGTCTGGTGGGCAATCGTAGGATCAACAGAGCAGGCAATTCTTAATAAAGTCGAGCCCCAGGTGTCTGTCCTAGAAGCTGGAAATCTCCAGGGACAGGTGTCGAGGCTCAGCCATAGACAGGGGGTCGATGCAGAGCGGCAGCAGCAGAGTGCAGTGAAAATTATTTATGATAAGGACTTGCAGCTGGCGTTGTACAGACACTGGACTGTTGAGTCGAGTTTAAGGCACTCGATGACAACTGCTGTTGCCCTGAGGCTCTGGTCCATCAGGGGTGAGCAGAGGTTGAGGGAACTTTTAGCTGAAATGGGACTACCCCTAGCTCAGAGCAAACAGCGATTTTCCTCGATGGATCTTAACCTTAGGCTTGAGTTTAGGGAAATGGTGGAGAAACTCGCTGCCAAGTATCACGTGGAGGACATCATTGGGGCCTCATTCACTCTGCAGTTTGGATACAAATTTAAATACTGCGCCAGTGATCTGGTGTATGCTATGTTGGCGCTTCTCGAGTCATCGGGAAAGGACAGGTCACCTCATCACTGTTTTCTCGATGCTATGGACTGCCTTTCCAGGATGAAGAAGGATACCTTGGAGAGGGGCATTGAGAAGGCTAAGGTGATGCTCGCCAGTGTCTTCAAGACTGCACAGGGAATTCTCGAGATGAAGAAGGTTATGAATGCCGGAAGTTTTCTTTATGTGATTATTCCTGAGGGGACTGTCGATGGAAGGCTCTTTGCACATCCTCATACGTTACTCATGCTTGCTCAATTTGTTTTGAGGGCTTATGTGGGGAGCTCAAAGAGGAAGGGAGCTGCTGCTGCTCCTCTCGTTGCTTCTGCTAATTATGAGCAAGAGGAGGAAACGTGTTTGCTCGTGGGAATTCCACCCATTTGCGAGGATCAACCCAGAAGGTAAATTTTTTTTAACCATTTTGTACGATAATAACTATTTAATTGTTGAATTTCTTCTTATAAAAAAGGTTTTTCAATTTTTGGTTAAATTTCATATAAGAATATACGGCTATTCACTGGGTGTCAATTTTTTGTTTTTTTTTATATTTCAGTTTGTTTGGAAAAGCCTTTGAGCAGGCAGCTAAGAACATAAATGCAGCCCTGGATGCTGACTACTTCGATACCACAAGTAAGTACTCATGTTCATCTTCAGGCGCTTTTTAAAAGCGAATTTATGGTATTTTCATTGCAGTTATAAGACTGAAAACACAGGATCGCTCAAACTTCTTCGACGCCCTGGCCACTCTCCTCACGTGAATCATCCCTGACAGCCCCATTATTTTTTATGTTTTATATTTTCGTTATTCATAACAATGCGCGACAAGACAAAGTTTTTTTTTCTTTTAATTTAACCGGACCGAAAAAGCAGAAATCGAATTTTCACGTCGACTTGTACATACTGGATATAACATTTTTAATCGTTGGTTATGGAAAGCTTTAATTATTTTCTGAATTTTTCCTGGGACACAGCCTTAACGAGAAATACCAGAGAAGCTATTTTTATATATGTTCATTTTTTGAGGAGGAAATTACCTTTATTTTTTCATCAATCTGTCTGTAGCTGCTGAACTATTCAAAACGATCATCCTCATTAAAACCAGGATATTTTTAACCCCGTGACTTTAACCCTAGAGTACTGAGTCAATTACTTGGTGCATCATCTAACGAATTGATATGTCATCGATGTAAATAGGTCGATTTACCCTGTAAGTGATACTAGTTTAAGGCACGTTACCCCCGATCACTTTTTGTTAATATGAACCTAGAAAAATAAATTATAATAAACTCGATGAAGCTGAAAAGAATGCAGAAATTATTTTAAAAAATGACAATCCATAAATTTATCATCAATATTATTGAATGTACAATTTATCCAGCTAATGGGAATCGTAAATAATAGGATTGCAATCCACTGGGGATTTAAATAAATTCTGTACACAAGGATTTGATCCAGTGATCCAGCCTCAGGCTTTATCACTCTTACATTTTTGGCTCGCAGCAATTTTGTTGGTCGGGAGTTTTTCCGATCTGAATCCATCGATGAAATATTGCACAGAGTCAACAGTTATTTCTGCACCGTCTTCCATAACTGCGTAAACCCCTCGGGGTATGTCAATGGCAGTTAACAGGGGCACAGCGTCGTCGAGGCCGACGAATTCGCGAAGAATATCGGACGTTTCCCCCTGAAATTAAAAATATATTTAAGAGAAATTGTTTCTTCTAGGAATTTTCATGACCAATTACTTCAATATTGGAATTATTTTCTTTTATTTATCGGAGAAATGCCGGAATTTATTGATTCCCTGGGGTGGACTCACGTCGAGAGCAATAAAGAAGTGAAGCATCCCATCAGGATCGTCGTAATTCGGATCGTAATCCGGTCTGTCCCTTCTGTATGCCTCAGCTGCTGGTAGTAGTACACTCTCACCAAATTGCACCTCGCAATCTTCACCCTCTGACAATCACCCAATTAAAAACAATCGTATCTCAAATTTCAACATGAAACTTCAGGTTTACACTTAAGAGTCATAACGAGTAACAAGTGGATTTATTCACGAACAAAGAGAGATAGCGAAATTTTTATAAGGACTTTTTCTATAGCTCTCATTTCGCTCTACGAAAGAGGTCTTTACAAAAATTTCACGATCTCCTTTAGATCCTGAGATATTCCTCGACGATCTCTTACTTCGGTTTTTCCTCTTCTATAGAATTAAAGCACTTCTTCAAATACCACTCACCCACGAAGAGAATAATAGCTGGGGCATCGTGGAGAGACGTCGCGTACTTCTCCGTGAGGATATTGACTAGTCTGATTGTCCAGGGAAAATTCTAAAATAAAAATCATCCCTGAAGCTTCTCCGTTATAAAATAAAATCATAAAATTCCTTTCAACGAAAACGAGATATTTACCAGTCCCTCCGGATCCTCTAGGAGCTCAGCACGACCCTCTAGGGTGATAATATTGTCCCTGGGATCGAGAATCACTAGAGTGGGTATCGCCTGGACATCGAGAGCAATCGCTAGCTTCTTTCGCCTTTCCTCTTGACTGAATGGAATCCGAAGCCATGGCATCGATTCGATGTGTACATTATACGATTCCTCACTTCTAAAATCCGAACTTAAATAAATTCTCCATTCCTCCATGTTCAATAATCAAATAAATCACTAGAAAACCCAGTATTTACCAATAATTTTCCACGTGAGAGGAGAAAATTGGGACAAAAATGTCATAACTCCGAATCATAAAACCACCCACTACCTACGAGATTACAAAGTATTACGGAACTCCAGAAAAGCATTTATCCAACTCCCTAAAGCTTCTGGCGCCGTGAGTCGGTTTAGGGGTTCCCTCGGTAAAGTTTTATGAAAAATCGATGCTGTATTAAACTCAACTAGGGTTTTGTGAATGAGAGAGTCCAGAAATAACTTGTTCCGTGTCTTTTCTTTCCCTCAGGCCTGAACCTCAGCTCATTGTCCCTCCTCGTGACCCTGCATAATTTCCCCAGTACTCCAAACCGAATTGTTTGTTTAATCTCTGTAATTCACGTCGCAATAACTTATTCCACGCATACATCGAAGTAAGGGAATTTTATTTTTATTGTAGACCTCGAGGTCTCCCTGCAGTCGTCTTTCCCCTTGAAATAATCCCCCTGAGAGAAAAACAAATTCATTTCAAGGGAAAAGGTAGAATCGACTTCCACGATTGAGGGATTTTTCTTGAGCGTTTTATTTTATCTGACTTCAATTCACGAGCGGAATCTCTAGTATTTACTTGTGCTACTTTCTCCGGCATTTGTACCGAAGAATTGGACGCTCTTTTTGTACTTTTTTTTTGCGAGAACATAACATTTTTCTCCCGTCACATTCGCCCCTGCACGGGTCGTAAAAAGCCCCTCGGTATAATCAGCAATTCGGGCGCGGTATTTTCACGGCTCTACCCTGTACCATTTCACCCTCGTGGCAAAACGTCCCTTGCAATGGATAACACTCGGCTATTATCTGTGCGGATTGGGGGTGTTGGTGAGACAGGGGTTGCAATCGGGGTGAAATGGTTACTTCGGTGGTGTAGAGTGTAAATTATGGCGGATAGATTATAAAAATTCGATTTCTTTATCTCGAAATTCTTAATTTATTTGAATTTTCATTTTTGGTGTTACTACCTGTCGGAACTGACGAAAATCACTTCGAAGCTGTGACCCCTCTCTCGAATTCTTTGGTAAGTGTCCACTAGTTGGGGAGTGAAGGCTTTGCAGGGTGGGCACTTAAATCCGAAAAAAAGGATAATAAATTGAAAAGAGACCATTTATAATTGAATGAACGTTGGATAAGTGAAATATTCACCCAGTGGGCGCTGAAATAAACCCCCTTGATGCAGTGGCGAAGCTCTTCATGTAGCATCGGTTCATTGCTGTCTCGAGCACCGCAGGGCATTAGTGGTCCATCCTCGAGGGCTGCCTTGGGATGTGAAGCTCTCCACGGAAAGTTGGAACCACTAGGATCGGCCAATGCCCTCTCCACACCCCCACGAGTCACCACCGAACCACTTGTACCTTCCAGGAGGATTAGAGTTGGTACTCCGGATTTGATCCTATATCTCCTCGTTAATCTCGTCTGCAACAATATCCATAAATAAAAACTCTGGACTCAATTCTAGACTCGCCACAGGAAAATCAAAACCTCTCGATTATCAAATTCTATAATTCAATTATCAATTTAAATATTAAATTACACGGAAATAAAATTATTTCTATTATATATTTGTATTATTATCTGTATAATATTATTATATATTTATTCGAATGATTATTTTGTTTTTAAAAATTAATTGTCTTCACTGATTGGAAAAATGATAAATCTCTGAAATCTGAAATGCAAATTTTTTGTTAAAAAATTCGAGAAAAAATATGGTAGACGCTGACGTTATCACAAGGCACGTCACGACTCCCAGGGGACAGAGGGTGGATTCCCAATCGTCTTATCTCCCTCCCCAACAAGACTCTCCACCCCCCGAAACGTCTTTTCTTTTATTTCTGTTTCTCACGTGAGCGCATGGAGGACTCGATTTTCTCGTTTTCACCCCCAGGGGACAACTCAACGGAAAATAACTTCCAATCCTCGGGTCTTTGTTAGCATCTCTCCTAATTCCACAGAAATAATTTTTCCCGAGCTATCATTTCCTCCGAGACGATAAAAAATTCAAGCATAAAACAGCAGCAAAAATGGAGATGAAGAAACAGTCGGAGGATGATGGGTGCAAGATTGAACACCCCGAAGACCCGAATGAATACAGACAGCCTAGATTGCAATCTTTTTCCCCTATTCCTGAAGAACTCATCCCTCTGCGGACCTCTGAGAGTTTTCAAATGGAGAAAGAGTCAACATGAAAGTGAAATTCTTGAAATTTCCACTGACATGTGAAAATGAGAGACCAACTCATGGCTACATCATTCTATTATTCCCAAGTCTTCCTCATTTATGGCGCGACTCTCGATATTTCCCCCTCGGACCAGCAATGAAACCCATTCCCAATGACTGATAACACAATGCGAGGGGTGCCAGAAGGCTTGGGGAGACCACCCGATATAAATTGCTTTCTGCAGCCGCACGTTCTCCAGTCTATTTCCAAGCATGTGCTGGATATAACTGTCGGAATGGTGACCGCTCTAAATATTATTCAACAATAATATCACCCCTCATAATATTCCAAATAAACATTGCAGTCAAAATATGATAAAGTGAATATATCCGCGAAAATAGAAAATATATTCCGATAAATATTACAAGTCGCGATAACGATATCATTATATCATTTAAAAAAATATTACGAATGAAAGGATTATGATATGAATTATTGACTGCGTATAAATATTATTATTTTATTATAAAGCAACCGTTGAAATTCCTGAAGTGATTATTATCCGAATAAAATACGAAAAATTCTCGCGTAACTCTTGAAACCAGAAGTAGATAATCCCCTTATCGAGCGGCTCCCCGAATTGACCTTGAGATATCTCCACCGGAGCATTCACCCTCTAGAGCTTTAAATCACGAGAAACGTAAGATCTACCCCGAGAGCAGAGGGAGTATCAGCTCCAGGATTTCATAAATAACCCCAACCCCAGTGGACTATTCCTCGGGGTGTCTGAGAAGCACACGATCTCCCCAGGAACTACCAGAGAGGGAATTCATGGTAAACCTGGGGAGCACCGAGTGTGAGGTCGAAGACCCCTTCAATAAAGTATGTGACGCGAAATATACATCTGAATCGCTGAATGACGAGCGTCAGACAAAGAGAATATTGTTGCTTTCCACATTAGACGAGGGACTAGCTGATGCTGTAATTACCCTGAGTGCCTGATGAAAGTTATATTTTCCACCACCAGATATTAAAGACATTCTGCAGGTATTTTGTTATTTACCCTGTTTTTCTGAGATTTATTAAAATAATATTTAATAAAAAATCAATAAATTTTAGTGAAAAGTTATAAAAATCGTAAAAGTTTTCAATGAATCTCAGATAAATAGGAGAAATATCAAAACACCGGTAGAACATCCTTAACTAAAGACATCCATTTATTAATAACAATTTCTAAAAATCTCTCGGATATTTCACTGAAATAATTTGGCCACTGGAAAAGTAGACATTGCGGGGTTTTCGGCCAATTGATAAGCCAAAATGCAATATCAGTCTGCCCTATCCCTTCCCCAATCTACTATTTGGTATTGACCGAGTCCTTTAAAGCCCCTCATGCCCCCGTATGTACTCAAACAATTCCACCAACCTGCTGGGATTGATACCGAGCCACAAGGCGGCAAATATCCTAGTGGTGGTTCCAAATACCTTCAATCCCATCTCTCCATCTTCCCCGAGAATGACATTACACGACGTCTGACGCACACACCATTGTCCCTAATCGGTGGAATCGATTTTACCAGTTTCATTGTCAATGTGTGTATCCCATGAAACCCCCGGGTCGAGATATCAACTCCGGGTTAATTCCAACCAGATGATATGCACTGGCGTAATTCCACCCCTCCGGGGGAGCGGATGTGACGTACAACACTTTTGCTATTCGCTGTTTTCCGGGAATCCGAGGGACAGCCTCCGGGCGTACAAGGGCGCGTTGTATCCGGGGTCTGGGGATTTGGATCATCAAGTGAGATATTGAATTGGGAAATTCATTGAATTAGCTTATCGTATAACAGAGCACTTCAATGATAATTATAATTCTCCATTTTTCTGAGTTATTATTCGTCTTAATGACTAAATAATCAGAACCAAGGAAAAGAATTGAAATTGAGTGGCACCTGGAGACTGGTCCAGGTTGAGCTGTGGTCGGGTTCAAGTGGATTTTTTTGGTGAATCCTGGGTCATGCCAAGTGCTGATGAGATTTGAAACTTCTCTAAAAAGTCCTTGACGCGTTGAATTTTCGTAAATCCTCATACCATTGTTTATTCAATTATAAATCCACCGCTCCTGCTGGTCCCACTGATAGCGGCTTAATTCCGACACTAGGGATGTTTATTTCCTGCAGGATACCTCAAAATAAAAAATGATGGAACAGAATGAGTTGAAAATAGAAGTAGGTCTAATACACTTTCACAAAATATTGAATAGGATGGAGTCAATGTATTCCATACCAAGGAAGATCATGCAAAACTCAACATCATCGTCACATCATCGTTATCGACACATTTTTTTTTTCTCACCCCATCCAAGGGGGCGTTCGTGTCTGGGGTGCGTCAGCCCGTGAACACGAGCCCGTTGTAACGATAACTCCAGCATATTCCCGAGATATTTTATCTCCAATGTTTTAGAGAAGTAAAACGTCAGCTTGATTGATGGTCCTGGTACATGAAGAAAAAAGGGCTGAAGATACTCGAGCCAGTGGGATTTATTTACCGAGGTCGAGGATCCTCGATGTGCCCATACAAATAATCCAGCCTCCACGTTCCAGCCTTCGACATTAATACCGAAGAAGAAAAATGAAAGATTTCCACAGTCGATCTGCATAAAACCATAAATACAAATCCGAGGGTAAAGTACTGAATGCAGAGAGTAAAGTGGAAGGGACGGAGAAAAGTTGTCGTGACAACGGAAGGCCAACTCGTCTCTCCCGTGTCTGGCCCCTTTATTCCCTTTTCCCTGGCTTTTTTTCCCCTTTCTGTATATATATTTTTTTTCGTCGACGCTTTCCCTCGCACGTTTGGCCGCGTTGGGGTGAAGCCTCTGAGCCCCTCCGACGAGGGGTAGACGTCTGCGAGAACTCCGTGAAGGCAAGCCCCAGGACATTACTGCATCATGCATTTCTCGTGTTTCTGAAATGTACTTGAGGCCGGGTTCGTGCTCGATGGGTGCCTCCATTACGCATTACGTACGTGTCTACTGAGGGAATATGAAAATCAACGGTATAACAAGTTGCCCATCCCCTTGGAGATGTTTGTCGAGTGTTTCTTCAACTTCATTGACTTTCTCAGGCGATCGATGCACGTCATTCGAGACCTCACGCTCCGTCGATCCTCTCAGTCTCCTAGTCTTCTAGTTTACCTCAAGATAATTAATCACCCAGACTCTCCCATGTAAATCAATTAATTGATCTTCCCAGGATCTTCACTGAAGCAATAATTAACGTAACGCATGCAGCGTTTAGCACTCCCTTGAGAATCCTCGGCCTTTCAGCTTTCCACCGCGAGCTTCCGCTTTTCTTTCTTTCAAAGACCTCCCCGCCGGAATAGATGAAGAGGGAAAAGGGCTTGAGATGTGTTTTGCCTCGAGGCTCGGCTTTTTCCTCATCTTTTTTTTTTCTCTACGCTGCTCTTTTCTCATTTTTTTTTTTACCTCGTACCGTATGCACTCCCTGAATGACAGCCCATCTATCGAAAATGTGGGTCGCCAGCCAATTTACGGTGAGTGCACTCTGTTTACGGTACACTCCTTCAATATGTCTTCATGATTTAAAGTATGCCATTGGTTTTTTCTTTGTTTGACATCGATATTCTTTTGAGAAGCTCCCAGCAAGTGGCACTTGCTCGGAATTTTTAAGGAATTTTAGCAACGAATCTAATCAACGAATCTATCAAAAAATCATGAGAAATATAATGAGAAAGATATATCAGATTAATAGAGGTATTGTAGAATTTAAGTCTTCCTCCGGAAAATTCAACTGAGGATGCGACTTTTCAGTTTCTTTGGCGACTTGATAATGGATGCATGCACCCAAGATTCTCTTTTGATGTAATGAAAGAGGCCCTGATCTCCTCGAAACCCCCAATATCGCTGAGGTCAATAAAATCCATCGGTTCAATCACGTCAGACCTCGTTCATCAATACTTATTCTCAATTTCCCTCAGTATTATTCGTCAATCACTCGACGTCCAATTAAAACTCGTTTGCATCGCTGAATGAGGAGTTTTCACCGCTTTCTGATCATCCCAATTAACTGAAAAATCCCTCTCAGTATGCAAATGATAATAAAGGACTCGAATAAGCACGAGCTTTCAGTTAAATTATGTATTCAACCGAACGAATACAAATGACTTGTACAAAGCAGACGTCAGTGACGGGGAATTCTCTTCAGATCCTAGACATTTCTTTCAATTAATTCGTTTTTAATTCGCTGTATAAAAATATTATGGATTTCATCAACTGTTGATATACCCTCATGTTTATTTATTCATTTCGTTTTGGGGATTTCTTCAATGGTGTTAGAATATCATGTTAAAATTCATAGAAATATATTGAACTGATTTATGATGATTAATGATGATTAAAAAATGATTAAAAATAAATATGATTACAACAATTAATATGGAAGGCACCGCGGAGTCGCCACAGAGTTTGTTTGTTTGTTTGTGTAAACATAAACAATGATTTCACAAGAAATCATTGTAGAGTTCTTTCTTTGTGACGAAAGAAACAGTGATTAGAATTAATTAACTGTGTTTTAATTAATTAAAATATCCTTTTTCCAATAAATTGAGTAAAATTAAACAACGTTATTGTAATAAAAATTGAATGTATTACCTTTCTCTCGTAATCCCGATTAGGTACAGCTAGCCACGGTAGATCAGCCACATGACTACGAAAGCTCTCTTCAAAATCCAGAACATCAGCCACATTACTCCACAGCACTACATGCACCACCTGAAATTTTTTTCTTCTCGCACCATCCCCATGATCCCCGTGATCCCCATTCACCGATATCCCGGCATTGATATTCCCATACAAATCGACCAATTGTCTAGTAAAATCATCGCACGTGGCGCCTGGATTTATAAAACTGAAATAAACACCGATAACATCGCACATTGTACCCTTATCACCGATAACAGCACTATTAACATCAACAAGTTTATCGCTACCACCGCAATGCAACAATTGTTTGCCGAAGAGACGATGTTGCCAGGGATTGTCATTGATTGATTGATTTGTGCATGATTGTTTTGGTATTGCACCGGACGGCACGATATTTTCAGTGCAGGCCATTATTTTGGTAATTATTTAATGGCTTTTTTTTTTCGCTCTTTTGTCGTTGTGTTGGCGGTGTGACGCTCGGCGGTGAACTAGACGCCGGGGAAAGACACGAGACTAGTCGGCGTCTGCTCATGCGGGGGAGAATCCCCCACTCTTGAGTGCAACCAATGTGTTTGTCGGGGGTGGGAGGAGGATGGGGTGGAAGGAGAAGGGGTGGAAGGAGAAGGGGTGGAAGGAGAAGGGGTGGAAGGAGAAGGGGGGGAAGGAGAAGGGGCGAAAGGAGAAGGGGCGAAAGGAGAAGGGGGTGGAAGGAGAAGGGGTGGATGGAGAAGGGGTGGCAGGAGGAAGGGGATAGAGGAGGAGGGGGTGGAAGGAGGAAGGGGTCAGAGGAAGAGGGGGTGAAAGGGGAATTTGCCTTGCATGTTTTAGCATTTAAAAATATGGGGAACCAGATGTCTTCTGTGGGTTTGAAGTCTCAATGAAATCCGCGATATATTCTATTTCCCTCGACAATCGACTACTTTTCCAGATTTATCGGTTAAATATTGGCTAATTGGCCATTTTAATTCGGTTAATTGTCGGTTAAATATCGGTTTAATCTCGACGAAATCCTAATTAACTTGATTGATGCGGTGGATACAGCGTTGGGAATTTGTGGAGTAGTCTTAGAGATTGTTGATTAAACTTCGATTGAGTTTCAGCGAAAATATTCTGGAATTTTTATTCTTAAAATTGAATATTGAGTCAGTGGAATTCAATTGGCCATATTGTATATTTTATTATCGTGAAGATTGAATTCTAGAAACGGTTCTCTGGAAGGCCATCAGATAAGCCTATGAGTGGTATCGAAAGGGCCCGGCAACCGGAAGTTTAATCACTCCTTAATGACTGGGTTTGGGCTTCACCCCTGCCCTCGCTACCGTCGACACATGGTATTTCGTATACCCCAATCTCCCAGGGGGTATCCAACACCGGTTTCGAGATGGAATACCCTAAACCGAATTTCGAGGCATCTGCTAAATTTGGGCTCATCTTCCGGTATTCTAAATGATTCTAAATAAACCCCACGCGATTAGATTTTCGTCTTTGAAATATTTGAAATAAAACTGAAGTCGAGGACGAACCGGAAGTTAAAATAATTTTGATTCTCGAGGAGTGGCCGAAATTCGGTCGATGTCCGATCAATTCAACTCCTAATCTACTGAATTCGTAAAAAATTCAGGAGTTCTGGGGGTTTTTTTATTCATTGGGGGAGGACACTTGGGGGTGAAATCACCTGTTCCGGGGGTACATTATCATCGATCAACCCTCTTAAAGATTCTTAGCAGCGGTGCACCAGGTGGTGCCATCTGCCCTGGGGTTGTGGAAACCTGGGGCTGGATAATTTTGTGGTGGCTTACAAGGAGTTCGATGTTTTATTTATCGTAAATATTGTTAATAATTATTTGGTGCATCGTTGCTGGAATTAAAGAGAAACTGTCGGGCGCTTTCAAGGAGGTAAGGGTTCTAAAGATATTTAAAGATGTCCAAAGATATCCTAAGATATCTAAAGATATCCAAAGATAACATTATAAACAACCCTCTAGTTATTTCTTACCCTCCACACCAGGAAATCCCTCGATTATTATCTTTGTCTCCTCTAAAATCTATCTACACCCCTCAATAATTGATCTTCAATTAAATTCCCGTCAATTTATTTCTCGTGAATCCTGCCAAAATTCCTCCCATAATTTTTTCGTTAACTGGATTAGCATAATTGTATCGAAGCTTTATACCAAAACCACGGATGGCGTTATCATGTTATCTTTGGCTTCGAGAACTCAAATTTTCAAGTTTATTTTATCAATATAATTAAACAATCGAAGAAAAATTGCAGAACTATTTTAATTGTTATGACCAAACAAACGGCTAAAATTGTTGAATTAATTTTAATAACATTTGCTTGAATTCAGGAGTTATGCTCTAAAGATTCCGTTTATTTATTTACCGAACTTATAAATAACGGAATCCAATATTTTGATTAAATAATAAAATTGAAAAAATCATTGATGCTAATAATTTTTGCAAATAATTCATACCTCGATTGGTAAAACAGATATATTTAAAATGATAATATCATTTCCCTCTTTATCGACGATGTCCCGCAATTAATTTCGCGAATCAATGGGAATATTCAATTTTCTGATGAATTCCAAGAAAGAATTGTGTCAGAATTGATGATAAATAATTACTCTGTGAGGATAATTGACTGGATAAATTGATAAGAGAAACTGTTAATGTGGGATTTTACCCAAGACCGTGTGGCCTAATGGATAAGGCGTCGGACTTCGGATCCGAAGATTGCAGGTTCGAGTCCTGTCACGGTCGTTCATTCATTTTTTATTTCGATTTCGTGGATTTCTTTTTGGTAATTGAGAGTAACAATACGACTGATTATGAAGAAAATTAAATTGTAGTTTTTGCTGAGGTAGTTGTTGCACTGGGGTGCCAGGAGCATTAGCTCGGGGGGGATTTTTATTTCTGTATTCCTCGGTTTTTATAAATAGGCGTGTCGTATACCATTCGAGTGAATGACACGAGGTCTGGGTGAAGGCCAATAGCTTTGAGAATTATCTCTATGGGAGATCGAGATTTAGTAAAAAAATCCTTCTCATTTACCAAAAAAAAACAATTTTTTATCTTTGCTTTTCTGACCCTTTGAGAGTTCCAATGTACTCTAATATACTCCTCGGGCCAGATAGAGGCAAAATCAACGGTTGGTTGATGGAAAAATTCGATTTTGGAAGAAAGCCACTTTTTCCTGTACACCGCGGTCTTATTCCCCTTCCGAGTAAAGAATTCCGAGAAATACTAGCCCCTGTGTAATTTTCAGACGACTGCAATTTTGTCTAGTCTCCGTATGTACGATTTCGCACGCATATTTATCCCCTTCTTCCAAACTCGGGCCTCGGCTATTGTCCAGTGAATATCGAGTCGATAATGCAGCTAGCAACAGAGCCCTAATTTATTCGATATGTCGAACATCTGGCCCTTCCCCTAGCTACACCAGGAATATTCTCCAATATACTTTGAACTTGAAACGTTGAATAAATGAAACGTACGTTCTCCCCTCGAACTCCGGCGCCACACGCATCAATTATTAAATCCAGACACCCCCTCTTGGAAGTACGCAACTCACGTCAGGTTGACGGAGAAATCAAAGGGGAAAAAACTTAACGCTCGTATATTTCAGTGGAATAAAAAAATACTCGTAAAAAAACATTATTCTACTCATGTCATTCTACCCCATGATTTTTTTTGTTGTGCTCCTCGGTTATTGATTATTTATTATTAATTTTTTCGTGATTCTTATGGACGTGGAAAATAAAAAAATTTCCTTCGAGCCGGATTTGAACCAGCGACCTATGGATGTCTATTTTTCTCTCAAACCAACTACAGTCCACCGCTCTACCATCTGAGCTATCGAAGGGAACGTGCGTTGCTCCAGAAAAAAAAACAGTCGACACCGAGAGAATTTTTTATAAAAAAACCGCTCGAGTTTTAAAAAAGGAATTCATTGTTTAATTGATGAGTTTCGACCATTTTATCCGGTTAAATTCTTTATTGATGTTCATTATAAAAATTCAAAGAGGATATATCAATAAATTCAACCGCACGTTTCGAATGCTCGAGGCATTCCTCTTCACATGCATTTATTTAAAAAGAAATTGATAATAACAATATAATTTAATTACTAAAAATTTTTCCTGCAGTCGATGAATTAATTATAAGATATTTTGATTTCTTTCAGTTTTCATTCGGTTAGGTCCCGAGATGTTAATGCTCGAAACTCATCTATTAATCCGATACATCCGAGATTATCGAATTTCATAATTATAAAAAAATTGATAACTATTTATTCAGTCAACTACTTCAAATGTGCGAAAGGCATTCCAAATGTTTCAGTTATATTTCAATGAAATGTGCGATTGGAACTTTATTTTGTTGTCATGAATTTTTAATGCGCGATTATCACTTTTTTCTCATTTACTGTGACGTTTTTCTCTGAGCCGTGATTGCCTCGGTGAAAATTTCTCTCGGTGCAGAGAAAACGGGGAAAGAACACGGGGATTTAAATAGCATTACGGTCTTGGCGTTATAGCTGAGAGAAGTGACTGTTGGACGAGAGGACATTGTCCTCAGGCTCTGGCCACTGATACAGAATACTGGACAATAGGCGTGTCCATACGCCCTGACAACGGATGATTCAGTCCATTGACAACTGATTATTCCGGTTTTTTTAGTTCCCCGTGGAATTTTCCGTCTATCTCATTTCGCTCGAGTTAAAATTACTCCCTTCACAAATTATTTTCTGTCTTTAACTGACGCACCACGAGTGTTTCCCAGAAAAACGTTTAGACGTGGGTCTGGGGGACCCCTTGGCGCGAAAAAAAGATTAAAAAAAAATGAAAATTGATGGACTCACTCTTCACCGGACGATAATGTTCAGTTTCCTGGCGATACTCTGGCGCACCCATGGCCCATTATTCCTCCCATCCAATCTTTTCCGTGCAAACTGTCATCACCTCCAAAATCCAATTCCATTATAGACTCAATGAGCCCACAGCGAGATTATTCACATGTCGTTGAATTGTGGGCGAGGCATTTTATACTTCAATTTCTTATTCGTGCGTCCTTGACCGATACCCATTCCACCGAATTCTCATCGAATTCCCACTGATGAGGTAAAAATCGGGGACAAGCCTCTGCCAGAACTGGTAATTATCTGAAATTATATAAAATAATTATTCATTATTTATTAGAAGATAATAAAAATTTTTCTTGTATTCATACGTATTATCTATTCCCTCCACACCCACCATCAATCGAGGCCCAATCGACTGGAAGATATTGACGTGTTTGAAAAATATTTTCCCATTTTCAGACCTTTTCCACAAGTCCTCAAGGCGATATTTATTACCATCCATTATCAGGCATTTCTTTCTGCGCCTGATCCAATGAAACCTTTGGTAAGAAAATTAATTTTTCCCGACGATTAAACCGAGTACGCAGTACTAATGCTTCCCAATCCTCCCCTCCCTCATACGTGACTCCCCTCGGTAATTACCATGTCATTTGTAATGTATTTTTACTTATGATTGCCTGGCGCTTGTGAGAAAAATCTTTGCAGAGTAGAATATTTAACATTTTTCCGATAGATTCGAATTTTATTTCTTATTGATACACGGAGAGATTCAAATGAGAGAAAAATGCAATAAAAATTATCTATGTTCCGTTATTTTTACTGAATATTGTTCTGACATTACCGGACAGACACGTAATTTTTATTGAATTTTCCTCTCAGTGTGACGGAATGAAATTCTTTGGTTACAATATTACGGATTTTTTGGGGATAAAATTCTGTAATAATTGAGGAATTAGCGATAATTTTAGGGATTTTTGGGTGATTGATGGAGAACTGGTCCATAATATAATTTCCACCTGTAAATGTCGCGTTACAAGTGCCGGGAAAGGTCGTACAATTTTACCCTCTTTCATTACACCTTTTTCCTCAATTTTCCTTCGCCCCCAAGTGGGTCTCCCTCCACGACATGAGGTACCGACGCAGTCGCATGACGAACCGAGTTGTTCGCCCTGTAGCTCGCAGTCTGGCGTCGCTGGCCGACGAAACTGGTGCATTATCCGCGGTTCCAAGGGGTTCCGAGTGGTTCCGGGGGTGCGAGAACCGTTTATTTAATCCACCATCGGGGAATTGTCATTTTTTGTCCGATATTTATCAGAGGAACGAGACTAATGATCAGTGACGAGTGATCAGTGGCAGAATCCCATTTCCATATTCAATCATAATTGGTAATCGTTAATTTTTTGGTAATCGGTCTCGAGGTGCGCCGGAAGTCGGCCGGCGGGACATGCCGCTGTTTCGCCGATTTTCGCGTTAACGCGTGTGAATTCATTGAATTATTATTCTTCAGTAATCCATTGGCAGGATTTATCAGTTTTATCGGGGATTCCAGGAAAATCGGGGAATCGCTGTGGATGAGGAACCCGAGGAACGGAACCGGAAGTGCGCGCGGAGACTGATGTACTCGGTGTTGGAGACGTTGACGTATCGATGAGACCGTAAGTTTTTCCTTGAAGAGGAGTTTTTCACGGACATTTTTCCGAGGAAAAACGACGGAGGCGTGAAATGAAAAAATTGTCGCCGGAATTTTCGGGGGATTCGCGGGATGGGGTTGGGGGATTATTGAAGGGATTGGTTGAGGGGATGAGATTAGGGTTTTTGGGATTTTTCGGATTTTTCGTCGCATTTTGGCCTGAGGGTTTTACTCTGCTGCAGCCGCCGCCTGCACCGGCCAAATCGATTTCAGAAACGCTCGGCGAATACAGAACTGCAAAAGTATTGCCTGAATCCGTGTCTTTGGATTTCAAGGAATTCCGGGATTTTGGGGTTTCAATTCTGGTGATTGGGGGAACTCTCGGGGATTTGGCGGACGCGAGCGCCAGCGGCGCCTCAAAATTAATCGATTAAGTTATTTTAGAATTCATTCTACCAACGAGAAACCTCATGAACTCATTCTCGTGGGGTCGACGGTAAATAATTTCCGTAGTTATTTTTCCTCTGGGTAATACTCGAATTAAATCTCGGGAAATTCTCATAAATTTTTCTGAATCGATCGGAATTTTTCCGCGAACCCGCGAAGTAATTCGCGAATTTTCCGGGATAAACGGAAATCACGTGGTGTAGAGGATCGTGAGGCCCAGGGGATGGCAGAAATATTGCTCCTGAGGACGAGGAATCTAATTGGCTCGGCGCATAGACCACGTGGTCCCAGGGCAACGCTGAGAAAAAAATTACTTGCCGTGAATTAAATTACTCCATCTAAATGAATTTATATTAATATTTGAGTCTAAAGTCGTGGGATTTTCTTGCAGCTCGTGAACTTTATTGGCAAGAGTAATTATTTTTCTCAGAGGATTTTGAGAGGAAGCCATCGGGAACAGTAGTGAGAGCATCGTTTCGCCAGACAGCCTGGCGTCGAGAGTGACATCCTCTCAGGGTGATCCACTTCCCTCCGACGGTTATTTCCGTTTGTAATGTAAATCCACGTCCGATCCCATTCCTAACACCTCAACTATTTATTTTATAACCCCTTATCCCCCCTTATCCCCCGGGGAACAATTAAAAATATGCCTTTCCGCCCATCGCCAAGAAAAAAAAAATGAGAAATTATCATTAAAATAATATACCAAGAATTCTACCGGTTTGAGAAAAAAACATTGAAGAGCTTTTCCGTAGCTGATTAAATTTCCTCCAAAAAAGGTATCTTCATGTTTTCTCCAGAAATCAGTAGTTTCGGAGATTAATTGATATTTTGGAGAACGGTTTAATCAATAATTAATTGAGAGAGTCGAATTACGTATTTTACGATTTTTATACCGAATAAAAAAATCGTAGATATAATTATATGGTTACTAAATATGGATATGTGTTTAAAAGTTAATTGTCGGCTTAATTAGATTGAATTTGTACTTAATTAATAAATCTGAGAGAGAAGCGCGATGAATTTTCAATTTTTTTTTTGTTTATTAACTATTTAAATTGGTTGGGTAGGTCTTGAAGAGTTTTAAGTGGAAAAAAATGATACATTTAACGCAGGGGACTAAACTTGTACGGGCTAAAGGCGAGAGGAGGGTCTTTGAAGAGGGGATACGAGGGGGTTGAAGGCGACGCGCAGGGGTAGGTTGGCACCCCACAACGGTCGATACTCCACTGGAACACTATGTGCCCGTGAGAATGCACCTCTCCTTTATCTTTCGAGGAATTGAGAACCCCTAACCACCTACAGTATGTACCTGACGAATATTCCAGGGGGAGAATACTGAGGAAATAAATTATGTCTCTCAATTAATTCATTAATCCACTTGAATTAATTGGTTCGGCAATGCCGAGTTTTTTGGGGTTTATTTAGATGTCTCGAGTGCATTTAGTTGATGGAAATAGTTTTACTCTGGGTTACCGCATTTTTCCCTGGATTATTTTAAAAAACACCAGGTCTAGCACTTCGAACTCTTTTCACGTCCTGTACACGGAGAGAAATAATTAAATAAAAAAATTGAATTCAATAAAAATTTTGGGGATTTTCCGTAATTCTGGAGCGAAATGTGGTTGTCGGAAATTTTACGGAAGGGTCAGGTAATTTTTATGTTAAGTCACGGAATTTTTATCTGAATTATCAAATCATCATCAATTATCTCAATTTTTCGAATCGTACGAATTTTTACTAAATATTTCTCTCCGTGTACTCTAGAATCTCAAATTGAAGGTGTTCATTCATTTATTTACTATTTGCCGATTGCCCGTGGCAAAATCGAGATGTGGAAAATGTAATGTAGAAATTGAATTTAATGAGTGGGAAATTTAGAATCGATTCATGAGGTGATGGGGGAATTTTATTAATTATCCATTTGAATCGAGAATTCGTTGATTGGATGAGTGAAAAATTGGGGATTAGCGAGTGTTGGATTGATGTTTTTGAAGTGAAAATTTTGGGAGTATTTAGATTGCGAGGAATATCTGCAAAGCGAGTGAACGACACGATATTGATTGTCCCGTGGGCAGTTTCTCGTTGCTGTCCCTGATTAGCCCCTGAGGGTCAAGTCGAGCAGTTCAGATTCTATCGATTTGCCCGTATTTTTATGCAGAATTGATGATGTTGTCAAGCCCATCGAAAGATTTATGAAGATCACAGCAAGTTAAAGGTCGTCAAATAAATAAAAATAAATAAAAATAGATAAAAAAGTTTGAGGATAAATTTCAGTTTCCGAAATTCAAATGCATTTGTATATATTTTTGTTTTGTCTGAAGAAAAAGTTGGAGCTCAGGGTCTGAGTTATGGCCTATCCCAAGAAAAGTAAGTCCACGAGGGCTGGAGAAGCGGTAAGGAGAAAATACCTCGAACTCAAGATCCAGTTCCAGATTTTTCTCTGGGTGAATCTTCGGTTCAGGCAATCCCATTAGCACACTCGACCTTTATCCCTCGTTGAAAAGCCCTGATGGCTTCGAAAGTCAATAAAAAATGATATCAAATAAATCAGTACGATTTATTTAAACTTCAATAGCATTTAAGACACGACTCGCAATATCTGCGACGAATTTCAAACACCAATCGCTCGATTTACGCTGTATATAAAACTGGCGAACGCAAACTTTAACTCTACATTATTTGTTGCGATATTTAGACATTCCGGGGTATCAAGTGGACGGACAATCGAATTAATGACGCGTACACCTTGAAGAAAAAATTATTCCGCAATGATTTAATTTTTAACTGAAAATTTATTGCTAGAGAAATGCAAAACGTAAAATTTTGATTGGAATTGTTTATTTGCAGAAGCTGAGAGATAGAAATCAATCAGGGGACAGGATGGGCTCTTGCAGTGTGTACTTTTCTCAACTCCGAGCAATGCTCGTGAGGAATCTACTGCTCAAGAAACGAGAGAAACGAAAGACGACTGCGGTGAGTTCACCTCCAGTCTATAAAAATCGTAAAATGATGAATAAAAATAAAAAAGCGAATTAATGAATTTTATTCCGACGAAAAAAACTTCTAATTTGGAATTATCACTGCAATATTTCCTCTCCCGATCAACGCATTCGTATAAAAATTTCGACTGACGTTAATCCCCCGATTTTCCCTGGCTTCTCACTCCGCATCCATAAACATTCCATTACGTCTCTTTTTCCACTGTCGTAACCCTTCCTCCATCGATTGACAATTGCGTAATGTGCCTGCTTAATAAATCAGTCAGCATACAGCTTAGCATGCCCCTCAACATCAATCTGTCAGCTGCACGTGACGAGAGTTGAGTTTTCAATCCTCAGATCCGCAACATCGACATCGAAAATCCAAAAGAAAAAGAAAAATCCCGATAAAAGCTCGGCGAATGGAATTTAAATGTTCATTTATTCCAAAATTCCACGAGAAATTCAACTGGCAGATCCGCTCCGCAGAGTTAACATGCCAGTTCCTGGCATTCCTGGCACTTCCTGAGAAATTCGTGCCAATTAGGCCAAGGGTTTCAATAAAAATAAAAACCGAGAGATAAAAAAGCGCCAGAAGATCCATTAAATCATGATCATCTCCTCACTTCTTCCTGGAGTTCTTCTGCTTGCTGTCACGACTCTTGAAGATGGTGGGGTCGACGGTGTTGGAGGGTCCGTCCTTCCAGAGACTCAGAGAGAGACTCTCCCTGGGTTTAACTGTATTCGGCAGGAGATGAGGTCCCACGAGGTAGTAAGCCTGCTCTACCCAGGTGCTCAGGGGAAGTCCCAGAGCGCAGTACTGCCACATGGGAAGCCCCAGGTGCACCAACATCATGCGAAAGTACTTGGTGAAGCTCTTGGAGAGGTGGTACCAGGTGTCACCATTCTCCTCGTAATGCAGCCAAATTCCTGGCTCGTTGTCACCCTCTGGTCTCACGTGGTAGACGAGAAATACTTTGCTCGGGCCGCACTGGTCGATCTCGAAGAGCTTGCAACGAGGACCCTGCGACGGAACCTCCGATAAATCATCCTGATTCTTGTTCTCAGCCTCTGCTTGCTGCTCTTTTGTACCGACGAACCGCTTCAGCGCTGCGAACTCGTTGATCACCATACGACCGATAGGAAACTCTTCACCTGGGGGAATCCAAAATATTTCCATTTATATGCACATTTAAATATATTCTATACATCAAAAATATAAATATAAAATTATATAAATACTTGGGATGCTCAATGCTTTTAGCTCACTCATTTTTTATTCCCCTTACTGAAGTTTTCTCAGTAATTTTTTAAATTCACCACCTCCTAGACGTTTAATTGCTTACCCGCAATATCGAGACTCCAAGTGAGTGAGAATCCATCGATCGATGCATAAAAACTCTTGAAATCTTCAGGGAGTAGGCAACAATGCCTCTGCTCCCAGCTCGATAATGCACTTCTGTCACACGCACTTCTCCTTTCAACTTTGACATGCCTCACGCATGGACTGGCCTCGAGTAGCTTAACGACACCGAGTGTCAGGTTCTCGTAGAACGAGTCCTCGGTGACGATGTCAACGAAGAAAGACATGAGTCAGACTGATGGAATTATTGAAGGGGATGATCAGCTGGAACGTGCCAGGGAATGACTGACATGGTCTCTGTCAATTCCTTCTGCAACTCCCAGTTTGTTTATCCTCATGGCAACCACTTCCCTCCACTCTATTACGATTCAAATAAATTTCTCTCCTTCCAGGAGGTTTTCCTTCCTCTGTACACCCTGGGAATTCTCATCGTGGTTAAAGTTTTGATACCAAATCCAAATTATCCTGCCATGAAAACGCAACGACAGGACGGTGATATATTCGAATTCTTCAATGGATACAGAAATAATACAATAGCTGTTGTTCCGAATTCAACAGAAACAATCGTAAGTTCATTGTAATTTAAAAATCAGTTGAAATGTGTAGACCACTCCCTCATTTTCAATTGTCCTTCATCGAATAAAGAAGATTACTCGATGTTGTGTAACGAAAAGAACGTGAAATCAGGTTGCGATAACGAGGACTTGTGTTCTTCCAGAGCTTCTTAAATTCAATGAACACCCTGTGGCAGTCGATGTGGGGCTCCTCAGGAAACCCTCTAAACTTCATGGTATTAGAGACCAAGGATGATCTCCAAGCTGCTTACTGGCGTGATCCCTACAGCATACCATTGGCTGTGATATTCGAGGATCCACAACCGATTAGCCATCGTTTGCAGTGAGTAAGACAGCACAAAGCGATGGAACCATGATGAATGAAGTTCTATAAAAATCCAATTCTATTAATTGTTTTCACAGGTATGAGATCCGTACAAATCCCTCGTACACATCACCCCCGTCGCCCACAGAGTTCTACTCGTCTCCGGTGACCTGTCGAAAGGACACTAGCCACTGGCTGGGTGGCGTCCTGTCATTAGAAACCGGTGGATCATGTCCTGTTAATGATTACTTTCACTCAGGATTCATGGCTCTACAGATGTTGATAGACATGACAAAAATTCGGGTGCGTCAGAACAATCCAACGATCTGGTGTTTTCCATAATGTGTTATCTCGGTTTTTATTTTCACTGGTTTTATGCACTTTAGCTCGACACAGGCAGCAGCGAGGTCACCGTGCCAGATGTCAAGCTCGAGATGTTTCCTAAGGAGGCTTACACAGCTAGTAAGTAGTCTCTACTGCTGAGAAAACACGAGAGACTCAATGATGATACTTCTTTCAGACTGGATGCTAGCGTTTAGGGTTGTTATACCACTCTACATGGTCCTAGCACTTTCACAATTTATTACTTACCTTTTGATATTAATTGTCGGGGAGAAGGAGAACAAGATCAAAGAGGGAATGAAGATTATGGGACTGAAGGACTCGGTATTTTGGTGAGTCCTTAAAAATTCACTGTTCGTATCACTTTTTGTTTCACAAGAATATTAAATATCAATGATCAATTGATAATTATTTTTTTCAGGATGTCCTGGTTCATAATCTACAGCATCTTCGTGCTGGTGCTGTCTGCAGTGGCAGTAGTTCTGCTGTTCACCCTCCAGATGTTCCAGCACACCCACTTTCTCCCTATATTTCTCCTAGTAGTCCTTTATTCATTCTCCGTGATAATGTTCGCGTTCATGATAACTCCGTTCTTCGATAAGTCTCGGACTGCTGGGGTCCTGGGTAATTTTGCTGTGACGATTCTCAGTTTGATGTACTTCATCCAGGTATTCGTGGATGATTCCTCCTCCATCTCCTTCTGGGTGGTGTCAATCCTGAGTCCAACAGGGGTGGCTCTGGCCATGGACAAGGCTCTGGTGCTGGACCTCCAGGGGGAAGGGGTGAACTTTGATAATCTCTGGTCAGGACCGGGCATCCCCTTCGGTGGAAGTCTCGTGATGATGACTCTGGATATCTTTCTATACGGTCTCCTAGCTTATTACCTCGACTCAGTGGTAAATCTCGCCGATTTTATCATTCTATTAATTTATTTTGAATATCACTTGCTCTATTTATTATTCACGAGATTGATTATTCAAATATATTGTTGCGTATTTACTCTCTTTTCCTCTGGATGACTTTCCATCGATTGTCATAATTATTTTATCTCCCCAAATCAACTGATAAACAATATTATTCACTGTATTTATTTATGAAAACGAGGTCCCCTCGGAGTACGGTGTGAAGAGGCCGCCCTGGTTCTGTTTCACGCGAGGCTATTGGTGCAAGAAGAAGGTCCAGAGGATTCCCTCATCGAACGGTGAATCGAACTCCTTCATCCCGGAGGAGGAAGCAAACCGGGACGTGGAGCCAGTGGTCCGAGAGATGAAGGGAAGAGAAGCGATCAGGATAGTCGACCTCTACAAAACGTACCACAAGTGTCGTAAACCCGAGATCAAAGCAGTAAATGGCATCAATTTGACGATTTACGAGGGTCAGATAACAGCAATTTTAGGGCACAATGGGGCGGGGAAAACAACGCTCTTCAATATTCTCACGGGTTTAACAGCCCCAACAGCGGGGACGGCACTGATCTTCGGTTACGACGTGAGGGATTCGAACGACATGCAGATGATCAGGAGCATGACGGGAGTTTGTCCCCAACACGATATTCTCTTTGATCTTCTGACGCCGCGGGAGCATCTTGAGTTCTTCGCTGCGGTCCGAGGTATTCCCCGGTCGGATATCGATATTGAAGTGAAGAAGACCCTGAAGGATATCGATCTGATGGAGAAGGCGGACACCTTCGCGAAGTACTTGAGTGGCGGTCAAAAGAGAAAATTATCAGTTGGAATAGCGATAATTGGAGATCCCAAGATAATAATCCTTGACGAACCGACAGCCGGGGTTGATCCGTACTCCAGGAGGCAGATGTGGTCGTTCCTGCAGTCGAGGAGACACGGCAAAGTCATTCTCCTGACGACTCACTTCATGGACGAGGCCGATATCCTTGCGGATCGTAAAGCAGTAATCAGCAGGGGAAAGTTGCGCTGCTGTGGGAGTTCACTGTTCTTGAAAAATAAATTCGGCATTGGATACCATTTAACACTCGTCCTCGAGGGCAATGGCAGGGTCCACGCAATCTCCAGATTGGTGACGTCACACGTTGCGAAAGCGGAAAAAGCAAGACGTCACGGAAGAGAATTGAGTTTTATCCTACCGCATAATTCAGTGGAGAACTTCGCTCCTTTGTTCTCAGCAATTGAGAACGAGATCAAGACTCGGGGGAGTAGACTGGGGATAAGCAGCTACGGGGTTTCCATGACAACCCTGGAGGAGGTCTTTCTTCACCTTGAGAAGGACGAGGAGACAGAGTGTACGATGGATAATTTATCCAAGAAGATGGTGCGTAACCGAGCCTTGAGCAGATCCCTATCTCTACAATCGAAGAGCACATCGTACCAGAGTCTTCAGAACGAGGGTGCAACTGTCCAGGTCGACGGCCAGGTCAAAGGAACTGAATTGCCTGACGGAGTGCACACAGACAAGAATCCAGCGATCCTAGGGCTCGGCCTGGATCCCATCAAGATTCGGCCTAATTTTTTCCAGACGCTGTACGCAATGCTGAGACTCCGGGGCCTGAGACTCTTCCGGAATATCCAACTCCTGTACTTCACGATCGTTGCACCCTTGGCCCTTGTTGTCCTGGGGCTGTACTTGAAGTCCGTACAAACGGTCGAAGTGAAAATGCAGTCACTCGAGTTGAGTAACAAAACTTATGGACAAGAGACGCGTATTCTATACGGAAATCGAACTGAAAGGGATATTCTTCCCATGATGCATCAAATAAACCAGAGTGTTTTTGCCCTGAGGGAGTATGAGGAGAACTACACGGATCTTCTTACGATAGCACCTCACATGGCACTACTGAACATCGATGATTATGACAAACGCAGAATTAATCTGACGATAATGTACAACGACACGATGCAGCACTCGTTGCCGATACTCATGAATATAATTTCGAACTCTTATTACAAGTTCCTGGCAGGCGACGCCTCGACCCTCATCGAGGTGAGGACACATCCGTTCCAGCAGACGTCCCAGCCACAAGAATTTAATATAGGAATAGCGAGTTCAGCCCTTTTCATTGGGATGGACTTTGTCCTAGTGCCAATAACTCTGGCTGTTGACATGGTGTACGATCGAGAAATCAAGACCAAGAATCAGTTACGAGTGAATGGCCTGTCCTTTCCCATGTACTTCCTGACGTACTTCATCGTTTTGGTCGGTCTGATGTCGTTTATTTGTCTTTGTATCCTTGGAATAATATTCCTGTTTGATGTGCCATCGTTGCAGGAGTTACCAGCAATTCTGACTCTTGGTAGTCTTCTCATGCTGTACTGTCCGTCTTCAATTCTCTTTTCAACGTGCCTCAGCTACATCTTCGACAAGATGGATTCGGCTCAGAGTATTCTCCCTAATATAGCAACGTTCTTCGGTTTGATTCCCTTTATTCTTGTGATGATTCTTGATATGCTGGGACTTGGGGGTACAGCAGCATTCGCCCTCCACTGTGTATTCTCACTTTTGAACTCGATGTACGTCCCGTACGCAGCTGTCTATTACGTGGACAGAGTCCACCTCATGTGCTCGATCAACGCAGCTTGTCATCACTTATCGATGTCGGATTATCTGACAGCTGAGATTCTGGTGATGGCCCTGGGAGTTATCGTTCACTGTCCTCTCTGGTTCTTTGTCCTGCTGCTGCTGGACGTGAAGAAGTCCGGTGGAAACATCAGTGAAGTCTTCAAGTACTTCTTGAGAAATGGTGGAGCCATTGGCGAGGAAATCATGGAAAACAACGACATCGGTGAGCATGAGGACAGCGATGTGAAGAATGAACGTCAGAAGGTCTTCAATTTTATAACGTCGTCGTCTGTGCAAGAGCCACCGGTGGTACTCGTTCAGAACCTGAGGAAGGAGTATCGCCAGCAGGAGGCGGGCACTTCCTGCGGTTGCTGCAACAAGAGGGATATGCAGCAGGAGCAGGTGATACAACCGAAAAAGGTGGTGGTGAGGAATCTGTCGCTTGCGGTGGAGCCGGGGGAGGTGTTTGGACTCCTCGGTCACAATGGGGCAGGCAAAACCACTACGATGAAGATAATTATTGCTGAAGAGGCTGCCACCAGGGGAAGGGTACAGCTCGGAGGACACAATATTCACTCCCACATGGCGGAAGCCTTTCGGCAGATGGGCTATTGTCCTCAGCACGATGCCCTCTGGAAGAACATCACTGTGAGGGAGCATTTAGAGCTCTATGCAGCCCTCAGGGGAGTCCCGTGGAAGGACATCGATAGAATCGTTGATCTATATTTATCTGGCCTTCAAATTCAGGAACACGCTGACAAGCAGACGCAGGAGTGCTCAGGGGGCACCAGGAGGAAACTCAGCTTTGCTATGGCGATGGTTGGGGGCCCTAAAGTCGTACTCATGGATGAACCCAGCACTGGAATGGATCCGAGGTCCAAACGATTCCTCTGGGACACTATTCTTGCGAGTTTTCAGGGAGGCAGGGGCGCCATTCTGACCACCCACTCCATGGAGGAAGCTGATGCACTTTGCTCAAGGGTCGGTATCATGGTGAAGGGTGAACTCAGGTGCATTGGATCCACTCAGCATCTCAAAAATCTTTATGGGGCTGGTTATACCCTCGAGATGAAACTCCTCGGAGGTGACTCAACGCCCACAACACCCTCTGGGGATCGCATTGCTAGTCTCAAGGAGTTCGTTGCTGGATTATTTCCTGATGTTACTCTTGAGGAGAGCTTTGCGGATAGACTCGTTTTTGGGGTACCGCAGCACGCCGTTCAGTCCCTCGCTGATTGCTTCATGCAGTTGGAGAAAGGTAGGAACTTGGGTCACTCGCGTAATTTCGTTTTGATCACTGTGATTGCATCGATAGCAATACCTTTTATTATTATTTTTTTTTTCCAGCGAAATTGGATCTTGATATCGAGGAATACAGCTTCAGTCAGACAACACTGGAGCAAGTATTTTTGAAATTTTCTCACTACGACGAAGTAAGCAGTGAATTATAATGCAGAAGTTGATAATAACTTAGTTATTGAAATGCTCTCGAGCACGAGGAAAAAAATAATAGTGATAAGATAAGATCCATTCCAAGATTGAAAAGAGACATTGCCTCGAGTCCAATGTTTGGAGGTGAATGCGTTAGATGAAAGTTTTATTAAATTGAGAGATAGTATCCGCGTGTGCGAGCTGTTGTGAATTTTTCGCGTTCGTTTGAGTTCATTGAAAGGGTCGGGGACCACAGGTGGAATGTGTTCTACGAGTGAGTGAGCAAGTTAATTGATAATTGGATAATAAATAAATTCAGTTACTTTGAAAAATAATGAAGAGGTCATGTCTTCTCTTGGAGAAAATGGATTAATTGAATAATGATTAATGAATATTTGAGATTAATTAGTGAGGATATCAGTCTGTACATAGCGGCATGACGCCTTGTTAATTTTTAAACAAAATATAAATTATCCTTTCGGAAGTTTGTGTTTGGAAAATGCGAGAAAATGAGATAAATTAGAGTATTTTTATCCTTTCGGACAATCGTCATGAATTTTCATACATCTGTGATTAACACGAGATTTATCTGTCGAAGAAAACCATGATGCGGTGGAAGAAACAATTTTTTTATTATTATTTATATTAAGTATTCAGTTATTGTCTTGGGTGGATCCGAGTTGCAATAAAGTTAAGTGAAAATTTTGAAGATATTTCGGAGAATTTGATATCTGCTCCCTCCCCTGTGTGCAATCAGAATGTATCTTGTACATAATAATAGCACTTACATATCGTGAATATTGACTCTACACGAGAAAAAAAAAATGCCCTCTTAAAATTCCTCTAGGTCGTCTGAGTATCCAAGACGCTAGATTGTTCATTCTCAAGATAAACCTCTTGATTTTCGATTTGTAAATGCTCAGAGAAATAATAAAGAATTGTCTTTTTCTACTTGAATACAAAAGTGTGCATCCCGAGAGGGTGATTATTCAAGTTTTCAGATCATTGCATTGTTGGGAGTTTAATTGAAATTTTTCGGAGGTACGCCCAATTTTTTTATTAAAAACCATGAAATATATTTAATTTGAACGGATTAGATGAATACCGCCAAATGAATTAATTCAATTGAAGACTAATTGTTATTAAAAATTCTAAGAGAAATTCTTCAAAATGTTCATAGAATTTAATTTATTAAAATTTGCGATTCATTTTAGATTAATGAAATAATTTGAATAAATGGATGAATAAAATAAAATAAATAAGTTCGATTGAATACGAAGAATTGTTAAAAATTTCAATAGAAAATATTCCAACAGTGTAGTCTGAAAGACGAGGAGAATTTTATTAAAAACTTATAGATGTTGATAATTCTCATTGACCGTCGTGACGAGCCGATGGCAGAGAATTGTATTGTAAATACTTGGCACCGATCTCTCGATAATAGAGCGAGAGAAATAAATAGACGAATAAACCTGAGTGATCGATACTAATTGGACAGATATATCAAGGACTGATTGATTATTCATAGTTTCAAGTGGTAGGTAGTGAATTAAATCAATCTGAAATTAATGAGCAACAAACGTAGCTGAAGAAAATGATGAGTACCATTTTTTTAATGCTATCGATTTTCTGTAAATATTGTACCGATTGACAAGAGCATTCGCGTTGCATAAATTATACGAAAAAAAATAGATATGCATTAACGTAAGACGATGCAAAAATCTCACATACTGTCAGATTTTCACGTGCGCATCTCATTCCCTCTAGCAAGAAAAGATGAAAACGGCTAACGCGTGCAAATTACCACACCTCTAATTAATTCAATGACAAGTAGTGGATGGAAAGCATACATTTTAGTCAATTATGAGGATAATGCAAAGAAATGGGAAATTATGTCGCTAACCGAATTTAAGGATAGAATTGCGACGTGTTTTATGGAGTTGTAACAATTTTTTAAACAGAATTTTGAATGAAACTATAAAAAGTAAAAAAAATCAATAAGTACGAATACTGATTGCCACAAGCACGAGGCGCATGTTCATTAATTTCTCTATTTAATTTATTCAGTCCTTCATTTATTGATTTGTCAATGAGAGGATTACGCTTTTTTAATGAAAAATATGACAAGAAAAACTGAAAACTGGACTTATCAATTTTTTTTTCTTTTTTTCATCAAAACCAATTCCTATCCCTTTTCAACGTGAAACGAAATATTGAATATAATTATTCGCATGTGACCTGGGGAATCGTGAAAAATTCCACGATGACGCCAGAGTAAACATTCAAGAATAAATAACGAATGAGAAAATGTGAATTTTCGATTTATAATATTGAAACGTGAAACGCTGTAATAAATTGTTTTGCCAGGATTTTTCACAAATAAAATAAAAGACAAATTGACATAGATTAAATAAAATACTTTGTGTTCTTTCCCGACAGAAACCAGAGTTAGAATTTCTTCTCAAAAATCGTGAGAAATAAAATGCCAATTGTTGTATTCCCTGTTATGAAAACAATTATTGTTTTGAATCGGTCGAATTCTTTGGTTGCATCAATCATTCCGAGTGACACAATCATTACACAGTCTATTGATGAGCTTTATCGATATTTTATTGACCTTATATCTCCGGGGGCTTCAATCCGCAATCTTTTGATAAAAATTTACCGGAATAACCGGTTAAAACCGAGTCATTACTGCCCCCCACAAATTATGTTGATGATTTCACAATTAATCAGTTATTGATAGGGTAAATATAGCACTTCGCGGGAAACAAAACACTTCATCTTCCCGTGGTGTTTTGAAAATTTGGGGAATTTTTATAGCTCGGACTTTTGTCAAGTGGATTTGAAACTACGCAGTTTCATCCGCACGTGGGGACGAGAGTGACGTAAATATGATTTTCGGAGATATCTCCATCTTCAATTGAGAATAATTACATTATCACTCCCCGAATATAATTTTTACTAACTTTTCACTCGATTTATCTCGGAAATCGTGGACTTCGGGAGAAATAATCTGAGGACTTTGGTAAAGATCAAATCCTTGAGAAAAAGGTCTTTCGATATTTTCTTCAAAAAATCAAGAAACAATCTAGAATCTAGGGCTTTATGCAAGCTCTAATATTCAACGAGTCGTTTCAACTCAAAAGGTCAAAGAAACATTAATTACCGAAGTGGTCCAACGGTTGCTGCAGCCTTCGCTTTTCAGCTGTCATTATAGCCTTCCTATTGCTCCATAAAACAAGTAATCATGAAAATTTTGAAAGCTGACCTCAAACCGAGATTCATTCTGAAAACATCTCGAGAGATTTTCCAAATGTGTCTTCCACGTGAAATATCAAAACATCTCTTTCTGGATTGTCTCTACTTCTGTTAAGATCTTCGTTGCCCGAATAAAATTATAAACAATGCAGTCCGAAATATGCAGGGGGTTAATCAACCCCCAAAAACAAATAAACAATGAAATGAACAATGGGGGATGGGCATCCCCAAAATAATAAAAGAAATAAATAAACCCGGTGAACCGGCGCTCACCAAACTCTCGCCACACGTGTCTCTCCCACCCTCATAATAACAATAATTCCTCGCCACCTGATTATCTGCGTCTCCTTTCTAGTAATTGTCTGACAATCGACAAATGCAAGACGTCAAAGTGTCTGGCGTGTTGTCCCTCGACCAATGAAAACCTCGAATTGTGGTCCGACGCGGGGCGGAGGAACGGCCATAGACTAAAAACAACAGGAGAGCCATAGCCGGATGTTTAAAAAACCCGCGCGCACCCCGCGGGAGATTCAAAACGCGGGCTTGCACGCTGACAGAAAATGAAAAAAAACATGTGAAAAATGTGATAAAATTGTGTAATAAAAAATTGATAAATTTTACCTGACGTTTATCGTGATTTTGACCTAGGGGTTAGACTCTGGATGCACCCCCCACTGTCGTCGCGACGCCATTTTTCCGGTGCTGGACGACCGTTGGTTGTATCCTCTCGGTCTCCCATCGGGTTCGTGACAATTTCCTCTCTCTGTCTCACTTCGTCGAGTGAAATAAGTGAACGACTTTACGAAAGACCAACTAATGAGCAACATATCGTGTTGAGCTGCGATCCAGAGTGGGCACGCCTTGACTGCTCCCTCGAATTCACTGGGAATTTATCAATCTCGTGTTGTTCGGGTGTTTTGGGCAATTTGAGATACTGTTGATCTCTTATTTTGTGAATAAGAAGGAGGAAGTGTCGTGGGAATATTCTCATACATTCGCCTGTATTTTATTTTGCAACGAGACTGTTACTCAATTGTGCCATGATGAACTACGGAGAATCACCAGCGAATTTGGAGAGCAGGTGAGTTTATTATTATTTCTGCATTTTTTTTTTCTTTTGGGATATTAATGGGGGTGTGAAAGTAATTAGAAGATTTCGGGGAAATATTTTCAAGAAGAATTCACCTGGAGTTCAATATTATTTGGGTAATTACAGACACTTTTCTTAATCAATTATTTATAATGGCGTGAGCATTTGTTATTAATTTTCATTTTATTCCACGGTGTACATTCTGGGGGATAATGTTTTTGTCTGATGAGGGTATTCTTTTGGGAAGATTCAGTGATTCATTTCTTGATGATTCATTTCGAATTATAGAATTTTTTTGGTTTTATTTAATTGAATAATCCAGGAGACAGATTGAGAGATTAATTTACTGGATATTGAGGCGAATGATCTTGTAGTAATTTTTTTTTTAATTAAAATTGGGGAGTACTCCATTACCATCAGCCATTGATGAATTTATATTAACTGCTGATGTACGGATTTATTCAATGAATTTAGGACGTCTCTATTCAGTGTAATTTGACGCTTGGACTCTTAATTCTAATTCAAAACTTTTTAATTTGGTGGATAAAGCGTTTTCCAATCAATAAAAAATGTCTTATCATTAATTATCGGTTTATAAATACAAAAATAAACCATAAATTTATAAATATAATTAATGGAAAAATTTATAGGTCCACTTGGCCCCAATAATTTAATGAAAAATTATGTGAAGTGATGGCTACAGGGGAATTCTTGAAGCGTTGAAATTCATAACAAATCCATGAAAATGTGTCGTCGAAGTAAATAATGGGCGACAAACAGATATCGACCTAATTACCAATCATTATCGATAGGCCGTGAAAAATTAAGAATCAGCGAGAGAATATCTAAATGAAAGCTCTGGGATAGAATTCACACGGTAAAAACTAATCTCCGTCACGAAGCTAATCATAACCTGGTGCTCACGTCATCCATCAATTCTCGTCCAGTCCTGATGCTGTTTTCTAAATGGAGAAAATTAGACAATTGTCGAGCTTTCATTCTCACCATGTGGTACCATCATAAACACTTGAAAATCGCTCATATATCACTTGAGAATTATCGCAAACTCATGAAAATGTCATATTAAATTCTGAAAAGAAGATATGGTAATGTAACCGATTCGTACGAAATGACTGTTCAAATGGAAATTGTCGGCTTTTGATAAAACGTAAGCCCCTGCAATCTCGAGATATAGTCAATGACAAGAATTTCGAGATAAATTGTTGAAATTTAAAGAATGTAGAGGCAATTAAATCAATATTCGGGAGAAATGGGAGAGAATTGATTTAAATTTTTAGATATCCATTGAAAACTGCATAACAATGAAAATCAACTGGAGTTTCTGATACTCTTGATCCCCTGGTGAAATCGTGGCTCAATCACGATATTTGATTAGATCATAAGCCAATTTTGACGATTGGGGCCAAGCACGTACCGTTAACTTGAGGAATAATAGTGACGAGCTAACCCAACGAGTTTCGATGGTACCTCGACATTCCTCATCTCCGAGAAACCTTTGGACTATCGAGAAAGGTCCACAGGAAAGATAAATCAAAGTGGTGCAAATTACCACGATATGCGCAGCGGGACAGAAAAAAATAAACCGTGGAAGATTCGAGCGTGGAAAGTGAATGATTTTCCGAAGCTTGACGCAATAATCAAGGACAGATTCACTATTACTTCGGTGAAAGAAACCCGGGATGTGGTACCCTAGGAAGAATATCAATCATCCAGAGTGCACAATTAATTGCTATCGTCGGAATCACGGGGGAAATTCATCGTGGAGTCAATGCTCGTTGCGAAAAGTTCATTGAGCGAGGAATAGAAAAAAAAAAGGATTTATGTAATCGAGAAAATTTTCCTTTTCTTTCCCTTTTTATCTTGTCGGATACCCCGGGAATTTAATTCCAGCATTTTTCATCGCTCTCTGTCACTCTCGAGAGGAATTCGTGTACCTCCTCCTCAGGACGTAATTCCCCAGGTATTTGGCGTCGGAGAGAGAGCGCGTGTGTTGGATTATGCAATTTTTTTTCGAAGTACAACGTAAAAATAATTTTTTCCATTCCACGCGCTGACACTTTAATTATTTTTCAACGTTTGATGTGTTTCATTGATAACGATTCATTATTTACACCTGTATAAGACTTAGAAAGCTATCGAAAAAAAGGCCGATTGGTTTATTTCAGTGAATTAATAATTTATAATTGAATTATTTAAATTGTGCAGGTCAAGCAGAGAATGGAGGAATGAGAATTATCGGTTGATCAATTTGACAGATGATTGATTGATTTATTGCGTTCGGATAATTTCTGGGGTAATTATCAGGGGTAAATTTGGGGAGAGAATTTTTGGTGAGTGGATTTATAAAATTCAATTGAGGATTTATAATGATTGGTCATCTCGAGTGATAATGGCACAAGAATAGGTGTCGATGGACGACCTTGCATGGTCAGTACCTTTCTATTCCCCATTCATTACGAGACACACTGAAAACTCTTATGTATCTATTCGTGTTCGGAATAAACCGGACCCCGTGGACTTTGCCTTAAAAATATTATTCACTGTTGCGTAGCCCAGTGTTTTCGCAATTTCAAGCGATTGGGTGGATATTGACATTGAAATTCTGAGTGAGACATGAGTTTTTGAGAGCTGAATCATGCACTTTGTGTTTTGCGTTGCTGGAAGCCGTCAATTTTACTCAGAGATAAAAGTAGAAAGTAGGCAATCACCAAATTGGCCTCTCTGTAATGCAACTGAAATACCGCGCACTCGTTTGGTGACGCGTCAGGTTTCCCTGGCAGGTGGAATTGGTTCCCTATGACATATCCAATTGCCTTTTTCTCAAAACTCTTATTTATTTCAAATGCATCTTGCATCGATAATATCCACTTCCGTGTTATGAACTGGGTTTCATTTAATTATTGATTACGAAAGTTGCTTTAATTTATTCATTGTCAACTTTTATTCAAAACATTGGAAATTAATTGCACTTGTCTATGTTAACACCCAACTTCCTATTTTCTTCTCGAATATTGACAATTCAAACACAATTTAATTAAGTCTGGGATTATCTCTCGTTCATATTTGCTTTTTTCAATCTCTCAATTTCAAGAGCAATTTTTATCATCAGATGGAATGTTCTGGAAGTTGACATGTGTGATGATTCCATTGAGTCAATTATCGTGTGCGGTACTGACTAAATGACTACACAAACGTCAAAGGCATTTTATCAGGAAAACATCCGTGAAAAATCGCGGAAATCTCGGAGAGGATGACGGAAACGACTCATATCATTATCATAAATGCATAATGATTTTTTCCGATGAGTGGAATGCAGGGGATTCGTGGGGTCAGAGTATCGAAAGCCTCGGCAAGGGTCGACCCCAATCCATAAATCAATGAACTTCATTAAATTAACGAGAAAAATAAACTTGAAAAATAGCAAGTGAAGAACCTCAAGGTACCGATTCGTGCTGGTTCTACTTTTATCACCTAATTATTAATTATCTTCAGTGGAATAATTGAGTACAGTCCTATCTCACTCTGGGATTCGATCCGACTGTCATTCACGCCCGGAACATGGGGATTCGGCGTGATCTATCCATATGACTGATCAACGTCTTCGATTTCTATCGATCATTTGGCCTTCGCTCGATAATTGATGTACGGCGCACCTAAGACTAGAGAGAGAAACTAATTACGAAATGGAAAACTAGATGTTTCGATGAGCGACAGGAATAGGCAACAATCGGATTAAATTTAATTGGGGTTCTTTAAATGAGTTCTCTGATCGAGGTTTTGAGAGTTCTTTGAGAATATGAAATTTAAACAGAGATTTAGATAGCGATGATCGATGCCGGATGAGAGATCACTCTTCACGCCATTTCCATATGAACTGGAAATTGGACTTTGTCAGCAGAGGAATGCACTCTAGACTTGTTAATTCAATCCGGGAAAACGAAAAAGTAATTAACCGATTGGTCAAAGTCCCCGGACCCGTTGGGACTGAGGTCAATGGGGGGAATTAAAACAAACAAATAGAATTCCTTGAGCGTCTGGTCAAAGGTGAAACGTTCGTCATTATTATTGTAATGCTTGCGAGAGATTTGCAGACAATAAAGCTCGGGTCACATTCTTTTTGGAATTTTTAGATGTAGCATTGACCTATTGTAATTTTGAAGGGGTTTCAATTCAATTTTCAATTGAGAAAAATAATGAGGATGTTGATTTTTGGTTGCAGGTCAAACCTGCGAAGGATTGCACGCCACGACGAGGCAGAATTCAGCCATGCTAGCATCCTCCACAGCATGGAGAAGTTCGTGAAGGCGGTGAGTGAAATGGAGGAGACAATTCTTGTTCCATCTCGTCTCCTCGACCTGGCAGTTGGTGATGCGAGTGACACAGTGAGCCAGAAGGGCTTGAGCACGATAAAAGACACGATGCCTCGCACAGATCTCTACCGTCTCTACACAATTGTCACGAAGACGAAGCTAGAGCTCCTCTGGTCTCAGAAGTCCAGTGACACTCAGGACGAGGAGGACGAGACCTGCGAGGACGCTCGCAGGAAGAATCAGCCGAGATTGGGGCACGCCAGATGTCCTAGTACCACATCCATGCAGAGTATGCAGAGTGCATCATCAGTTATCTCTAGCTCAAGCTCCTGTGACTCAGACTCAGACGTCGGTATTGAGATCGATTCGGGAATGGAGAACGAAGAATCATCCAATGACAGGTGCGCCAATCAAGCTGCTGATACATTTCGTCGTCATCTTCATGGTCTTCATCGCAGCATCAAGCACATGACTTCAGCTGCTGAATACCTCACTCTCAGATATCAAGTTGATGTTGGGGGACAGGTTTGATTCTGCTGATCATGACTTTTGCCTCGAGTTCTATTCGTCGTGGAAGGCAGGTCCTCGTCTCACTGAACTCGCGCTGTTAGAATTTTTTGAATTTTTTCGGAGTTTCTTGATAAATTTTATAGTGGGATTCTTTCAATTTTGGGATTATTGATTTATCGGTAGAACTATCGATTTTAGGAAGTGGTGAATTCACTTTTTTGGAGTTCATTGAATTTCGTATGAGAGAGATCTTTTGATCATTTTTCCTAAGATCAATAGTTTATGGGATCAATCAATGTTTTTAAATTCAACAGGTCATTACTGAAATCTTTAGGGAATTTTCTTATCAAAATACTCTAGGAAGTATAAAGAAATTCGAGGGAAAATTCAAGAGCTAATGGGAAATTAATGAAAACTGTAGATTCAGTTCAATTATCACATTGATATGAATAAAATCAGAAATTTCAGAGGTTTTTACTCGAAATTTCAAGAGTAATTTTCTAACAGTGCGACTGGAGTCCAGGTGTCTTCAGGGATTGCACAGAACCAATGAGTTTAATGTAACAATTATTTGCACATTACAAATGAACACCTGGGAAATAATCCCGATGAATTTCCTGTGGACAAGTCTCCAATTGGATCCTAATTAATTTTGGTTGATATTTTTCTCCACAGGATTTGCCTTCGGAATTCAATTTCTCAGAATCAATTAATTACAAAAACGTGCAATAGTAGAAACAAGCCACTTCTCCCTTTCAATGTATGAATAGCCAAAAATAATAGAAAATATCGTCTCAGAACTTGAGTTGTCCCTGCAATAAAATTAAAAAAAGTCCACTCACGCCCGAGCAATTAATAAATTTCTCAGGCCCCCACAAAAATTCACAGATAAAAAACGCGAGCATTACCACAATCACACGAGATAGAATCGATTAAACAGTAGCTGCACTGAGAAAAGTAATTATTTCTCCCAATTCGTAATTAGTCAGATATAATTATTTTTCACAGTGTGCCAATCATTGACGCTCCTTAGGATAAGTTCATAACTATTTATTTTTTATTACGAAATATCACGTTGAAAATCCGAAAAATTCACGAGTCCTATTTATGTACATTGAATAGAATGGATTATCGACAGTCAGACACTCAATACTCTCTCTTATTGTCATCGAACTGACTTGAAATAATCTCAGAACAGTTGGATGACGCACAAGGGAGAGACAGTGAACCACGAATGAGCTATTGAAAATTAATTTTTCCCACTTCTGTCTGTACATATGTTGTACATAGAATTTAACGAATCGTCGTGTAAAAATTTAGGTAGTGATTTCACTTTTTGTAAGTTGTACGCTACGCTATTGTCTACGTCACGTCACTGTTGCATTCAAAAATTATAAATAAACTATTGTTTCTTGAGAAAATGACCTAGCATAAATGAGAACTGATAAAAAATAAAATAAAATGACTATAATAAGTGAAAGGTGAAAGATCTACTGATTCATTTAAAATTACAGTGACGTGATTGTTTTTTAATTAATATTTCCATAGTTTTCACGAAATAACTAGTTTCAAGGGAATAAGAACGGGTTATTGATGACGTATATCGAGTTGTTGAACAAATGACGTTAATTGACGTCTTATGTATCCACCTATTGAACGTAGGGTGATAGGTATCGAATATTTTGGTTTATAAACGGAAAATGTTTCTCTGACTGTACAAGAGTGGTAAATAAATTTGCAACTGCCTTTTACAGGTTGAGACTTTGTTTAATGTCCATTCCTCAGGTAGAATATTTTATATTTACAGTTGGGAGATGGTGGAGAGGGGATTTTGAGGTGATGGCACTGTTTGGAATTCAATTGGAATGATTTTTTTTTTCTTTTTTCGAAATTGACAGTCTGATTTTGAGAGGGACAGCTAGCTGATGTCCACAGTGGCCATCAGGTCTTTCAGATTGGCGTAGTCTGGATCTGTGGAGAAAATTTCGAATAGTTCGCAGAAAGTCGGACGATCCTGGGGGGCGTACGACCAGCATCTCTGCATTACGTCATACACGTGCTCTGGACAGTCTTCTGGTTTGTCCAGGCGTTCACCCTTTTCCACAAGTTGAATTACCTGGGGATTTAATGAGTTCAGTCAATTTGTTGGTGTCGAATTTTTTAAATTACCATAAAGTCCCGTATATTCAGAAAAAAAACTCACATCGACGCCTCTCCGGTCGCCGTAAGGCTGTTCCCCATACGAGAACATCTCCCAGAGGGTAACACCGAAGCTCCAGACATCACTGGCATGCGAGAAAGTTCCAAAATTATAGGATTCAGGTGCATACCACTTGATGGGCCACTTTCCCCCCTGCGTGGCTCTGTAATAATCACTAGATCCAAAACTCCTGGACAATCCAAAGTCACTGATTTTTGCCTGGTGCCTGGAGGCTAACAGAATATTTCTGGCAGCAAGATCCCTGTGGACTAGCCTGAGCTCTTCTAGGTACTTCATACCACAGGCAATCTGTGAAGCCCAGACCTTGAGCTCATACGATGGGCTGACCCTGTCAGGGAACTCTAGGAGATACGCCAGCATCGATCCAAGGGGCACTAACTCTTGGACCATGAGGAGTGGAGGTCCCTGGGAAAGTCCAATGAGTTTAACAATGCAGTGATGGTCAAAAGTCATCATGAGTCGGGCCTCCCTGAGGAATTCCTCTCTGGTAGCGATATTGTGGGTGTCTCGAAGAGTTTTAATGGCCACAGGTACCTGAACCCCATTTGTCAGGACTCCTTCGTAGACAGCCCCGAATTCCCCCTCCCCCAGTACCTCCCCGAGGATGAGATTGTCCCCTGGGATAAACTCCTGAGAGCTGCTGGGAGATGCTGAGGCAGCTGGTGAAATTCCCATGTCGAATGCAATATTTTTGAATGATGTAGGATCAGGCTGGAGTGCCAGAGCCTCAGGGTGTTTTCTCCCCAGGGTATTTCCATTGAAAATTGAGGGGGGCATGTCTGGAACTGGAGGAGGTTTTTCAGGGCGAATTGGCGTCACGAGAGGGCCAGGAAGACCATCTGGCATGCACCTGTAGTGCTCCACTACGTGCTCCAGGGACGCCAGGTAAGGACCATTATCGATAAATAGGTAATCGTTTCTCTTCTGGATCTGGAAGTGGTAGTCCTGTCTGTGGTACATCACAGTGAGGACGTAAGTCCCTCCTCGGCGATCACTGAAACGCACCAGGAAACTGCCCTCCTTGTCACCGTGTTTGTGGAGGAGAGAGACAGCTTCTGTTCTGTCTAGGGTGCCGTGGTACCAGTCAGATTTTTTCTCCTTGGGGGCTGGGGTCTCGTAGTTGTGGAGGAGCTTTATGCACTCTGTGTGACCATTTCGACGGGCTAGATTCTCTGGGGTGTCGTCGGCTAGAGTTCGCGGGTGAACTGGAGCATTCATCGATAGCAGCACTTTTATCACCTCACGCTGGCCTGCACTCGCTGCCTCGTGCAGGGGCACCATTCCTTTGGGATTTTTTCGTTTAGTTTTTCAAAAAAATCAGGGGGAAAAACAATCACTGGATTCAATTATATTTAGGTAACTGCTATTTACCTGTCTCTGTGTGTCTTGCTTGAACATTTGCACCACCCAGTATGAGAATTCTTACGGTATTGGGAAGATTACTTTGGCATGCGTACTGAAATTCAAAATTTATTTAACTCAATTGGGATGCCAAATTTTCTCAACGCAGAATGGTTACCCTGGAGCCTCAGCTGCTTGCAAAGATAATTCCAGTCATGACATTGGAGTAATTAAATAATTCGTGGGATAAGTAAGAGAAAATATCGGAATTTCTTACGTGGAGAGGAGTATATCCTGCAGAGTCACGACAATTCACACTAGCTTTATTCTCAATGAGCTTCTTCAGGATGTCGTCAGCACCGTCCTTGGCTGCGAGGTGAACTGCTGTCTGGCCCAGTTCATTTTTTGCCTCTAAACTCCTGTAGCCACATTTTAAAAGCTCCGAAACAATCGTGTAGTTTCCCTGCATCGTAGCTCTGTGCAACAGATTAGTCCTGCCATGTCTTCTAGTGTCATGAGGAGGCAGAACACCCTTGCAGGGATTCTGGAGTTTAATCTCGAGGCCATGATTATCCTCTTGGTAATATTCTATCAGGGTGTCCAGCCCATGTATTGTTGTCTCGTCATCTGAGCAATTAAATAGAGAAACATTGGAAATTGAATGAATTTCCTGGAACAATGTCATGAATGTCACCTTTGATTTTGATTACTCACCGATGGAGAAAAAGGCATCTTCCCCGTGTTTTCGAATTTGATAGTGAATCACCTCCTCGTTGTGGAGAACAGAGAGAACGTAATCACCTGTTGATGTACTACTCTCTCTCACCAAAAACACCCCATCGTCATCTTCTGGAAAATTGCAGTTTGTTATTAGAGTTGAAATGTCAGGTGAATTAATTCGGTGTAATTACAGAGGAGAAAGATAATTTACCCTGTTTAAGGAGATTCTCAGCTCCTTCTCGAGACAGCTTCCCATGGTACCAGCTGATATCATCATCCTTGGCCATTTTTATACTAAAAATCAATATTCACACGGTGTTTTGTTGACGCAACTATTGGGAACAGGTTTCATCGTTGGAATTTTATCGAACGACTGCTGGATTACTGCACCTGCACTATCCTTCACGTATTTACTGAACAATAAAAAATAAAATATATTGCATTAAAATGAGGAACAGAGACCTCTGGAGGAATTGGAGAGAGTGACAGTCGTGGAGTTATTTTTGAAGTTCAATTAGAATAATCAATAATTTTCTGTGAAATTTATGTAGAAAAAATTGCATTGAAAAAATTACAAAATTCCCATTCGAGAATTCATCAATTTCTGAAATTGTTGGTAAAAAATTATAATGAGGAATTTGAATGAGTAATTTAGTGTGGAATTGGAGATCTCCAATAGAAATCGAAAAAAATGAGAATGGGATTGTGAATTGAGTGGATTGAATGGAAATAAATTAGAGATGAGACGAAATTCATTATTTTGATGCTATTTGAAATGAGGATTTAAATGTTTCTCCGCAGTATGTTGGCACTCCTCGGCCCCCACCCCAGGTGAAGTCGCCCCCCAGCCCCCTAAAGCGTCCCACGCACTCAGTGAGTGACGAATCCCCTCGCATTAACAATCGAACTAAAAATTCTCTGATCTCGTCTTGTGATAAAACCACTGACGTCCATGCATCGCAGTCGGTAGTCCAAGAACCCCCGAGGAAAACTAGCCCCAAAAGCCTCTTGCCCCCCAACAACCATTGATCCACTGGATAATAGTGCAATTCAGTAATTAATCAATCGCTCTGGCAGTCGTCACTCGTCAAATAAAACAACAACAACGACAGATGATAAATAGACCTTGATTGGACGAGGACAGGACTGTTTTGAGCAACTGCTGGACAGCCACTCGTAGGGGAATCAAGACGTTGGGAAAGGGGCATTTATTCTTCGAGGATCAGAGGATTGAATGGTGAGTTTCATTAAATTTAATATTGCGTAACTGGGGGTTGAGGTTGAGAGCTGGCAGGAGGTTAGAGTGAGGGAGACTATCATTTTTCACGTGTTTTCAGGATTTTTTTCAGTGGGAATCGGCGAAGATTCATTTTAAACATTTTTGAGGGTTATTTTTCCATGAATGCATTTTTCAGGGGTGGCTACGGGTTTTTCGCGGATTTTTTGCAGGCTACGGTGATTTTTTTTTAATTGTTCTTAACGTTTTTGATGATTTTGTCATTTTTGTAAATTTATCTGGAAATAGTCTATTCCTAATTTAATTTATCGGCATTCAAAGCATTTTGATTATCGTTTTGAATTTTTGTTTTATCACGTGTTACTATGATTTTTTACTGGGTCGATATTATTTTTTATGATCTGTGATTTTTTAAACATTTATTTCTGTGAATTTTTTAAATTCTGAGGCTTATTTCGAGTTTCTAGCAAGTTTCAAGGGTGAATTCAACTTACACCGAGAATTTTCAATAGGCTCTATTGATCTCTGCATTAATCATTCATCTCTCTAATGATTAGGGGCTTCTTTCAAGAATTTCCTCGAGGAAAATTAATTTTTTACCGGAACACGCCGTTTATTTTTAGATTCAAAGTATATTCGTACGTCAATTCATTCCCTCGATTATTTACTATTATTCAAATTTATGAAACCGTTAGAGATTTTTTTTTCGCGAAGTCTTCTCAGGCTCAGGAGTTTATTTTCTTGGGGTTTTTATTTTTCCTCCGGGGTTTTCAGAGAATCCACAGGATGAATCACGGAGCCTTTGTTGGAATCGCTGATCCTCCCCTCCTCGGGCTTATGAATTTTATTTTTTATATTTTTGGCCAGGGGGGATAGTGGTCGAGTGGAAGGATGAGGCATTCCATGAATTTTTTACCAGCGAGACTGAGCTGGCGGCTCAGATACTCAACTCATTAAAAAGTATGTCAGTGATAGCTGATTGTTGGACATATGGGGGGGATTTTAGTTGGATTTTGTTAGCCGAAGGTTAGGGGGACTTTACGAGCCATTTTCTAACATTTTCTCCACATTCTTAACATTGCCATCATCATTCAAACATTGCCATCCCCACCGTAAAAACAATTAAACATTTCAGTCGCATTCGAAGATGTCAGTGGATTACCTTTTTATCAATCCCAATTTATTCGTTCTCTTATCGCTGTAAACTGGCGTAATTAACTCGTTAAATTATCCAATAATCGTAATTGAACGATTTTATGTAAACTGTAAAAAGTTAATTAAACAATTAATTTTTCAATATTAATGTCCGGCTTTTGTCTTTAGATCCAATTGAAGATTTGGCTGAATGATATTTTTATGAGTCACAATTTGAGTTGTATTATTTTATTGAGGTCAAAGTAATAGTGTGAATGCTCATCCATTTATGATAATTGATTTCATTCAAGGAAATAGGATGGATAAAATAGTTTAATTGATGATTATTGTGTTGCAAGGTGTTAACCTTATAGAAAAATCATGCCTCTGTTCGGAAAGTCTCAAAAAAGTCCGGCGGAGGTTGTGAAGGCTCTCAAAGAGGCGGTCAATGCACTGGAGCGTGGAGACAAGAAGGTGGAAAAGGTAAAATCGTATAGACCTATTGTCATTTTCATTCATAACAAATTCAAATAATTATCCCCAGGCCCAGGAAGATGTCAGCAAAAATCTCGTTCACATAAAGAATATGCTGTACGGAACAGCTGAGACTGAGCCCCAGGCGGACATCGTCGTTGCCCAATTGGCCCAAGAATTGTACAACAGCAATCTACTGCTCCTTCTCGTACAGAACCTTAGTCGCATTGACTTCGAGGTAATACAGAGCGATATTTTACTCATTATCTCCTTACTCTCGATAACAAGTTTATTCGAGGGATAAAAGCAGTTAATTATGGTTTTGACCCCTCGCCAGCCATGATAATCCCGTAAAAATATTCTCTCTTCTCTAAATAGAATATCAAATTAGCTTTTAATCAACTTTAGATTGTCTTGAATTACTTAAATCATTTCTCGATTCTTTAATGATCACAATTACTTAACGAGTATTTTTATTGTGGATTAAATATTGTCATTGATGTCAACAATAAAAAATTGGTTTATTCATTCATTAGGGGAAGAAAGATGTCGCCCAGGTATTCAATAACATTCTGCGAAGACAAATTGGCACACGATCACCGACAGTGGAATACATCTGTACGAAACCAGAAATATTGTTTACACTTATGTCTGGGTATGTAAATAAATCATTGCTTCGTTTGAGAAAATGGCATAAACCGAGGGCTTTTCTTCGTCTATTTTCAAGGATCAATTCATTAATTTTCTGATGACAATATTTTATTGAAGGTACGAGTACCAAGATATTGCACTCAACTGTGGTACGATGCTGAGAGAGTGTGCACGGTATGAGGCACTCGCTAAAATTATGATTTACTCCGACGACTTTTATAACTTCTTTAGATACGTCGAGGTTTCCACATTCGATATTGCATCAGATGCCTTTTCTACGTTTAAGGTAAATATCGAGTGATTAAGGAATTAAAATTAATTTTTCATTTCACCTACTGCTAATTTGATTGATTACAAAAATTATAGGACCATTAATGATAAATTGTACGTTCGGGGAGTGAAGACTCGCCGCTGATGGTATGAATTTTAGTAAAAGTTTTTTACACTTTGAATTGCAGGAATTGCTTACAAGGCACAAAATCTTAAGTGCCGAATTTTTAGAAGTCAATTACGACAAAGTTTTTTCCCACTACCAGAGGTTGTTGAACTCGGAGAACTACGTGACACGCCGACAGAGTTTGAAACTACTCGGCGAACTTCTGCTGGACAGACACAATTTTACAGTAAAAAACAATTCCGTTGGTTTTTAGAGAGACGAGGAACATTTTTTAATGGGAAATTGTATTTTCCAGGTGATGACTCGATATATATCGAATCCAGATAATCTGAAGCTGATGATGAATATGCTGAAGGAGAAGTCGCGTAATATCCAATTTGAGGCCTTTCACGTATTCAAGGTAAATTAATTAATTACCAGAGCGATAATAAATACTGAGTCGACTATTATTCGTTGCAATACAGTTAATTGACAGTCAATTAACCAACTTTCTGAATAGTCTCGGTAACGGATTAATTTCTTTAGCAACTCGAAAGTCAATTTATACAATGAATAATGACTCCTCCAGGTATTCGTTGCTAATCCAAACAAGCCAAAACCAATTCTGGATATTCTCCTCCGCAATCAAGAGAAACTCATAGAATTCCTGACGCGCTTCCACACAGATAGATCCGAGGATGAGCAGTTCAACGACGAGAAAGCATATCTCATAAAGCAGATCAAAGAGTTAAAGTCTGTAAATGATAATTAAAAGCACCACAACAAAATCAGCCCATCGGATTTATTCTTAAGTTTATCACCAATTTTTCTTTTTCTTATTTCGTCATTTAATTGAACGATTGAACTCTTTTCCAAGGTAGTGTAAATAAAAAAAATTTACATTCGTGAGATCATTGTAAAATAGACTCCAGACGTTATAATACTCTACTCTAACGAGAAAAAAATCATCCAGACGTTGATTACGAATTATTTGCACCCACCACCCCAGGGATTGCCAGGGAAATTCACATTTTCCCATTGGAAAAAAATGTACCTGGGGACTTTTAATGGCAGCTACAAACGTAAATCTCGTGCCTATTCGTATCTTATTTATCATATGTAATTGTTGCAACGGGAATATCCATTACTGCATCGTGGACTGTTGTAAATTGTGATACAAAGAAAATTAATAATTAATGGGGACAGTTTGGCGAGTGTTTTGGAACAGGGGGAATCATATTTTAATTTTATATCCGATCGTAGCGAGAGTTCGCAGATAAGAGGCATTTTCATTGGAGTTGTTTAACCCAGGATCACTAATTACCCAATTAAAGATTCGAAATTGCTTAGAAATTAATGAGTAAAGACCCTTAGCTCCAGAGGAGATAATTAGCAAAATGAAAATTCAAATGACACATTGAAGATCCAATTGATAAATTGTAGCTGCTGTAATTCTTCAATTAATTTTCATTAATCAGAAAAAAAAAAATCGAGATGTTCTAAATTCAATAATAAACACTTCGGGTTACTCTACACGCTGCGAATGTATTACCCATAATTAATAAGCATCTATGCTTCATTTTATGCTTAAAGTGAATAAGGAAGGAAAATAATTATTGTAATCCAATGCTGTATGTATAGAATTGACTGTTAATGAAAAATGTAACGCCAAAATAATGATTATTGTTTATTATATTTATTGCAATAAAAAGTATTATTAAAAAGGGAATACATTTTTCAAATCCTCTCAAATACAAAAAATCACAATTAAGCATTCTAACTATTTACATTCACAAAATGTCTAGTTGATAATTAAAAATATTCTATTGATATATTTTAACATCGAAAAATAAGATATTCCACGAAAACTCAACTACTCTATCCCTTGTCTCCACGAATAAAAAACAAATGGTAATAAACTGAATTATATTTTCAAACCGCAAAGCTCTGAATTCCAAACATCTCCATGATCACACAGACGGCATGCTCGACCTTGAGAAAACACCTGGGCCTCCTGTTGGCGAGTCCCCAATCAGGTTTGGGATTCGGCAAAACGATAATCCTCTCCATGCTGGTGTTTTTCCTCTTGACAGGAGTTTTCTCCTTCTTGACAGCAGCACTGCAGGCACTCCTGATCAGCCAAACTGTCCTCTGGTCATTGGCCACCATCTTCTTGAACTCCTCATTTCCCATCACAACCCAGAGGAGGGTTGCAAGATTGAGAAACAGTTCGAGCTGTCCCTTGATGGTGACATTCATCAGCCTTGCAATGGTCTCCATGTACTCGAGCTTCCTGACTTCCCCAGCAGTGTCAGGTAATTTTGCGAGTGTAATCAGGATATTGGTGCACCTGAGACAGACGTCCATCCAAGGTAAAGATCTGTTGGACTGCTCCAGGAGGTCATAAATCTTCTCGACAAGTTGTAGCTTACAGAACATCACACAGCCCTTGATGCTGAGCCTAGTCAGGCTATCGATGCAGGCGAGACACATGGAGAGCTGTCCTACATTGTTAAATGTCATCAGACCATTCATGGCCTCTTCGAGACGATAAGCAACAGTCGTGGAGGGTAGAGCAGCCTCTGCAGCCCTTTTCGACCGAATTCTGAGTTCTTGTATCCTGGAGGACTGCTCCTTGCGGACTTTGTAACCCCTCCAGGTCGCCTGAATTACGCCAGCCGCCCAATTCCTCCACCTGAGGGTCTCCCTGAGCTCCGCCCTGAGTTTTCGCCTCTCAGTGATTGCCCTCCACCACTGCACAATAACTGACACTCCATTCCTTCTCATATTTATTAGTTCTCTGCGCCTTCTTCTGGCTAAAAACACCCTCCAGGCCCTTTGTATGACCGTTGAGGCAGTTCTCAGCTGCTGGAATTCCTTCCTCTTCGTCCTTGCGGCCCTCCAGCCCCGGAAGAATCGTTGAATCACCACTGCAGATTTTCTCTTCATCACGAAGGAATTTCTCGCCCTCCTGGCTATCAGGATCGATCTCCACCACGTCTGGAGAACAACAGCAGCCTCTTCACGTTCCCAGGCCCTCAGTTTCGCCCTCCAAGTTCTCTGGATGAGAATGACAGATTTCTTAAGCCTCAGAAATCCTTCTCTTACTCTCTTCCCCTCTAATTTCGCTCTGAATTTCTTCTGAACAGAAATCGTCGCCTTCTTGAGTTCCAGGTAGTCCTTCCTCATCGACGTGGCGAGGACGTGGGCTCGCCTTCTCCTCTGGACAACCAAAACAGCTGTTTTTAACATTTGATACTCCTGGTGGCATTTCCTCATCCTGACAAACGACTGCAGTGAAATAACTGCCATTTTCTTCTCCAGGAAGGACTTCCTGGTGATTCTCATCACTCGCTGGGCCCTGAATCTCCTTTGGACCACAACGACAGCTTTCCTGAGGACCTCAAACTCCCTCTGGCATCTTCTAGCTGCTAGAGTGGCCCTCAACCTCCGTTGAATACAAACAATCAATTCTCTCTTTTTCAGATAATTCTTCTTAATCTCTTGTCCAATTTTTCGTGCCCTCCACCTTCCTTGGAGGATCTTCGCAGCCCTCTCACGATCCTGGAGAACCCTGAACCTCTGTCTGGCGAGAATCCCCCTGGAGATAGTCTGGATGTTCAGAACTGCATTTTTAATCCCCAGGAATTCAGCTCTCGTCTTTCTCGCCAGAATTTTGGCCCTCCAGAGGGTCTGCACCTTCAGGACGTTTCTTCTCAATTCCAGGAACTCCTCTTGACGTTTCCTGGTCTCCCGGAGACCCCTGAACCACCTCTGGAGGACAATTACTGCATTCTTCTTCGTTAAAAATTCCTCCCTCACAGTTTTCGCTGTTTTTGTTCTAGAGTACCACTTCTCGATTGTTGACACTGATCTCTTCATCCTGAGGTACTTCTCACGAGTCTTCTTCATCCTGAAGTTCTTTTGGATAACAATCGCAGAGAGTTTGAGCTGGAGATAATCCTCTCTCAGTTTCTTGGTGATTTTAGATGATCTGAACCACTTCTGGATAACTACAGCAGACTTTTGTTTTATTTTGAATTCTCTCTGGTGCCTGACTTTTCTCCACCAAGTCTGGAGAATAACTGATAACTTGAGGACATTCTTCAAGTGCCGACGATCTCTCCTAGTTTCCCTGAACCGCCTGAAAGCTCTCTGGATAACGACAGCTGCTTTTCTCTTCTCCAGGAACGATTTCCTTTCAATTTTCATCAACTGAAGACCACTGTACCAACCAGAGATTATTCTTACAGAGTGTTTCTTAATAATGAACTCATTCCTCGTCTTCTTCGTCAACAGGTGGGCCCTCCACCATGTCTGAATGGTCGTGACACTGGAGAGAACTCTGAGATAATTATTCCTGTGGAATTTCATGCATTTGTTTGCTCTGAAGGTTCTCTGGATGAGGATTGTGGATTTTTTCAGGCTTTGGAAGGTCTCGAGGTCTTTGCGACCCTGGGAACACGCCCTGAACCACCTCTGGAGCATTAGGGCGGCACCTCGAGTCTCCAGGTAATCGTTTCGTTGGGATTTCATGACTTTGTAGCTCCTGAAGAGTCTCTGGATGACGACTGCTGCGTTCTTCTTCCTCTGGAGATCCTGGAGGTATGGCTTCGATGTACTGTACCTTCTCCAGGCTCTCTGAAGAGTCATGGCTGCAGTCTTCGTCTTCAAGAAGGCCCTTCTATCCTTCAGAGATCTCCACCAGGTCTGGATGACTTTAGCAGCTTCATTCTTCTGGAGCAGCTCCAGCTCCCTCTGGGTTTTCAGGGCCCTGAATATTTTTTTAGCTCTATATGACCTCCAGCAGCACTGGATGATAATTACAGCATTGGTTCTTCGTCTTCTCAAATAGTTCCTGACGAGGATGTAACACAAATGCGCTCTCCACCACTTCTGCAGGGTTTTGGCTGCTTTCTCGAATCTCGGCGCCTGGAATTTGTAAATTATCTGCCACAGGAGGCTCATAGTTTTCTCTCGGTGCCCATCAGCCACGGATTTCGCATCGATTTCCCCGGTGATGACGTATCCGGCCTCGTGGAGGGCCGACAGAGCTACCTCTGCGTTATGGACCTTCTGGAGTCTCGAGATGGCTGGGGCTCTGCACTTCGACGTCAATGTTTTCCCCCCGATGATGAGCTCCATAACTCTGCAGAGTCTAACCCCATCCCTGAGGTCTACTGAGAGATCCTTAACTGCATAATCGTATTCATCCAGGTACGTCTGCTTGTGAGTGAGAACATACCCGTGAGGTTTCAACATCTTTGTGATGTCCCCTACTCCACTCAATGTTTGTCTGGAAAAATTCAGGAGAATTTCCCGGCTTTCCTTGAAGAGGGCCTTCTTGTGAAACAAGCAAGGATCATGTCCAATGAGCTTCCCTCTCTTCGCGACGTCCAGGAAGTAAACGAGAAGCAGAAATTTCTTCAAAATGAATTTATTAAGATTCGGCATAAAATTTGGGGTTTTGAGAGTGGAATTCTGATGTGAGAACTTCTCCGAGAGGAAAGGATCATTGAAGAACCTCGCGAGGAGGAATTTAGTGAGACCAACGAGGTCGTTATTCGACGCCAGAGGAATCGTTTCCCCGTACACGACTTCTAATCCAATTCTTAGCCACAAGGGATTGTAACTGAAGAAGAGCTCAAGGATGTCCTTTTGGAGGCCGATGTCCCTGTGGAGGTCCTTGTCTTGTCGCACCACGAGGTTCCCCTTCTCGATGGAGAGAATTGTTTTCGAGAGGACAGACCGTACCTCTGGTTTACTAAACATCATGAGGGCTCCCTTTCTCAGAGTATTGAGGCGATGATTCGTGTGGTATCTCGCAGAAACTGCCTCACGAGTCTCTGCCAGGGGAATTGACTCCTTCGTCCTGCAGGACTGCCAGACCTTCCCCACGTCGACTTTTCCACTATCGACATCGGCGTTGAGGTGCTCCGGAGGAGTCAACAGTGCATTCAACCACTTCTTGAACTCAATCTCCTGGTTCCACATCCATTTCTCGTCATAATATAAACTAGAGGCTAAGAAGGGATCCTCTGTCATGGTGGCAGCGAATGGATCAGGATTAAATACACTGGAGATTAAATCCTCGGGGTTGTGGAGCTTGACCGAGACCTCCTTTGGTTTCTCCTTAGGCTTGTGGAGCTTCGCCAGGGAGAGTTTCCCTATCTTAACCCCCGGTATGCCCTTTTGAATGTTCAAATGCATTTTTGTCTTCCTGAGAATCTGCTGGGTCTCTCTGGTCCCCTTCATGACCCTCGAGGGCTTCTTCGGGGACACCCGGTGGTAATTAATTGATTTGAATCCTCTCATCGACCCCGAGGATTTCTTCGTAGGAGAAATCTCGAAGACAGTGGGCTTCAGGGGTGAGGTGAACGTCTTCGTCAGATTGAGGTTGAAATTCAGGTGGGGGAGGCTCGTCTGGCGTTTGAAAGACGGCTCCTCGGAGATGCTCTCAAGCGAAATGGATTTCTGGTGACGAAGAGGTGTTTTTGGTTCGTCCTTAAGCCAGAGGTCAGCCTCGATGACCTGCTGGACTGTTGAGGTGTCCGAGGTTCTTACTGAATGGATGGGGGAGGAGGAGATGGGGCGAGTGGGCTCTGGAGAGCTTCCACATACTGGTGAAATACGTCCGAAGGACTTTGAGTGCTTCGTAGGACGCAGAAAACAATCAAAGTCTGACTGTCGACTAAGATCCAGAGGAGAATTCGAAAGCTGATGGAAATTTTGGGAGGAGGTGAAATCCTCCACGGAGGAGTGCCTCTTAGGGTTGAAGGATGGGAATTCTGGGGGCTCAGACTGCCCGTGGCGATTCTGGCGAACCAAGTCCTCCTGGGAGGACTTGAGACTATTCAATGATGCAGAGATTCCAGAGAAATTGTGGAGGTGATCGGCTCTTGAATGGTTGTCGTGATTTCTTTGATGATTTTTGTTTCCAGGGACTCCAAGAGCATGATTTGGATGGAGAAAGCCTTCAGTGTCGGTTTCTGGAGGAAAATAATTAATGCTGTGATGGTTTTGGTGATGTCCAGCTCCTCCAGGGCTCCAATCCTGACTGGAATACTCTCTATTTTTCATCAAAATCCTCGAGGAAGTCGATGTGCCTGATAAATCGTGGACTCCGTTATTCTCGGAGTGCTGGTTATTATTTTTCGTATGATTGTGGGCATACCCAGCCCCTCCAGGAGTCTCGAAACAGAACTGCAGTTGCCCTCTTGAGCCTGAGATTTCAAATGTATTATTTGAGAACGTGATCTCCTCCCTGACTGTTCTGGTGACAGTTAATCCTCCATTCTCGAGAGATTCTTGAGATTTTTGCGGAGTTTTGAAACTCGCCAGGTCGTCGATGAGTGCAGAGAAGTTTCCTGCCTCCCTGTGGTCCTCAGGTCTCGGCGACAAGGAGTCGTCAAAGTCCTCTTCGGGTTCCTGGCTCACAGGCTCAAGAGGAGGAACTCTGCAGAATTTTGGGTCTGGGTTCAGATAAGTATCGCGACGATGTGGCAACGAGGGCTGACCTGGAGAGATACTACTCGTATCTCGTGGGGAGAAATCAAAGTCCTGGGGATTGTTATTCGGTTTTGTGGATTTCAGAGGAGTTAATTGAAAGCTGCTGCTGTTTAATACACCAGAAATATCAAGATGCTGGTGAAAATTTCGATGATTTTCCTCGAGGTTCTGATGACTTCTGTATGGATTTTGATTATTTTTATTTGCTCTTACGTTCGAGGGCTTCAGGATGGAATTTTCCCCAGTTGAAGCGAGAGTAGATGACTGCGAGGCCTTCAAAAAGGAGTTCGAGGGTAGTTTTTGACTTCTGCTGATGTTTTCTTTGTTAGCAGGGACCTTTTGCTGTGATTTTCGATGGAGGAGAGGAGGGTTGCTGTTGCAGGGAGCAAGAATTTTCTGGGAATGCGGTTTTAGGGTTTTAGAGGATTTTTTTGAGATACAGGTAGTGGTTAATGGAATGTCGTATTTCAAGCGTCGACTGTCTGTCAGCTGAAGGGTGTCGCGCCAGGAACCTGCCTTCAGGGGAGTCCAGGAGAGGAAGAGGGTAGAGGAGGACTCTGGAGGGATAACCATCTCTGAAGCACTGAGAATTACACAACGATCCTCCGGAGGCGGCTTCGAAACCTTCACCTGGGAGAACGAATTTCAACCATTAATTGCGTTAACGAGAAATTGTTAGCCATTCACTCACATTTAGTGGCCGATTGCTGGTGTTTTTGATGACCAAACTCGTCTGTCCCTGAATATTTTCTGATGTCTCGATATTGAGTCGAGGCTGCGGTTGAAATGGCGCGAGGACGAGAACCGCCTGGACCTCGGGGGCCTTCTCCTGGGCAGCGGTGGCATTCTGGGCCTTGGGGGTAACATTGATCTTCAAAAAGCATAAAATGCCACTTATTCCACCTGATTCTGAAGCGTAAAAAAGCAAGAGAAAGCCATTATTTACCTGGAAAAACATCCTTCATATACTGAATCCCTTCTCCGTCAGCTGATTACTCCTGGAAATATTCTCCCTGTGAATTGTACATCTCCACAACTGAAACACAACCGAGAGGACAAAACACCGTTGACTAACCGTTTTACTCTCCAGCAAATTCAAACTCAACTGTTTTTGCCTTTTCGCGTCCCTAAACTCATTTTTTAGTAACCTGCGCGGCCCGCGCGTTTCTAAATTCCCTAGAACGTTGTACGCAGGCGCAGAGACAAGTCTAGACACGTCGCTGCGCCTGCACGGACAAGTCTAGATTAGTGTCTCTAGAATAGTAAAGGGTGACAGTCGTTCGTTTTTATTCCAGATAAGCATCAGTAATTCCGCTGTAAAATCGCATCAACTTTGTTTATTAATCGTTGATTAGTGTTTATCGTAATTATTTATGAGGGATAGAGTCAGTGCTACCGAAAAATACCGGGAACAATGGGCGAGGGGAAGTGATGGGCTCGCACGCAGAGCGGGAAACGCCGGAACAAAGGAATTCCCTCCGAAACTCCGCCATTTTGCGCGGTACAGGGAATCTGAGGTGCGTAGAAGACGAGAGTTTGGAGGGTTTTCCGTTAGAGTGTTCGGAGTACGTGTGCAGTGAGCAGTGGACCCCGGAGGGGATCGGGGGGTACGCCGGCTTCGGATTGTGTATTGTGTGAGGTAAGAGTTATTTCCCGATGATTTTTTCAACTTTTTGGCGACCGATCAATTAATTAATCAATGAATTTCCCATTATTGCTTCAGGTGAAAGTGTTCAGAGTGCAGAGGACCGTGGTGAGGATCAGTGGAGAGATCGGAGACATCGGCTTCGAGATGATAAGAGAGATTCGAGATGCAAGGCCAGAATTATTTTGTTATTATATTGGCGATTTTTTTTTGGGGCAGATTAATTAATTAATTGAACGATTTGTTGCGAGGGTGGCACCTCGCAGCATTTGTTTTCCATTGTCGTCATATTCCGTCATCTTTGAGGTGGCGACGAACAAAGGAAGGGGGAATGGGGGGGGGGGGGATACATGGGATTTTTGATGGAATTTGACGATTTTGATGATTCTTTCGGGTTTATTAGGGGATTGAAAGATTTTTCGTGATCGTGAGGGACTCATTTTGGTTTAGAGGAAGCTTTTGGCGCTTTTTTGGTTGTTGTTAGAGATTTTGGGGGGAATCGAGTCGGTTTGTGACGTCATTAGCGTTGGAACAAAGGACAGTCGAGACGCCGTGGGAGATTTGAGGGTTTCACATATCGACTCATATCGACTCATATCGACTCATTAAAGCGAATTTCTTCAAAATTGACCGAAATTTTCGTCAATCACCTCTTGCTGAAAGCAATAAATTAGCATTCTCATAAAATATCCGCAAATGCATTTGAAAACGGCAATTCTATCAACCATTTTGAATTTAAACGGTTCGAACTCGTTAGTTCCAACCGTCACCGCTTTTGAAATTCCCTAGAATTCCCCAGATAAAATCGCGGGAAAATTTGAATTTTCTGGAGAATTTGAAAATAATTCTCTCTCCTTTTCTCGAATAACGAACGATGCGAAAATATTTTGGTGATTGTGAAACTGAAAGAAGTATCGACCATAGTAAATGCAATGAATATTCATGGATATTTATTGAATTTGCTTTATTATCAAGATATCCACGAATAAAAAAATAATTAAGCCACATAACATCATTCATCAACATGTTATACAAACATTCAACTTGGCAAAACAAAGATTATTATTAAATTTTTCTTACAAAGGTAGCAATAGTGAGTCATACAAAAATGATTTCAGTTTGACAATTGAATGATGGGCGTATGTATAAAATATATACGTCTGTTAATGTACTGTACATAATCTACAATATCAGGATTAATCTTAATATCATTAGTTGTACAACAATTTCACTAATTCAGGGTTTAACGATTGATCGTCGATTCGTTAATCTATATGAGGTTTATGTACAGGACGTATTTCCTGCTCACGCGAGCATATCATTTTCTGATATTTGTTTAAGGCATTTTTCATTAATTAATCACATTAATTATCATACAAACTCTGCGGTTGAGCGTAAAAACGTGAAATTCCATTATTCTGTTTTAAATTCGGGTAACAAAAATTGACAAAAAATTCCAGAAATTCTCTAACGAGTAAAATAATTATGAATTGAATACTAGTTCCTCCTCCGACGTGACTAGAAAAAAAAATAACAAACAATTTTATTTATATTGCGGTAATTTCTATCGTAATTGAGCTAAAAAAATGAGTTTGGGGGTGAAATATCGAAGATTATTAATTCAATTATCTCTTCTTTTTTTTTCTTGACTTTTCTGAGATCCGAAAAAAAATCAAATTATTCTTAGAAGCATTTAGATCATTTCCGGTCTTTGCTGAGGTCAGAGGGCATGTCTGCATTGGCACTTCCTATCGAGCATTGTGTTGTCAGGCCCTTTGGCACAGGTAGGGACAATCCCGCTGCACTCATTGCAACGTTGAGGGGAATCGTGATGAAAGGCTGGGTCGATTGTCCCGGGGATAAATTAGTCGAGTCTGTAAAAGAAATTGCAATGATTAAATAATTGGGAAAATAGTCTGCGATATCACGTGAGTTCTCTAAAAAACGTTAAAAATCCATAGAAAGTTTATAAAATAATAATTTAATAATAAACGGAAGCGGAAATTCTCTCGACTCTCCGATTCCACCAAATCCAATCGCGCAAATTCCATTTCTGAACCGGGAAAAGCGTAAATAACCATTAGGATAAATAGACCACGCCTCACAAGGTGAAAAAGAAGAATTCCACTCTCGAAAAAAGAAAATAACCTCCGCCCGTTAAAACAATGGGATTTAATAATGAGTTTTAACTTCGATGGAATAATAATTTCAATGCAATTTTACAATAAATATATGGACTTCCGGTACGTGCGTACACGTATCCCGTTTAAGGATGGAATATATGTTACTCACTTCCGTCTTGGGATATTTGAACTGGTTGGCCGTTTTGTCCGATACTCAGGAGTACACCAGGGGTATGGGAGTACATGACACTCTGGGGCATCTGGTACATGATTCCTAAAAAAAAAAATTAAAAAATTTACTCTACTTTTATGAAATAAGTTATAAACTTTTAGAGTCTAAATAGCAAACAGAGGAGGTTCCGCGAAATTATCAGAAAAGAGTCATCTCAGGTGGAAACACTGAGAGATTTTTTCTCGGACGTTTAATCAGTAAAAAGTCCACTTTTTTCGCAGGAAATCAATCGTTGACATCAATTTCGACTCACCTCTCGCCACCACTTTCCCCTCAATCTTTCAAATCTTTGGTTTTATCTACTAAATAATAAAAATCGTCAAAGCCCCGATACGCATGAGCCAAAAAAAAGCAGAAGTACCAAGAGTATTCCGATTAATTAGTTTGAGACACGAGTCGTACACCAAATACGTAAAAAAAAAAATTCTCTTAAAATTCCTGTCACTCGTCAGTTGAAAAAATAAAAGGGCATATCCCCCTATTTCTGGCCTCCCTCGAGTGGATGAAACGCCGATAAAAATAATAAAAACGGTGGTTAAGAAAAAAAAAATGAAAGAATTAAACCGGGCAGAATAAGGAAAAAGGGAATAAAAATACAAAGTGGCATTGCAATAAAATGTCCACGACGTTCCAGACAGTTAAAGATAACCGAACGTGTTCATTGCCTCGTTGTATCGAATGGGGAGGAAGGGGGTGGGAGGGGTAGAAAAGGGGGGTGTCCCGGTGTATATTAGCATCGATATTTATGTGTACACCTGCAAAAGCCTGTGACAACGAGTGAAAAGGAGCACTTGGCTTTTTCAAAAGTTTCATCTCACTCACTTGTCGCTTCTCATTTCGACCGGATCCAACTTCCCAGTTAGGAATTGGTATTTGTCGTCTTAGTTTGGTCATCGTTCAAACTGTATAGGTCCCCCACCTCGTGGTGAAGAGGTACTGCCCCTACACGGACAACCCCGTCATCGCGAGTACGTTTCACGCATTTTAAGTAATTCTGGGTTAAGGTGTAAAGAGGTTTCACAGGCGCTGGGGTTTCACTTTGGATTTGGGGAGGTTCTACTAGGTTTTGTGGGGTGGAACGGTTCTTTTTTCTTCCTTTGAAATATTCTATTCAGGATTTGAGTGGAGGGCTTCGCATGTTCTATTGATCCTCGGGATTTAGAATTATTTTTTTTACCTTTTGACCGTGATAGTGTAAAGCTACTGTTGGTTGATAGAAATATTTGATTTTTTAGAAAAGTGAATTTCCATTCCCCAATTTTGTAGATCAGCTTTGTCTGGATGATCCATAAAATCGTTTTGAAAATTATTTCACTACTCTCGAACTCGCTGAGCATTCTCCCGTCGTTTACAATTTTCGAGATAAGACAATTTTCTTCTCCTCATAAATCGGAATAAATCGAACATGATCCACTGGTGACTGAATCGTGGAATTCCTGTGCCGATTCACAATCCCTGCCACCCACTTTTCAAATTATCAAAATCATAATCACCTGTATGATTTTTCGTATCTTTTGGTGAGCTTTCTCCATCACTAGAGTCACCCTCCGAGTCATTGCCGCAAATATCAGACCTCGGGGAAGCCCCTTCTTCCTGAAACAGAAAAGCCCCAGAAATTATTCTCCCATCCTCGAAATGAAAAAAAAAAAAATAGCGGGCAATAATAAACCCTAAAATTAATTCCAAAACGGTTTACAATTCGAATTATCGATAAATTCGAGAGTTGCCATCATTGTCCCTCAGAAATTCCCGGAAGATGCGATGAAAAAAAAATGAAACCACCTGAATTAATTCGTTAGTACCGACATGAGCGGTAAAACGATAGCAAAAAAGAAAAACGATAAAATTGTCGAAGCACTCCTCGTGCAAAATGATTCCCCCCTTGGTGGTACGTGCGTATACATACATACGTGGGTAAAACCTAGGGGGGAGAGAGATGCATCCTTGTTCGCACCTTATAAGGTCATCACGGTGCTCCTTCGACTCTTCAATACGCACTCTATATACTTTGCGGTTTTAAGTGATTCTCACAGAATACGGGGGGAGGCGGGGAGGGGGGAGGGGGGCAACAACGATTTTCCTTGGAATATTACGACCCCCCTTTTCACCCCTCAATTTTCATAACTCAACAGTTACGCGAGATGCCAAACAATAGAGAAGAGATAGTTCATTTATTTGCTATATTGGCATCTATCAATTTTCATTCCGTATTTTTAATTTGATGAGTTGACAGGAATTTTTGTAGAAGCTCATTGATAGGGAGAGTATTTAATTGGGGAAGGTTATTTGAAATTTAATTTTTTAGAATAGTACGCTCGTAATTGCAAGTGAAAAAACGTGAATTGAAAGAGAAATCCTGCGATTCAGTAAATTGGATAAGGCATAATCTTTTCTGCTACTTCAACTTCCTTAAGACATTCCGTGAATAGAAAGGGTGAAGTATGTCGACTATTTCAGCAAGAAAAGCTCGTAAAGAACTCGGATATTATGCGTTTTCTCGCCTTCGGGGATCTCACAGCTGAGGAGTCAATAGTAAAATGTCAAAACAAGATGAGTTTCAGGGAATTTTCTGCATTGTACACTGTTAAAAGTTTTTATTGAAAAATAGCCGTCGTATTACGATGCCACCAGTGCAAAGGAAACAACAAATTGTCTGCAATTTCTCTCACAGTTTTGATTAAAAAAAAAATGTTCTTATCGATACTCGCTATCTCCCTTCGATCCAGATATCCCCCGAAACTCGTCCTGAAGTCGACAGATCCCGTCCTCAACGAAAAAAAAAAACAACAATCGAAATAAAAGAAACGAATGGCCAACGGTATTTCCTCGTCAGTCGGAGGGAAGATCGAGACCTGAATTGCCCCAGAGCCATCGGCGATCGGTTCCTCTTGTTCGTCACTCGGAAATCCGCTAAAAAACTTCATTCCCCTCCGCCCTCCTCCCCGTTTCTCTCTCCCCCTTCGGTGTAAAAATGTTTCATGTCGATATATAAATAAAAAATGAGTAAAAAATAATGGTTCACATTCCCCGAGGTCTCGGAGTCAACTCCTATATAAGAGCCTGCGTCTGGCATTGCAGAAAACCATTGACTCTATATGGCGAAAGAGTCGGGGCTTTGACAAAGGTGACCGTATATGGCACACCGCTTCCACCTTCCATACGTGTATTTATAAGACCGTAGCAGAACACCTGGTGCGGTTGGGACATTAGATTTTCCACGGATTTTCCATTGAAATATTGCCAATTGAAATACACCCGGAGGTGGTGGTGAGAGGTACTTCGGACGGATAATTAGTCGTGATGGAGGCGATGATTCGATGATTAACGATTTTTTTTTTTTATATATAAATTAGGATTCCCATTTTAGCTTTTGAAAATAGAGGAAAATTAAATCTTATTGGAGTTGGTGGAGATTTTTATCTTTAGCTTGATTAATTATGGAATAATTGGGGAGAGTAGGAAATTGAGATTTTGAATGGGCAATATTTTTTGAGTCGTTTGAAATGCGGAATATGAACTGAGATTGGGTACGGGAATTTTTTGATTTATTGCATTTTCACCGGTTTGGTCGGCTTTTTTTTTCTCGGGGGAATAAACACACGATTCTCGATTGGAATACTTCGGTAAATCGTTAGGGACGAAAACCACGTAATGCTATTTTTTTAAAGGCCGCATGACTGTATTTAGCAACACCACCCGTTTCATCGCTTTTACCCGTACGAGGTCTCGGATTGTTGCTGAAGTTACGAAATTGTGGATAAAAAAAAAAAATTCTACTTGGTTGGATTAAATTCCGCTATTTTTTAAACTATTTCACCTGAATTTCTGACACAGAAAGGAATCGAATTAAAATTCTTTTACGCCTCAATAGATTTTCATTCGTCGAAAATTTGTAATTTCGCGTTGATGTCGCGAAAGTTCATTTTTTATAGTGAATCTGTCATTTATTTTTCGTCTTCCAAAGCGGAGAGTAGCGATAGAAGCTGGGAGTCAAAAGCAGCACCTACCTTTGAATATCCACACAGAAATACATTTTTCCCCAGCAAAATGCACACGTAATTGCAAACAAAATGTGATTGTTTTTAAATGCACAAATACGAATGATTTATCTAAATGATTGGGATGGGATGCAGGGAAACTCCTCACAAGCGTCAATGAAAAAAACTGCAAACAAAAGCCAAAAATACTCACCTAATGAACTATCAATAACTTAAATTAAAAAAAAATTCATTTCTAGAGATTTGTAACCAATCTTACGATTTAATAGTTAAAAAAATTATGAAACTCAAAGTATAAATATTATCACAGTATTTTACAGTACATTTATGTACACGTGTGATACAGAAAAAAAATATTTGATCATCTGATGATCACTTTGTGTTATTTCTCATAAATCAAGAAAAAAAAAATTGAGTTATTGCTAATTTTTTTTATCATTTTTCGTTTAATAATCGCCGTTATTTTGTACTCTGTTGGAGGTTTGATTGGGAGAACTTGAAAATCTTGCGACTGATTTGGTCATTGGAAAAAAAAAACAAAAATAATAATAATGAGTATTTAACAAGGGCAAATAATTTAAATAATTTATCAAAAAGTTTTAAATAAAAACGTAAAAACCTTTTGGAGTTTGTTTCATGCAAAAATGGACGGAATCCGAGAAATCCTAGGACTTCATCATTTATTTTATTATGTATATAACAAGTCCAGTAATTATAAAAAATTGTCAAGTCCATAATTTTAGAAAGTTTCTCAAAAATTCTAGGATTTCTCTTCAGTGAGGGACAATGACGTTCGTCATCGGGATTAAATTAAAAAATATTTTAAGTACTCTCTACTTAAACTATAAACGAAAAAACTAACTACACATGCCACTGTAGCACACAAAAAGGGAAAGGGGCTGTACAAAAAAAAAATTGTAAAAAATAGTACGAAGGGGAGGCACGATGCACAAAAATACTGTAACAACGCCGACCGTGCACCGCAGCCGAATCATCCAGCACTCGCATCTAATCTCATGTCTTTTACCTTTTCAATCTTCAGGGCCACGGAAATATTTACAGAGAAGCGTTAATAAATATTTTGTTTAAATAATGTGGAAGTACGGATTAAAACTTAATTAAGGGGATGTTAAGTCATGGGGAGGGACATACAGATTCTGTACAGTTCAATTTAATTCATTTGAGAGTGATGAGTGAATCACACGCGTTCAAAAAAAATCCTAAGGAAATTATGGCGTCGGGTCTTTGGAGTTGCTAACGCGTCAACTAATTTGAGACGAAGGAAACCAATGTTCCGTGAATTTTTCAATTTTCTCCCCTTTCAGAGAACAATCTGTTTCCCACTAACAACTTTACAATTAAATCATTGCAACAGTCAATGATTTAATTCAAACAATTTTTGAACCTGCACCCTTCTCGATGGTTTTATGGCCTCAAGAATCAAATCATCAATTTCCTTCGTCTCCCCCTAATAATTCTTCCATATTTTTTATCGTTCCAATCAGGGACACTCCATAAATATTTCAAAAACACTCGGATTTTCCCAGGAAAAAAAAAACTCGAAACAAAAAATTCCCTAGCCTTATCTTGAATGATTTTTCCCTCGTGATTTTTACTACCGTTGGGGATGCGAGTGCGACATGTGCGGATGATAAGCGGCATGTGGTGGTGGTAATGGCGATGGACATGACTGCTGATAGGGTCCTCCAGCTAGCATTGGTCCAGGACTGGAGCAGGGCACAAGATGGGAGCTTGGCGAGCCAGCGTGTGCATGCGCTATTAAATGCGCATGCTGGGGATGCTGTGAGTGTGGTGGGCCATGCTGTGATACTGGCGGTCCACCAGCACCAGGATAACCACCGTGTAGTGCACCACCATGCGATGATCCATATACCAGTTGTCTTACTTTCTGCTCGTCATCCGCGATGTTGTATGTGAGCTCGGTCTCCTCAAAGCCCGTTGCTGACATTCGTTGATCACCAGATGAGCCAGATGGTGGTGGATCTGGACTGTTGAGGCAAGTTTGAATGAGAGCTTTGCCTGCTTCACTCGTTATCATTGGTTGGAGCTTGCGTGTCGCAAATGTGTACACGTGACCTGTTTCACTGGCTACCAGGAGCATCACTTGGGTGCCTGTTAGGGTTGATAGCTCGTACGCCTGGAAAATAGCAAGAACAAATTTTTTTTTCCCACTTCATTCACCACATCCTAATTTAACGAACGGTCAAACTCGTCTTCTCGATTTTCATTTTGAAAAATCACCACAAATCTGTGCCAAAGTTCGAATTATTCTTGGGATTCCCCGGATTACTGAGGTATCCCTGAAACCTCAAAAAAATCCCTAGTAAAATTTTTAACGAACCTTCTTCATTATTCCAGTTTTCCTCTTGGAAAATGTGGTGTACCTCCTCAATTTATTATCGATATACTCCATTTTGATCTTCACTCTGCCCTTGGTCTTCTTTCCATTACTCGGTGGTGATTTTTTTGGTGCACCCAAATTAGTAAATGACTCGTCAATATTATCCGGCACACAATCCCCCTGCATCATTTGACCCTGTCCCAATTGTCTTCCATTATCGTCATAACAAACATCAGATGACGATCTCTTCAACCCTCTCTGGACCCCAACACCGGTAGCACTACCCCCTGTATTACCAGGTGGGCTCATCATGGTGGCGCCACCACGACCAATCTGCGAGGTACCCAGCTGTGATGTAGACGGTCGCCCATACATCTCACCAGCATCACTACCCATCATACCCATGTTGTATCCAAGTGCCGTATACCGACTGTCCCTGCCGCCGCTCGGATTTTCCATCACGGATACGCGCACATCTAAATTATATTTTTGTTTTTACCAGAAACACCAAACACAGTCCCACACTTAACCTTAAAATCAACTAGATTTGGAGCAACCGTGAAGATTTAGTTGGAATTCCGTACGGTCCCCAGGGGAGAGAGTGTTTTGGAGATATCTAGTTTAATTTTACGGTTTCTAGGGAATTTAGCGGCGCACTCAGGGGTAGGGTTCTTTTCGATTGGTTTTTGGGATTAAGTCGATACACTTGGGTTATTTGATGCCCTACGTATTTGCCACGTGATCGCACACCTATGGCTAAATACGGGACAAATGGTGCGCACTCGTTGAGCGCTCCCCGCAAACTGAACATTGAGTATCGTAACTTGACCTACGTACGAGCGCCTGTGCCTCCGCCTGAGTACCAACTGCAACATAATCCCCCACCCTGGTGACTCAACGCTGGTAAAAAGTAGATCCTGGTTGGTACAGGGGGTTAATTCACCCTTCGAGGGGGGGGTTTTTTTCTATTGGATAAATTCAGGGCCGTTTTAGGGATCGTATTGACCCATTTTTGGGGAATTTCCGGTGAGACTTATCGGGGAATATAACTGGGAATTTTCGCGCGGAGGGTTACACTTCGTGGTGAGAGGGCGTCCCCGGCTGCCATATTTAGAAGTAGACGTTACCATATTAGGAAAAGTTATCCAAATATGGTTAACAGAGGTGGTCCTTCCTTTTCGAATGCGAGAGCGGAGAGACGCGGCAAAACACCAATCGAACTGTCAGGAGGGATAACCTGGGATATGTGGTTGGGGGAGGGGTGGGATGGAGGGGCGGCAGCGGGTGGAATTGTTTATTCTTTGGAGGGCAGATGAAATTTTGGTTTTTGTTGGAATTTTTTCAGTGGCTAGGATTTTCACGTTTGGAGAAATTTTCGCGTGGGCGGAGTTGGGAGGGGTCTACAATTAATTGGAGAACGCATTGAAATTTATTCTGTTTCTCAATTTCATGATGTGTCAATATTTTTTTTATATTGAGTGAAATTTTTATCTTTTGTGCTTTTATCGTATTCCGCTTTGTTTTTTTAATTCTGTGTTGAGCGCAAATTTTGGGTGGAGTTTCGAAATCCTTTTCCGTATTCTTGATACTCGCGAATCCAGATGTGTATTCTAAAAATGTTCTTTACGACACAGTTGAAACCCAGAATCCGCAATTTTGCACTGAAATCTAAATTTCTCACTTTTTTTTTATTTGCGTTGGTCATTTCGGGCAGTGGGTGGGCATGAAATATTTTGGGGTGTTTAAGACATTTAATGGTAAAAATAGAGTTATTAGGGAAGAGGGGACGTTGAGAGAATGATGTTATAATAACTGGTGTATAAGTTCAGGTTGCTTGGTAAGCCATGCAACAGCTGACATTAATAATAGAACTTATACCCTCCCCTTTTAGAATGAAAGCAAGCTTTTTAGGGGGAAGTGCTTTCAAGCCCACTGAATTGCATTCCAACAGCCAAAATTTCCAGCGGCCATTTGAGTCGACTAAAAAATAAAAAAATAGATCAGCTCCACACGTTCAATAAATTTGATTATTTCAGGGAATTCTCGTTGAAACTGAACCAAACGATCTCATCCGACAGCCCAAAAAATTTTCCATCCAAAACTTCACCCATGAAATCATTCGCACCATAATTTTTCAAAAACAAATGGGGTAAACCTGTTGATAATTTTTTCTTCTCGAAAGGTGTTCTTTCCGCCTCCGTTAAATCTCCAAGAATAATCAGTGAAAACTGAAGTAATTAGTTGCAATTTCAATTTCTTTATTTGCAGTGCGGAATAATTAACATGAAAGTCGAATAAAATTTACAAACTGTCTTATTATTCGAATGAAAAACTTAATCAATGGTTTCCCCAGCCTTAAATCGTATCGCGTTTTTTTCCATTGAAATGAAATTTCAATAATTGAATATTCCATTATTATCTCCTCGCAAATGCGAAATATATCTGGCTAGTTTACCTGCAAAAGATGGGCATAAGGCGTCACGGTTTGCCTCCCACCTTAAGTAATAAATACATTTTTTGCGTTCCCTGGATAACAATTCCGTAACGTCCAAGCCAAACAGCCGTCAGGTGTAATACTTTTTTCATCGCTCGATTGTTCAGGTTTTGCCTTGTTTATTTAATTTTTTTTTATATCTGGCATGACAAGGATCGTTACACTCGTTACCACCCATTCGATGTGTCCAGGGTGGTAATGAGCTGATGATTATCATTTTTGTATGAATTTTATTTATTTCACATAAATGGAAGTGTTTAGACATATGAGAACTGCAGCCAGTGTGTTTCCCATTTTTTTGCCGGATTTCTTGCCTTGCGAGATGGAGATAGATAGTGTGGGGTAATTCTTGTGAAAAATTACTAGAGTTACGAACAGGGAATTCATCCTTTTTGAAAAAAAAAATTCCTTGTTCCGGGAAAATTAATTAATTGATTAATTGCGATGGGCTACTGTGGACCGTGGTATTATAATGTGAAATACGTGTTATTCGAATCAATAGAAATTATAAATTCCATAGCAATAATAATAATAATAATAATAATAATTTTATTATTATTTATTGTTGCTCTTCTGAAAAAAATGGACAGCTGTGGAATTATATTAAAAAATGACATCTTTATTATGCTCCAAACTTCTTCACAATATTTTATCATTATCCTATATTCTAGTCGAATACAAAACATTATTAATGAAGATTATTTTTAGAGATTTTTGGAGACATTATTAATGGAGATTTTTACAGCTAGATTTTTTTATAGAAGTCCTGGCCAGTAGTGGCCTCTTTGAAAACTCTAAAAATTGTCTCTCTAACTATTTACAAAACCTACTCGAACCCTCAATCGGATATAACATGAGCGGCCGTGACTAGGGTATCATGAACCTCCCTGAAGAAGCCAACCTGTGCTTTAACTGTCATCAAGAATTGGGGATAAGTGAGAGCTGGTCCCTCTTGAGTGGATACAGGCTCAACTCTAGTTGGTACAACGGGCATTGGTAGATATCTGACAGAGCTGGCGTGTTGTGACAGGCATTCAATTGAAGTTTTCAAATGTAGTTCGATCTGATCGCAGATGGAGAAGAATTCCTCGAAATTCTTGTTGAATCGATGGTCAGCGGGCTCGATTCCCTTCAGCGAACCCATATCTACCAGACTGTTCTGGTGGAATGTCTGGGCTGCTGATTTCATTGCTATCGCCAGGGACTCCTTCAGAGGACCCACCAGGGACTTCACTTTGGAGATGTTGTCTAGTTTTTCTTGTGCTTGTTGCTGTTGTTGCTGTTGTTGTTGAACTTGTTGAGGATTCTGGGGCATCTGGGGGTTGTTTGGTTGTGGCATTTGCCCCATTTGCATTCCGGGTTGTTGGATCGGTTGGATATTCATTTCTCAAGCTGAAAAAGTGGATTTTCCCCAGAATTTTTTGGTTTAGTTTCTCGTTATGAGGAAGTGCACAATATTTTTGAGGTTGTCGGGATTATTCTTGACATCTCACTTTCCAATTTTTATTCCGTAACAGACGTTTCAAAGATTAATTAATATTCTCACCTGGATTATGAGTTAACGGTGTAATTTATTTTTTAATCTATTGCTGGGATCACTTGACAACAAAAATCATCTACGATCACAAATACCATGCCATCTGTAGGGCTTCCCCCTCTCTTTCGATGGGTCATGTGTATCTAAAAGTGAGTTCTGATTGGTTCTCAAGTTATTCCTGATTTTTTCAAACAATTAATTTTTATTTTTATTATAATATCTGGTTGAGATGAGAATTATATTTGTATTCATGGGGCTGAGCTGCGTTTCGCAATTAATATGTGACGTTGTGAATTGAAAACACCCACAACGTTTTGAGCATTCAAAAGTGCCGCGCGTCGCTCATGAAAATTGCCAGCCAATCCCCATGAATCGCTCGACTACAATCGCCGAATCCACAAACGGCGTCGACGGACCGACGCCATCTAACGTCCTGGCATTCTCCTGTTTTTTTTTTTACCCGAAAAAGTGCGGTGCACAGTCGTACAACATTTTTCACCCATCAAAAGTGCATTATAATCCACGAAAAAAAACATTTTCATAATAACGTTATAATCATTGATAAGGCCCAATCAATCCGTCAATCAGTGAACAATGTGTGAGAGCTCGCTCGCATGTACATAAAAAAATTGTGATAACTCGTGAGCGGGAAAAACGTTTTCGGTGGCAATGATGAGTTAACCGTGAGGCAAGGTTCGTAGACAAACATCGAAGAGCTTTTGGTACATCGTACCCGCTATTGAAAGCTGTTTTGTGATCAGGAATTATTGTGGTGTGAGTATTTTATGATTTTTTGATGGTTTTGGAATTGGAAAATCCGCCCTAAATCAGGGAAAATCGCCTCCATGTTTATGTTTACTCGACTACATAGCCCATTCCACCTCCCTCCCTTTTCCCCTCTCGTCACTTTATGGGTGACCCCCCACCCACCCCCTCTTCCCGCCGAAGCCAGAACATTTCATAACAGTCCAACATTCACCTACCACCTACAATCTACCGTAGAGAGTAGATAATAAATGTGGGGATAGGTGATAATGAAATCAGGTTGGGGTTATCTTGAAGTTTGTTGGTGGCATCGGGGGTTTGAGGGGATGAATTTTCGGCGGGAAAAGGGAATAAGTGGTTTCGAGACGATTTTGCTGTTGTTTTTACAGTGAAATTCACGTGCATAAATAGAGGAAATTCATTTTTTTAAAAGTGCAGTGAAGAATTGATTTTTTGATGATTTTTTTTTTGAAAAAATATATAGTGTAATTTTTCATCATAAATCGTAAAGATTATTTGAAAAATTAGTTCATTCGAGTTTCTAATCAACACTTTCTTCAAAATACCCGCAATTCGATGAAAATTTAAAAATACGGAATGAATTCAATTAAATTCCCCGAAGATTTTCCACACACTTTCTTTTTTCAAAACCCAATAAATCATGGAATACCTGAATTTCCAGCTGATAAGGAAAATAAAATGAGTGCATCAGCGATAAAATCAACGATGCCAGGAGTTGTGGGTACCTCAACCCCATCATCTGGGCACACGATGTTGCCAATGACAGCAATGGCCCAGAAAGTATCACCTGGGGCTGACTCTACAGCGTCAATGAAACCACTGAGCACCAGTGGATTAAGCTACGTAACACTTCAACCAGCCTCTCAACCCCTGAGTCTGGTGCAGGATCACAGATCACCAGTTTATCCACCGTATTCAAGTAACAACGGTGACAACAAGCCAGAGCCTGACAAATCTCTGCCAAATGGCGTTGAGATGAAGCCACAGGAGCAGGAGACCCCCCCAAAACAGACTGAAGTCAACAGAAACAATAATTTGAGCCCTGAGAATTCGACAGTCGAGCCTGAGGGCAAAAATCCCGGGGACTCACCTGCTGAACATCAATCTAAGCCTGAGGAAAAAAAATCACCCCTCAATAATGGCTCCAAGGATCCAGAGACACCCCAGAGTCAGAAAACACCTCAGAAGGAGGAACCAAGCCCCCAAAATGTACAGAAAAAAACTCCAACTAAAACAGATATATCACCGACAGCTGCTAAATCAGATATGAAAATTGCAACGACACCCAGAGTTGTCAAGAGAAAATCACGTGAACTTAAGGATCTCAAGGGTAATGCTGGCGAGGGTGGCAGCAAACCCAAGAGAAATAGGGTTCAGACACAACCCTATCAGAGCCCATTGCCAGAGATTGCCTTGATCGTTAAGACACTTAGCAAACCAGTGGCTAATAAAAATGCTGATGATAAACTTATTGTGTTCTATAAGAATGAATTTCTCGCTGTTAGAAATGCTGAGGGGAGTTTCTACGTTTGTCAGGCTATGCAGAATATTTATAAGAGCAGCAGACGTATCAGAATTCGTTGGTTATCGCAGGATAAAAATAATGGGGAAATTTATTCTCCCGATTTTTATGATTTCACAGGTAATTAGTGGTAAAATATGAAAATTTCACTTGAAAATTTCAAAGGGTAAAGGAAAACTATATCTTAATCCAATCTATAAGGGCGTTATCCTTCACCATTTGGCTACTAATTGTTTGAATTATGGTAATTATGTCAATACTTTTTATTTTCAGATTTTGACTGCATATTGACAAATTTAAACCTCAATAAAATCGATAAGAACAAATTTCAACTGACGAAAATAGAGCTTTTGCGTACCGAAAATATATTGAAGAGAGCTATTGACGTTGAGGCTGGTGTTTCTGAAAAGCCAAGTGTCACTGAAGAGCATCCTGATGGACTTGACTTATCCCTGTACAAAGATGAGTCCCAGTTGAAGAAGAGAAAAGGCAACAGCAAGGGTAAACAACGTCAGCGCAAGATATCAAAAAGAGATGAAACGTCGTCGTCGTCTGAAGATGAATCGAGCGACGAGGATGAGAAAAAATCTAGAAACAGTCGTAACAAGAAAAGAATCACTAATAAGGCACTTGCTATTGCTAAATCAGTTGCTAAAGTTCCTTCACGAGCTAAACGTGCATTAAATCGGGCTAATAAGAGTCCAGTTATAAATAATGTGGAGGAGAAGCGAAATGATTCGAAGAAAGTGGAGATGAAGAAAACGAGTAAACAGGGAAGCACTGCTAACAGAACGAAATTAAGGGGTGAGTGATGTTTTACCATTCAACGATTCAATGTTATAGATCCCAAGTATTATTGAGAGATTTTTTTTTCGGGGGGGTAAATAATTTTTTTTTTTCTGGGAGTCAAGTGGTAAAACGTACAAAACCTTTTTGATTTTTCACTCTTGAAGACTTGTCCAATGAATTATTCATTAATTCTGTAATAAATATTGAGGTAATACTTGGTTTTTTGATATTTAAGGAGATGGTGATAACAATTGATGACTCGAATATATTTTAAATCAGTCTGAATTATGATTTTGGAAAATTAATTCTTATAGACACTTAATTAAAACATAATCCAAACCACTAATTCTAATCCTCGAGCTCCTATTCACGAATTAATTCGGCCTAATGTGTCCTTAAACCAAAGACTAATCAAAAATCAATTCAGTAATGAAGACGATAGTTGACATCGAGTTAAATGTGAGATTATCGTGATAATGAGTGAATTAATCGAAAAATAATGAAATATATATCACTCGTCACCGAGGTAATCATGACATTAACAGATGTAAATTAACTGTAAATTAACGGACTAAGCAATTATATTGCAAAAAAAATATTGAAACAATTGGAATAACTAGAAAAATAAAAACCATCTCCTTAAGGGTCTGGCGAGAGCACAGAGGTGGAGAGGAATGATAAAACATCAACGGGACGTGCAAAGAGAATGGCAACAACCACCTCGACAATCACCAACGCTGAGGATTCAACTTCTCGAATTAAAAAGTCACGTGGTAGAGCGTAACTAATTCGATGAGAGAAATAAAATTGATAATTTAACAAGGAATTAATTGCATCGAGATCCCACACCTGAATTTCTCAAACAAAAATTAATAAACTTTATTTTTCTCTAATGAATTGGCAAAATGTGACGCCTTGCCATTTCGATATTGAATTTACTTCTTTATTTCGATAGGTTTTCGATGATTTTTATAATTTTATTTGTGATGTTTTCGTAGAATTTTTTTAATGAATCAGCGAAACTCACGTATGGGATCGAGCCAATGAGAAAGTCACGGAATTGTGTGAAATAATGATAACACAAGGTAAATTTTAAATACCTTGGGTAAATGATTATCTACAGGGTGTTGTCATTCGCACACTAATGCACTATTGCAATAGTATATTTTTGATGTCGTAAGCCAATCGTACGTGATTCTAATTCTCATTTCTTCATGTTTGTGTGAGAAATAATTCCTCGTCCTTAACCGATTTAAGTCAATCCAGATGAAAAAAAATCATGGCATTAACTGGACGATTATCTCGGCAACCGTCGGTCCTACGAGAAAATGCCGTTTGAACTTTTTTGTAGGCAATGAAAATTCCAATATATAAGTTCTCTCTCATTTTCCTGTGAAACCAACAGTTGATGAGTTATTGGCGCAATTAATCCACGGTGATTTTCACATTCGACTTTTATCTTATTCCTAAAATTGTGATTTGAGTGAAAAACTGATATTGTTATTTTTTCGTAATAAATTTCTTAAAAGTAGACATTCACATGGTTCATCAATCAATTGAAGAATTTTACTTGACAATTGACCACTATAATTATTTTTTAAATCATAAAATTGAGTTTTTTAAATTCATTTCGCTTCACTCGATCACAAGAATCAGAAAAATCCATTGAAACCCACAAATCAATTGTACAAAATCCTTCAATCATCTATAATTAACGTAATAAATCCCATCTAAACTGGAACAATCCCACAATCCCATTAATTAACCAATAGATTTCCGAATAGACCGAGAATTAGGATAAAATGTACATCATGTTTGAAAAACAAAAGCACTGCTCAAGATAATAGCAACCTAAACTAGCAGTTAAAACGATGAAAATAAAAATCATGGTCCAATTACGTATTTTTGGTTTAAGTTGATGGTGCAACAATTAATTAATCACTAATTATCTCATTACGATTAATTGAGAGACCCCAGACAACGGGAGATAGATAATTTGACTACAGATGACCGAATTCTGTAATAATCACGAGTAATTGGTGGATTGTAATTAATGAAAATTTCTTTTTTTATGAATTCGTCCTATCAGAGACGTATGAATATTAATTGCCAAGGATTTGCGCCTGATTGTACATTTTCAATCGCAGTATGATGATCATTTTTTCAATTAACCAAATCTATATTCGATTTGTTAATTAATTTAGGATTAAGTTATTGTATTCATATCAGTGTTTGAGGTAATTTTTCCCAGGATGAGCATTTAGCGTAGGATTATTGCACGGAAAGTTTAATTTTCTGACGATCAGATCATGTTTTTTTTTTTAAATTGATTTTAATTGATGATTGATTCGTTGAATTGAGGTGGTAACTTTTTAATAAAAATTATTTCGGAGATGGAAATTTTTTTTCATATTTGAATGACGTTACCACAGCAGTCACCAAATCAATCGAAAAATTCTTTTTCTTTCGACTAATCTTGATTGATCCCTCGCGTTTTAAGAAGTTTTGGGAACTGCACAGCAGTGATTTTCCATTGAATATATAATTGAATCTAATTACTTTAACGAAAAATCGATAAATATAAAAAAAAATGAATGAAATTCACTGAAAATAATGTATAAAGTCTTCGATCTAATTAAGCCCGAGGAAAGAGAAAAGATTAATCTTTTATTTCTCCGTGAATTTTCCTTTGGATGATTCTCGGTGCGAGTGGAATGGATTAAGAGTGTTTCTATTATTTAGCCCGATGCTTTGTATTTGATTATTGTATTGGAACCAAGAATTTCGCTTGAATTAAAGAGCAATTCGATTGTAATCGATTATTATTTAACATGCAGTCGAGTATCAAAAGTGAGTTCAAAGCTAGTGTATGAGATCAGGGATTTTCTCAATTATTCAACGAAAATGGCCCTCTTGCCCATTCCTCCCCTGATTCCGTGATTATCATCCAAAACCTCTAACTCGACTGCCGCAATTTCGTCATCACCATATTTTCATTAATGAACAAAACTTAATTAATAATAAGCGTGTATAATAGCTTACATAACACTTGAACTTCTTTTTTAACTGAAATGAATGCTTATAAGGGATTTGTATTAAAAGCACATGCAATATAGTTGAATAAAGCCCCGAAAAAAAATTAAAAAATCAATGAGAATTTGGATAAAGATCCCAGTAATTAATGAAAAATAATTTAAAAAGCCCAAAAAATGAGCATGTGCTTTGTTGATACAGTTGGCACATGGATCTGGAGTTGCGTCTGATAATATAATAAAAAAAAATACAAAATATAATTATAATAGTGAATTAAGTAAAGGTAATTACAAAAAAATGGGTTGGATACTGATTAAAAAAATATCGATTATATTTGCACATTGTATTGGTCCCCCAGACACACAGTCACGTGGAACTAATTGTATAAACTTAGGAGATAATTGATGAGAGAAATTATTCAGCAGATTGGGAAAAAATTGAGGGGAAAAATGAGAAGATTGAGGGATTGATTTATCAAAGAGGTAATTAATTGATTGTAAGGATTGATTGATTGACAACGCAATAGTATACAGTATAAAAAAAGTGTTTTAATAAATATCAATAGAAAAAAAAGGTCGAGTTACATGATAAAAAATATCTACATCGGTTACAAAGTTTTTTTCCAATACAAAATTACATCTCCCATTTATTTTACTTTTCAACAAGCTGGGGGTTTTAACAGTTTTCTTCTGCTGTTTTGTTAAATGGAAAAGTAGAATTGGGAGGTTTTCTTTATTTAAATATCCCCTATTTTTCATCATCGGTATTATCATCCACTTTCCCGGGCTCTTAATAATTATGTGTTTAATTAACTTACTTAGGGTAATTAGTGGAGGATTTATTACTAAATAGATTTATTAATACTCTGTTTTGTTTCTTTTTGTTTATCGTGAGGCTACGTACAAAAATATTGTCGCGAGGGGGACGATTGAGGGCAAGGAAGACCTTACGAATATTTTTTATTTATTGATTTTTGTCATTTTAATCCTATATGATTCAAAAAATTATTAATGAAGTCTTTTGGGGAAGAATTATCATGTACTCCTGGTTCGTAGGCCCTCTCAGTCAGTCTATAAATTCAATAATATGAAATTGGGAGAGTGAAACTTTTTTCCTATTACAAAACTCTAAAATTAATTTTTTATTTGTCCTGCAAATGACTAAACAGAGAGTAAAGTATTTTTTTTCCCACAAAAACTCAAAAATTAGAGAAGAGAATACGTAAAAAAAAATTCTGAACTGTCATCTCCCAATTCCGTAAGAACAGAAGAATCACTGTTGACGAATCAACAGTAATTAATTCAGTAGAGAAGTGGAAACTTCATAATTGTCTCGATTATCTCGTTAACGTGTGGATTATCGTAAAAATGTCGCAAGAATTTTTTTTTCTATTTGACAAAATTCCTCACCTAATCCACTTCTCTATCAACTCTTCTTCACCATCTCGTTAAATGAATAATTAAACGAGTGCCTCAGCATGATAATGGTGATAATGATGATGAATGTGCTCGTGAACATGTCTTTTGCCACCAGCAGTGCTGGCAGCAGCAGTCTGTGAGAATTCCCTCTCTAGCCAACGCACGACCTGTGCCATGGCCCTAGCCTGATCCTGCTCCCGGGTGGCATGTTTCAGTTGGTGTTTTTTACTGCTCTTCCCCTGTATCAAAAACTCCCCATCGTTCTTCTGATTATTCATGACATTTGCCTGATTGTTCTGGGTCTCCTGGGTATTCAGGATGTTGAGGTTCACCACTGGACTCGATTGTAGATTATTCCTCAGGGATTTCCCTGGTGTGGGAGCCACATTCCTCTGGGGTGTCGTGTTCTGCTGGTTTCTCGTTTTTCGAAGATTCCCACGAGATTTGGTGGTGAGCTTTGGAAGAGATGTGGAGTGATGGGAATACTCTCGCACTGGTTTATGATAGGCCGTTGGTGTACGTTGGGCTGAAGGTGGACGATTTCTCTGGTTGTAGGGGGACGATGGGTCCGTGTAGGAGCGGTCCAGGGGCACTCGGAGATGATCTGTTTGATGTCGTTTCCTGATTTTGTCGAGAAGAACATTGAAAGTTGTTTCAGGCAAGGGGTGGAAAAAATTCTCGAATATATTTTGGTCTTTGGTGATTATTTAATTTACCTGGATGCGTGGAAACTGAGATTATTCTTCTCCATATTGGCCTGTATAATCTCAAGTAACTGTTGTCTCTGCATTGACCCTGAGCGTTTACGATGATTATTAACTAACGGCGTTAAAGGTGTAATTGTTGGTGATGCATCACTGTCGTCGCTTACATCACCCTCGGAACTGTTTGAGTAAGGCGATGGAAAATGAGGTACTGGTCCAACTCGTTTTCTCAATTCCTCCTGCTTCGTTGTGTTGAGGGGAGGTGGTACATTATCAGCGTCCTCCTCACTGTGTGACTCCATCACACGTTCAGGCTATTGACCACAAATCATCAATTATCAATCAATTAGTCCCCAAGCCATCAATCAGGTTAGAAATCTCAAAAAATGTAAACGCCAAAAAATTCAAATTGATTTCGCACATTCTTTTCATTTCAAAATGAAGAAGGAATTTTTAAAATCAGTCGAGTGGTTCGCGAGATAATCGAGTGTTCTGGAAACTACAGGATGAAGGGCTTGGAGATTCATTTTTGATGGAGATAAAAAAAAAGCGAATAAATGAGGGAAAAATCAGGTAAATAATGATAATTACCTCAGCCCGATTACGAGGCACTCGCCTCCTTCTCGGAAGTCTGCGATTTGCGTGCGTTGCGTGACTGCACGCACTGACAGTCTTGACATGGCAGCATGGTGTACTAGAGGGTAGATTGGGTGATTTTGCATTTGTTGAATTGTTAGTGACACCCTGGCCAGTACCTTTGTCCGGTGATACTGTTAGCTTGACCTTGATGGTTTTACTGCCACAAGGTGGTACCTGAATCGATGCACCTAGGGTGTCGTAAATAGTCGTAACAAGTCCAGCAATGTCATCTTTTGTTATCTTCCCGTGACCATCGAAGTCGTACAGGGTAAAGGAGAATTCCTGACGACGACGATTACCCTCTGCCACGGATACGTCACACTCAAACTCCTTTGGAAATATAAGAGACCATAGAGTTCATTATTTTCATGGAGTAAAGGGAATTCCATTTTTCGTTTTAGGGGTTTTCAAAGGGAAGTTATTCGGAAAAGGAATGGATTTAATACAGAATTGGAAAAATATTGTTCTTTATTCGGTAACTTGTTAGCTTGTTTCTGACGCACCTCAAAACTGAGCTGCCTCGTGGTGTTGGGCAGCGTCTGCTGTTGCTCATCATGATTAACTTGAACTTGTGGTGTCAATACTGGAGTGTTAGCTGTTACTGGTGGTGTTTCCGGTGTTACGAGAAGAGGTGCAGCGGCTGCTGGCAGTGGTGAGCTGTTGCAGGGCGTACCAACGCCCCCCGATAATAACTCTTCAGAGTCACTTCCCTCTGCTATTCCTCCCACAACTAGAACAAAAACAGTAAAACAAATTCAGTAGGAAAATTAAACAAACACAATCGTCTGATAATTCACACGTGGAAAATCCCAGTTTCACCCAAAAACAATCACTTCTCATTACTCCATAAATACTCGGAAAACTCTGGCCAATTTTTTTTACTAAAAAAATCTCACGCATCAGCTTTTTCGGTAAACCGCGATTATCGCCGAAAATTGGATTACCAAATTTGGAAATCTTGCGAAAAAATTTTGCGTTTTCACTCTTTAATTTGCTATTCCCCTATGAATTCAACCCCCATCTCACCGAAAATGTTAAAATGTTGAAATCTTGTAATCATTAATCACCCTCCCCCCCCATAATCTCAATGCATTACCTATATTTTTAAATCCATAAAGGAAGTAATGTAAATTCGTTTCGGTAACTCTCGCCGACACCATTGACCATTTACCGCTCGTCTCGGTTATTTACTATAGTTCCCGGGGGATAATCACGCATTATACAGTGTCGGTATTCTCTCTACCACCGGTTGAAGAATGAAAAAGAGAGATGAAAAGAGAGAGAGATGTTGGCCATTCGGCTTTGCCTTTGGTGTGCGTTGGTGCGCCCGGCGGCGGCGCGAGTTATTCTTCGAAAAATTTTTCTCCGAAGCCTTTCAAGTGGCCGCCTTCATGCCTAGGACAGGCCAACACACACATGAACAACACACCGACCGATAAATCAAAGATTATACAACATTTTTCCAACGCCTAGTGGTATTTCAGGTTCTTCTCATCTTCGGGGAGGGGAGTGGACTCGTTTAGGAGCGCGCCATCATTACATTTTTTTTTTCCTCCTTTTTTTTTATCACGTTTTTCCGAGTTTTTTTGGTGATGGAGTTTATGGATGAGGTGAATTTTCACGGGGGGCTATTTCTGGAGGTCACCGGATACCATCGAGGAGGTCTGGTGATTTTTTCAGGGACCGGGAAAATTTTTTTCCAAGGAAAATCTCTTATTTCGGGGCTCAGACCTCACATTTGTCATTTTTTTATTTTTGCAGTTGGCTTTCTGTTGGTTTTCAGGGGAGATGTTGAAATGGAAAGATGGAGAGAATTATTCATTAGTTCTGAAAGAAAAAAAAATGATTAACTGACGGAGGATTGACCTTTCATCATCTCGTAAAATCTCTCCACCGAGATTACCATCCCGGAATTCTCGTCTCTAATCTCGAACACATGTCAGTCGATTTTCTCTCACGTGACAAGTCTCGGGGATTAGAAAATAGGATCACTCTGAGGTTTTGAGGAAGTGAAATCCGAGGTTTTCGAGAATTAGGAGGGGTTAGTTATCGCTAGAAATGGAAAAAGGTCGAGAGATGTTCCTTCCAGATAAATCTCTGAGTAAAAAATCAGCCCGATGTCGCCCGGAGGTTCTAGAAAACCCCCGAAAAGAGTTGAATCAACTCGCTAAAACCAGCTCCATTCATCACTCCTTCAGCCTCACCGAAAAATTCCCTCAAACCGGAAGTGCCCCCCGCGAAATACCAAACCCATTGCGCAACTCTTTGATCCGTCATTTCCCAGCACCCAAATGGACCAAAAAAAATTTGAAAAAAAAAAAAATTGTTTATACGATCTAGGTATTTTCCGAGAAGCATCGAGAGCCAACGGTCGTCAGTGCCTCTCTCCCGGGGCCGCTATTATTGTTGGCTTCCAGGAAGAGAGACCAAACGCCTCTCTTTTCCTTCTTATTCCACTTCGCTTCAGCCTCTCTACCCTCCTCGTGCTTTGCCCCCACTATTCCCTTCAAAACCACGCCGATCTCGCTCCATCCAGCCTCCATCATCTCCCCTTTACCCCCCCTAACCCCCCATTTCCCCCCTGTATTTCTGTCTTCCTCAGGCACATCCGATCGCCACTCAAACCGCCATCACTCTTACTGCTGCTCGATTTTTTTTCTTTTATTTCAATTTTTTTTTTCCCCCTTTTTCTGTAGTGGACTCGACTGGACTGACATTTTTATTCCTATTTTTTCTTTGTTGGGGGGTTTGTTGTGCTCGATTCAGGGATTTTTATACTCATTGGGAGGAATTATTGATTGGGCTGCAGTGGGGGGGAAAGGGGGTTAGGGGGGGTGTTGATGGGACATTTACGGGAAAATCGGGGAATTTTCTGTTTCAATAGAGAGTCGATGGATTTATAGGGAGCCGTAATAGATTATGGATGGATCAGTGATGATGGGAATTGATGGGGAATAGGTGGGAGGGAATTTATGATCATCGCATGATTTTTGCAGTAAAATAACGGAAGAACGAAATGCGTTTTGTAATTTCTATGGAAATGTACGAGCAGTAGACGACCCCCGGAATTCATTGTCGATCAATAATTTCTCCCCCAAAAATTTCCTCGTTATCCTCGACAGCGGGGGTGATTTCTCCAGTTCCCCTTGGGGCTTTCTGAAAAATTTTCCCCCCGGGGGATTTATGGTTTTTGAAAGGGAGACAACACCGAAAAGCCCTCCCAGAATTCGGCGGCAGGTGAGACGAGTGTTGGGAAATGGAGGGAGTGGAAAAGAGATGATAAATGGGGAAAAGGAGGAAATAACAGAAAAAAAGATGAAGAAAAAAAGGTGCGGCGACAGTGGACGACTGGGTCGGCTTGTTTGCCGGAGTATTTTGAAAGGGACCGGAATTTCGAGGAGGTCCCCCCCCTCCGGGACTTCACTCTCTCGAGGATAGGCAGTTTGCGTACCCCAGGAGCTCACCTTCCCCCTATTTCGGTTTTACCCAAAGACTATTCCAGGAATTCTTGTTAATTACGACCAATTCTGATTGTCATGGCTATGGGTCCTTCATTTCTACAATGACCTTTTTTTTTAACTACTCATTTTATCAACACGAATTTATTTATAATTCATTCTGTTTTTTTTTACTCTTTCATTTTCCATTTACTGAAATTAAATTCATTTTTTTCCATTGTTGCATTTTCGATTGTTGCAATAATTGTTGCAATGTGCCAGTACTGAGACAGTAATGGAAAAATGGAAAAATGGGGAGTGGAGAGGCGGAGGGGTTTTTATGAGGAAAAATAAGGGAAAATTCTTGCCCCTCAAAATAAAAAGATAACGGGCTGTAACGCAACGTCGTGCCAGTTCACGGAAGTGTATATTCCACCACAGTTCATTGACTAGTAGGAATGCCAGTGGCTTCCCAAGTGAGAAAGAGATCCCGGGGGGGACAGGGAGGCAGGGGGGTTTGTGGGGGGATCCAAACGAACAGACAAAACCGGATAAATAACACTGGCAAAGAGAGGAAGTAAGTGCAGTTGAGACTCGTAAACAGAGAGGCGTGTTCCCTGTCCAGTGTAAACAAAAGTTGAGACAATTGTAGAATAAACAGACATTCGTGAATGAGTGATACGACAAAAATGAGAAGAAAATAAAGAAATCAAACATGAATGGGATAAGACCGAATTATCAGACTGAGAATAAAAAAAAAAGTCATTGGCATGAAAATAAATGATTGATCCGAATGAAAATATATTTCAATGCCACCTGAATTATTTTTGTTGTGCAAAAGGAGGAAAATTGATAAGAAAGACTTCAACCTCAAATAAACCCCCGCGAGAGGAATGAGGGCTTCACCCCCTCAATTACACCCCAGGGGTTGTGAAGAGTGTCCCATTACTCTCCAGAAACTAAAGTCACTAAACCACCCTCTTGTTTTCACATGAGAGTGACGACGTGAAGTGGAAAAAAAAAGGGGGTGGGATAAACTCCATTCACAAAGAGAGTTTGAAAAAATAGAAGAAAAATTGTTTCAACGTTGAAAGTACTTTTATCTCGCGTTCTTTAATCATTCGCTCGACGACTTGAAAATAAAAATAGCCCTCGTATCGAAATAAGACGGGTGAGTCGAGAGCTTTCGGAGTTACGAGAGAAACTAATTAAATGAGGGAATAAAAACCGGGAGAATCCTTTCATCTTCCGCCGATTTTTCCCTCAGGGGTTTTATTCAAACAGCGGTCTAAAATGTTCTGAGGATTTTTGCGGTGATTATGGGCTCGTGAAGTGAGGGTAGAAAATGAGTGGAAAAAATTATTTGAATGATGAAAAAACTAAAATTGAAAAAGCCTCGAGAAAAACGGAGACATTAAAGAAAGTCGAGTCGACATCCGGAGTGGTTTATAGACGTTCACCATCTGGTGATCGAAGAAACAGGAATTCCTGGAGAACGATCAACCGGAATGCCGTGCTCTCATTCCCCTGGGTCATTGCAATCGTCGGGGGAGGGTTAGAACAAGAAGAATGATTGATAATCTATTGATTACATTAAAATCGAAGAAAATGGAGAAAATACTACAATCGTGGAGCAATCCCAATTGAAATCATTGTGCATGATTTTACCAGAGGTTTCGAGTGCTTTGATAACTCCAATGATCTTGGGGCAATAAAAGTATTGAAGAAAATCAAACAGATCAATGATTTCATAAAATCTACGAAGTAAACAGCGATAATAATGATAAATGATTATCCATGAAATTCTTAACAGGATCATGTAAAATCCCTTTAAACCCAACAAGGATGACAAAAAGAATTGCTCAAAAGGCTTACTGACCCCAATAATCATCTCAGACTATAAACTAAAAATTCGATCGATGATTATCGTTGAGAGGCTCTAAATAGTCATGGACAATCATAAATAGTCACTCTTGAGTGCAATTGAAGTGCGTTAATGGCCTAATTTAATCATTCAGACATGAAAAAAATGAGGAATCGTGTGAAATAGAAAAACGAGGGTAAATGTAATAAAAAGAATTGAATTTTCAACGCATCTGTCGACATTTGGGGTCTCTGAACGACCCCAATCGATCGTATTGCGGGTCAACAGTACAAAAACACCATCGAACCCAGCGACCATTCTCCCCATCTCCCTCATACCTCAACCCCTGATAAAAAAAAAAATCTACTCCCCGTCCATCAAATTGAGAAAAAAAAAATATGTGAATTAAATTACCGGAAAAGGGCTTGTACCCAGCGAGGAATCTTGCTCGCCACCACTTCACCAATCCGGTAGCCATGGGACCCTCATGCGTAATGACACGCAGGCTTTCCACTGTGATCCTCGTGTTTACACAGAAATTGAAAATTACTGCCTCTTCTCCGCCTATTCCATTGGCATTTTCACCCGCATTCACACACTTCACTCGATTTTTTATTCTCTCTTTCACTCCACACAGCCCGAAAATGTTCGTAGAAAAATATATAATTTTTTCACTTTTCTTCTCTTTTCAATTTTCTTGGTTAATTGAGGATTTTTTAATTCCCGATTTAAAATCTGAGGTGCGCAAATTATTCTCTTTTTTTTCCCGATAAATCGACGATTTTTATGAATTATACCACTGAAAAAGTTGCAAATTTCACGATTTATTTAAGACGTTAGAATCGTTAAACTTTTGAATGGACGAGAGCTTTTAGTCTCGGGATATGTATCCACATCAGCGCCTGCCGTTTGACTAAAGCCCACGAGAGATCGTCCTCGCCTAAACCACGTTCCCCGTATTCCCGCTCCTACCTCGCCCCACCCTGTGCCCCTCCAGTGCCGTTCTCATCCCCATTGGTACCCCACTCTCATTTCTCCTCTCCTGAACCCCTCCTCATCTTCTCGTCAAACATCTCAAAATTTCTCCAGCCTAGCGACTTTTTAGCTGTCACTTCTAACCCCACTTTTCCGCCATTTAATCACCAGAAAAACGCGCGAAATTCACCGGATATTCAAATTCAAGCGCCTCAAAACATCGCTACGCGCCTGAAAACACATTTCCCGTCTTTCGCAATGCCATGTTGTATCTCATAACGCTGTTTCACTCAAAACTCAGCAGTGAAAGCACTGAATATATCCCGACATTTCGGTGGAAAGTCGCGCAAGCGCAAAAAGCGCTAAATCCCGTCGCAGAATTTTACGAGACATGTAAATACCAACTTTTGTCGTGTATGTGCGATGTAATAAAACTAGGGGGGGGAGAGGGGGGGGCAGCCCCCCTCTGTCGGCACAAAATAGTTTTCTCAATCAACTCGAAAATGTGCCATTGGTCCTCGACGAATTTCGAGGGAGAGAGATGAAAAGCCCTGTGTCGGTGCTCCCGACATCAAAGGAAACCGACCATGTCACTCTCTTAATACTCTTGGCGTTATTGTTTTTTTTTTTCTATAGTTTTTTTTTCTTTCGCTGAGGGTTTTTACAGCATTGGGTAACAATTAATTTGAACTCTTCTTTTTGTTGATTTTGCTTTTGTAATTTTCGAGGGGTCCGAGACATTGCCAAAGTGGAAATAGGGAAATAGGTACAGGGGAATTGTTTGTGGGGACTGTACCCCAGGGCTATTATCTACTAGCGGTGTTTTCTGAGGAATACACGGGCGTCGGCTGATTCTGGGGGCGAGGTATGAATGAAATGTGGGTGATAAGGGGAGGGAAATTCTTCGGGGTGTTGGGATTTTTCACATTGTGGGGAGACCACGATGAAATAAACGTTTGTGAGGAATGGATTTGGTGAACACATCGCTTTTCTTATCTTCAAATTTTCCAAATTTCTCCGAAAGGAAAAATGGAAGTTTTAAATATATAAATATTCGATTCCAATTTAAAATACTTTTACTACAACATTTTTTATTTCGATTGAAAAAAATTCTGTACTTTTTTTTCAATTCGAAGTTCAAAGTGACGAATGCTTTGCGTGTTCTGTGAATCAATTGATGCAATTTTTTTTTCAAGTTTTGATAATTAACTTTTTTTTAAAATGGAAATAAGTAATAATTTCAAGTTCAATGTTTACGTTGAAAAACAACAATTTCACATGCGACTACGCCACTGGTGCGGTAAGCGCCCATTCCCTTCCATCCAAATGGGAGAAAGAGAGAGAAGTGGAAGATAAAACGCGAAGAGAAGGCCTGAAGTCTCCAGGCAGCCATACCGTGGAGTCTCTCTTGCCCCATGCCATCCTCTCCCTATACCCGTAGCTAGTTGTTTCTTTTCCTTTATTCCTTTGTCGGAAAGTCGGCGTCGAGTCTCGCTTTTTTTGAAGCCAGAGTGAGACGAACCCGGGGTGGCAGTGAATATGCGGAAAGAAAGACGGAGTGAGACGAATTGGGTGGAAGACACTGGGGTGGGGTTGGGGGAAAGACAATGAGATAAAAAGAAGAATCAAAAGTCCAAAAAAAAAGGTTGGGCAAATGTTGCAGCCGGTGGATGAAACTCCCAGGGGAAAAACAGAATCTCGGGTTTTTTGCCATCGGTAAGGTAGAGTTTTGAGGTTAGGGTCTCCTGAAGGGTCAATGCGCTTCAACGCCGTTAAGTAATCTCCCTTTTCACATCAAGCATTGAAAAATTCAGTTCCAAATTTACAACGACACATTAACAAATACTGTCAATCGAAAGGTTCCCTAAAAAAAGGGTCGTTTTCTCCTGAGAGCGGCAAGTCTGCACCACGCGACCAAAAAAATCCCTAGAAGAAGTTAAAAAAAAAAGTATCATCCTTCTCACATTGAAAAAATTTCAAACAAAAAACAGATAAGGGCCCTAGGACCCAACGACTACACCCTGGTGTTGTTGTGGGCCGTACCGTAGGACAGGATATAGGATCAGGCCTATAATACGGTTTTACCGGCGAGGCCGCGCTCACCACGGGGTTACCAACACAGGGACAAGCATTCGGGATCATCGGGTTTTTGAGGCCCGAGTTCCCCCTGGTGAGGAGGACTCTCTCGCACTGTATGGAGTGTTGTGCGGTTTGCCGGAAAGGGGCGTCTACACTTTTTCAAAACGCAGTGGTGGGGCCCCCCCTCCGGGGTAGCGCACGGGCAAGGGGGGCTATCGCTGTGGAGGGGCAGGGGGATGTAGAAAAATAGAGAAAGAGGCGGAGGAAAAAAAAAGTAAGACGAGGAGGGAAAATGTCGGCACGTTTGATCTGAGCCGCGGGCGCCGACAAAGCGCTCGTCCAAGCCCTCTACCCCTCCTCCCGCCCCCCTCAGAACCCCCTCTTCCACTTCATCCCGTCGTTTTGCTGCCGCGCGAGAGAAACCCCGGGGAAAAAGGAGATAACATTACTCACGGGTTGCGTGAGAGAAGAGAGATAACATGAGGGACAACTACGCGGCATGAAATTCACCGTGGTTTTAAAAAATGAAGAAAAAAGACAGGGCGGGGAGGTGGAAGGGGGTTGGCAGAGGAAAAACAGAGAATCCCAGCTGCTTGGCAAAAGAGTGGTACTAACGGGCAAAGAGAGGATGAAAATACGAATACGAGTAAAAAGGATGACGTTAACGCGAGCGAAACGTCTGTCTTTTATGGGGGAAAATAGGATTTTTTTTCGTTAGGATGATGGATTAATGATCGGAAATTAATGATCATTTAGGGATTTTTAATTTTTATTTTTTTGGAAATGGGGGGAATGATAAGATAGTGGATAATGATTACGATTGAAGGAAATTATATAATTATGTACTGCGGTTATTGTTGCTGGTGGGTTTTTACATTGTTTGTTAATTTTTCGTTGCCCGTGAAAAATTTGAAATTTAAATTGAATTCAATGAATTTAATTAAATTGAATTAAAGGGAGGGATGGAGGGTATTATATATTTTTTTTTCTCGGAAGAAGAGAGAAAAAAATGTCAAGTCAGGTGAGAGAATGAAATTATTGTGTTGGATGATACTTACAAATTCTCCTGTCCTTATTTTCTCTCTCCTTCTGCATGCCACTCCCCAACATCTTTCGGTCTTCTCCTATTAATAAATAAACTCACCGGCGGTGCCTTTGATTGTGACGCAAACCCATTACATTTCCGCTTTTCCAAGTTTTGTACGGGGGAAGAAAAAAAAAGGATAAAACGAAATAACGAATGAACGGTTGAAGTTGAAGCCGGTGGAGGGATAATTGAAGAGAGGTGCTTGGAATATTTTTTTTTTCTCTTTGATGATGATGAGGAACCGAGTGAACTCTTATCTCGAGATACATCAAGAAATTGCGGATGTATATTTCTTCCATATTTTTTTTAAATTCATGTTTAATGCATGAATGGGGAATGAAATTTAGATAGGCGTGATAAAAAGTGATCGTTTCATTGTGCTTGTGTTTATTTTGGTTGATAACGAGAAACAACGAAAATGTACATCCAGCGTTTAAATCAAAGAGGATTGACTAAAGTAGAGGCTCAGTTCTAGGAATTTGAGTGACACCGCCGGCATTCTAGAATCTCACCCCAAGGTACAGAGAGGGCGCCACACGCAATGCG